GACAAATCAAAAGTGAGACGGATGACATAACTGCCCCCCCCCTACTTGCTTGTTACCACATTCCACCCGGCCACAATAAAATACCGGCCATTATTCACTTCCGCCGACTCCGACACCGGCCAAAATATGATACCCGGCCGTTAATTGAATACAGGCCAATATTAGAGGATTTACGGTATATATATGTATATATATATATATATATATATATATATATATATATATATATATATATATATATATATATATATATATAAATTTTTATTTTATTTTTTTCATTGGAGATTAGAGGAACAATGACTCAAGAATTCCCTTAGTGTCTTTAGTTCAAGTGTTTCAACTGCAGATAAAGAAGCTAAATTAGTGTTCTGTTTTATTTCTGTCTTCCTGTGAAATATGATCTGCTTATACGACCCAGATTATTGTTTGCCTGCTGTGCAGGTTGAGAGGAGGGAGGTTGTAATTAGTGTAGACAGAGCTGTGACTCGTACACAGCAGGCCAGATGCTGGACACCTGGGTTAGTCTGTAGAGTGTGACCGGTGTTGGTGAAGTAGCAGAGATCAGACTTTAAAGCAACTGTTAATAATGCCCCCCACTGGTTTAAAGCAGATTTAAAACTGGCGAAACAACCCTGCAGTTGCTCACACTGGCTTTGCAGATAACCATATCATCAAACAAGGTGTTGCATCTTGCACGTTTTTATGAATGTAATGATTACTGGCAGTTCACAAACAAAGACACGAGTTAAGACTTTGCGCGCTATGATTTTAGATGTTTTGAAACTGAAACCAATGACTGTAGACAGCGCCAATGTTGATGTCATTCCACCTTGAGTTGAGTTTTACAAGAGAGAGAGTGTTCCAGCTGCACCTGGTCTGCACTCAGCAGGTCTCCTATATAAGATGGATGGAGAACACTGCTCGACGCTGGATGATTGCTAAAGCTTGGTAGTTTCCAGCCTTCGTCGTCTTTTTCTAGGACTTTTTGAGACTCTGGTGTTCTTGTGAACTCTCTCGTGACTTTTGGTATTTTTGGTTACTCACCTCCAGGTTCTCTCGACACCTCAGGGTACCACACTTGTGCTCCATAGGATTTCCGGACCTCACTCAGGCACGTTCTCCATTCAACCTGACCGACCTGCTCTCTTACTCACCTCACGCTCCCTCTCCTGGACTCCTCTACTTGGAGACACCCCGGCTCACAACCTCCCCCCTCACTCCAGAGCTTTTCCTGCACCCCCATTATGTCTTTGCACCTTCCTAGTTAAGACTTGCATCCCTGGACTCACTTGTGTTTGCGCTCCTCCACTAGACGCTGCACTCCCGTTCCCCATCCCACTGGACTTCCCAGTGCGCCTTCAGTTACCCCTTTTATAATAAAATATATTATTAATCCATCAATCTGTGTACGGGTTTGTGATTCTGTATGTCTTGGGTTAGACGTTTTCCCCAAACCATGACAGTCGACTCTAGTTTTAGCTCTTTGCTTCGCCTCCAAAGACATTACTCTTACTTTTACTTCCAGGATTCACCATGATGCCAACAACAAAAAAGCTTTTTATGGACAACCGACAAAAGTAACTGAAAGAAAAGATGAAAGGAAAATTATCTTTCATATCGCGCCTCTCAAGATAAAAATCACGAGGTGCTTCACAAAAACAAAAATCCAAAGTATAAAAAAGATTTCTAAAAATTATTAAACATATGTTTAAAATGAGAAAAAAATATTTAAATTGTCATTAAAAATTGTAAGGAGAGAAAATGAATTGGGAAACCAGTGCATCCGGGGACAGGCAGAATAAGAGCAGAATAAGGACAGGGTGGAGCAGCTAACCTTTATATGAGCCACCGGCAGAGTAAACAGCTGTTGACGTTGGTCAGCAGAGGGCTGCAGGCTACTCTCTAATGGGAAGTTGCTCAGGTTTCTGGTTAAAAAAACAGAAACCAGTTTGAAAGCTATAGCTTAACGTGTTAAAATGTCTTTTGTCTTGCTTTAACTAGGAACTCTTAAGGTTTGTTCATCTATTTTTGTGAAGGTGGGGAAAACAATGATGCAGTTGATACAAACAACACAACAATTAAGAAAATAATTAGATATTTGACAAGATGCCTTAATAAAGTTGTATAAGATGTCTGTGATATTTCAGTTGAATTGTACAGTTTAGAAACAGGAAAGAAACAAACTTTAATTTAATGTTTCATCTGATGCGTCAGACAGAAAACATATATAAACAAACTAACAAACATTTTAGCAGGGCTCTTTCTGACTTACGTGAAACTTCATTTAGAAACATATGAGACTACATATGATGTATGTCATACGTATCATTACCTCTGTGTGTAACGTTCTGTTAATGTAGAAGGGTGGTTCCTGTTGCTACGGACAGACCTACCAGTACGTCACAGGCAAATTCTACAGCTGAGTAGCTTGTATCTCTCTCTCTCTCTCTCTCTCACACACACACACACACACACACACACACACACACACACACACACACACACACACACACACACACACACACACACACACACACACACACACACACACACACACACCACTGAAATAGCACTCCCATAGCTGGCCAAGACAATACCCTTCCCCAAAGCTACTTGCAAATGTTTTCTGCTGGAAAATAAGGACGCTCTACAACTTCCCCCAAGCTGACATCTCCCATGACCCATTTTCATTATGGCTGGCCTTAATGGTTGGTGACTAGCTGCTGAGTGCTAAATGGAGAGAGAACAATATACAGATGAGAGGCCAGACATTGTGGTGATAGCTGTAGGTCCAGAGTCTGACCCGGGCTAAACAATGACTAACAGTCACGCCTGAGACTTTTAGTCTAGACTGGTTTATGTTACGAAGGGAGAAAATATTAGATACTTAGAGAGGGAGGGAGGTTTTGGTGAACTTGGTGGCATTCTCCGAAGGTGAGGCGACACAATGCTGCAATGACAAAATGGAAAGCAGGAGCAAAATGACCTTGAGTCCCACAGGAGGAGTGGAGAGTAAAAGATGATGGAGTAATATTTTCAGAGGTGAAGGAGGAGGAATGTGGGCGTCAAGAAGTTTGAGAGATTAAAAACAAAAGCCCTTAAAAGTGAGTTTTAGCCATGAGGCTATCTGGGAGGACTCTGCTAAATGTCCCTGTTGGATCGTTAAAAACAGACAGACAGAACACATAAAACTCAGAGCAGCTTGTGTTGTGGAAAGTCCCAGACGTCGCCACAAATGCTTCCACATCACAAACAGCTTCGTTCAATATCCGCCTCTTCATCCAGGCTTGTGACATTTGCAAAGAAACCCTTGGGGGGGGGGGGGGGGGGGGGGGGTGTCAAAGGGGAGAGCTGCCCTTCTTTCATTACGATCCCTTCATCAGTCTTTCCCAGTGAGCGTAGGGCTCATCATGTCGGGGTTTATTAATTGTACCATGAATTATTATTGACCTGGACCTTCTGCTCCCTGCTGCAGTGAGTCTCCGCTCCACCGCCCCCACATTCCTCTGGTGTCCAACCTGGGCAGGACATCATGGCACAGCGTGGAGCCTTCAACAGTGTCCCTATTGACTCTGCACTTGGCCTGAGATTTCTTTTTAGCTGCAGCTGCAGTGAAACACACACACACACACACACACACACACCACACACACACACACACACACACACACCTGCAGTCGTGAGGAAGAAGAACTCAATCTGCACCTCTTCATCGGCTCCTGTGTCATAATTCAGAATTTTAGAGTTAGAAAACGACTTATTTAAAGCTGCAAATGCATCGAAGCATATTGGTTTTTGACTTTTAGTATTTTTTCTCTTTGTGTTGCGATTTAAACATTCCTAGAAACCTTCATCTGCCGTCCTGGAAGTCCCTTGTGTTTCGGCGTGGCCTTGTTACACAAATAGCTGAAAGGAAACAGCTGGTATCGGCTACATCAGTGCAGTTTAGTCGAAGTGGCAACTTCTCTTTCCTGAATCTGATCATGCATTTAAACTGTTTTAGGTTAGTCTGGGTTTGTGGTAAATGTCACAGATTTACTTTTTGACACGTAATTATAATTTAACCAGCAAGTAAAACATATTTAAGGTAAAATAAAAATGACAACACATTTCAAACGTTTCCTTTTTCTCAATGAACCCATTGAGAATCATGTTTTGGTGAGGCTGGTCTTTAACAGTGAAAGTATGCTGCCACCATGTGGACATCCTTGCTATGACACTTGTTTTACAACAGTCGTAATAAGCAACCAGGATACAAGTGTGTTGTTCCACCGTGAACTTTGCACCATCGAGCACATTCCTGCAAGCAGGAGTCACGAATAAAGAAATGTGTCTCAGATCTGTCTAAAGCATTGTTCAACCTGAATAGCGACGCTATCCTCACAATCAGACTTGTCTGGCCCTAAACTTAATATCCGTCTTCATTTTGTTCCCTTGCAGTCACAATGGTTCCCCTTCTGTTTTTGATGACAACCACATCAGCTTCCAATAACTCCAGCAATGAGACCCAAGCAAAAGGTAACAGCAGCAATTTTACTTGGACATGTGAACGGTGCAGAAGAACGTGCAGTAACAACAAAAGCTTATTCCTACATGCTGCTGTCATCACTTTTGTCGAATATATGATTATTCTGCATCATCTGCTGCGAATGCATCTGCTGGATAACAGCCTTTCCACACAGGTTTGTTATTACCAGATCACAGTGAAGCTCAGCAGCCACACACAGTAATTTACAGCTCATTGCACAGCATCATGAACACATCTAATAGCTCACTGTACAGCGGTGACTCTGGGCCTGGTCTAATTCTTGGTGTCTCTAATTTTCTGATGGATATTCCAGCAGGATTAAATAAGCCAGTGATTATCTATGTTGGCTAAATTCTGCTGAGGCCATGTATCGCCTCTTTGACCAGGACAGAGCAGTTATTTTTCATGCATCGACTGAACATTTGCATACATTTTTATACTGTTGGCTTCTGTTTCTTGTTTGTTTAGTTTTGGTGGTGCTGCTGCTGCTTGACCCTTCAATCTGTCTCTGCTCCTTCCTTAGAAAATGCCTCCCACCCCAACCATCATATCCTTTCCACTGTGCTGGTTGTACTCCTGCTGCTGCTCGTCATCACACTGCTGGTCTGGTACTTCCTCAGGTAATAAAATAAATAATACAACCCTCTCCACCTTGGACAAGACGGAATGTGCGCCCTCCCTCTCCTCAGTTGACTGGCGCTGAGCCAGGCTCAGGGGCAGAGCTCGGGGTGACAAACACTTCCTTCTTTTAGTCACTGAGGCGGAGCCCAGTCAGGAAGCACTGCAGTCTAACTCCCTCGCATGTTTAGTGAGAACAGAGCAGGCGGTGACAGAGGAGCTACAACTATAGAGCGATTAAATAAATTCTGTACCGGACTCTGACTTTACCAAAGATATCAGCTAATGAGAAAAAATAGCTTCTCAAGCTTCAAATGGTAGGATGGATAGGTTTTTGTTTATAGGTACGGTGTTGGATTAATATACTGTGCTCTCATTTAATCTCATTTTTTCACCTGCAGGTTAAAAAACCAGAGAAAAGCAGTCGTCACAACAGTTGACAAGAAAATACCAAATGGCATCCTGGAAGAACAAGGTACTCTTATAAAGTGCACGCTGTTAAAAGGCAGATTTTAGAGTGTGTGACAAGCTGGTTGCTAGTAGATGCTTCAAGAAAATAACTAAAGCAGACTGAAGATGCAAAGAAATTAGCACCAGGGTGGATAAATGGAGATGTCAGATTTTACACTTGTATGTATAAGTAGTTAAACCATTTTCAGTGGGGGTTTTTCTGCTTCCTGTGGTTCGTGGTTGCAAAAATAAATAAATAAATGAGCTGTCTTCACCACTAGGTTTTGACGCTTTGTTTGAAGTTAATAGATCAGGAGCGCAAAAGTAAGCTTGATCATTATAATCAAGAGCTGGCTTGTGTGAAATTGAAAAACAGAAGGCAGATCTTACAGGAAACGGAATACGTTGAGGCTATGTGAATGTTCTTCAGGAAACATTTTCTTATCTACAATTACAAAGAAATGAACAGAGGAGGCCACAACCGTGCAGAAACAAACTATAACAGGAAAGTGGAAAAAATAAAGCCACAAAGGGTTCAAACATAGAAAAGGCTGGTGAGTTTCAGTAACATTCTAAGTTTTGTAAATGAGAAGGTATGATTGACTGTGATGTATTCATTCATTCATTCATTCATTCATTCATTCATTCATCTTTTTATGAGCTAAAACAAGCAAAAATCAGTTTGAAGAAAGTAGGCCAATCAAAATGCATTCGGAGCTCTGATAGTGTAGATATTTGAATGTGTTGATGTGTGATGTGATTTTTGTTTTAGAGCTTGGCTACAGTACCGAGTCGGTATACACCGTTGTACCACCAGGTCAGGTATTCAGGGTGGCAGCACAAAGGTTGCATGTTACTAACACTCTGTGGGTACCTTGTTAGCGTGTGTTTTCTAAACTGATAACCAAATGCAGAAACAGGGTGCTGTGGTTCCTCAGTGGGTTCTTTTGTTTCTCTAACACCTGTGGATGTGCGGTGATCTTTGTGTTCTACTGCGATGCTGGTACACGCATACCACCTTGTTAAAAGATGGATTAATCAGTCTGTTTATGAAGTGTGGTTCGTTATAAAACCGATCATTCCAGTGATTCCCAACCAGATCGTCACAGGGTCGAGCTGAGGTAGACTTGTAAACCTAACGGGACATTGAAGGAGAAATACCTAATGAAGCTAAAAAATGCAATAAAAGTGATTAAATGGTTGGAATACAGAGTTTAGCTAAAAGTACGGGATAAATAATGCAAATATGTAAAAAAGTCAAACCACATGAACAAATAAACTTTTACTAGTGATCAAAAGCATTAGCTAAATATTTGAATGAAAAGTTCAAATAGCTAAAAATAAAGAAAGAACTACTAATAAAATTGATTACAGAAAACTAATTAGTTAAATTCTCTGTTGGCCAGTGATTGATGAATGTTAAAACGGATTAAGAGTTAATAAGTGAAGAAGTCGTAAATTGATTTATATCAATTTAGGTTTCAATAATACCTAAATTAAATTATAAAGCACAGGGGTGCGTAATGCAAAGAATGTGATGATATGATCCCTAGAGAAGTGTCCTCCCCTTATGCTCATGGGTCCCTGGGACAAAGAAATAAATAAATGCAAGTCAACGGGGCTAAAAGCTATTTTTTAATCTGCATTGCCTTACGCCCAGAATCACACATATGTTGTACTTTAATTTTAATGAAAAGTATTGATGTGCATTTTGACCATCACCTACATTTAAGATTCATTATCTTGTAAAAAATCGTAATCAAAACAAAAACAAATCAGAAGTTGCATATTTGACGTCACAGCAGAGTCTCTTCTCCCCTTAACGGCAACTTACTACATAACCACAGATCTTGTGTCAGAATGAAGGCGGTAAAAAGGCTGCCACCTAGCAGTCGGAGTTTGAATTGCACCACACAAAAGAACAGTAAAAGTAAAGTAAATTAAAAAAAATTGATACATCGCTTTTAAATATTGGTTCTGTGTCAATAAATGAAATTTTGTGACATTTCAGTTTGTGATATTTTCTTACATCCTTAATAAAACATGTTATTAGCAACGGAATAACATCAGTGTTTAAAGAAGTCTGTTGGGAACCGCTGTTCTAATTCAACCCAATCCTAGATGGTTCTCTTTGTTTTTCTTTTTCCATTTTACCTCGAGCAGGTACCGTAATACAGCAAAGAATCACCATAAATGATCCTGATGGATGAAGTTATGTAACCTTCAATCATCTGTCGTAATAAATAAAAAATCGCCAACAAGTGATTCAACAACACAAACAAATTAGACGAGTAAGGATGATGGACTTACTTGGAGTTTTTGTCCCACAGAGCAACAGACGGTGGTCCTTCTGCCCAGATCCCCTTCAGCCTCTAAGACCTACTTTCCCATCCCGGTTGATCACCTCGAGGAAGAGTACCGGCTCCGCTCAGCTGATGATGGCAAGCTCTTCAGGGAGGAGTACAATGTAAGCTTTAAATGGACCTAAGGGAATTTTCTCCCCTCAAACTGAGCCAAACTGGACCTAAATTGTGACTTGTGGATTTTTTATTTTTTACTCAGGAAAGTTACAAGGGTAAAGTGTGTCACATTGTCCATGAGCCATGTTGGTCTCATACTCACCCCCACATGAATGAAAAGTACCGTTTTGACTATTTGTGTCTGTGTTTAGGATCTGAGTCAAAATATAGGCTTTGACTAATGGTTTATAACCCAAGCGATATTTTTGATTAACGGTTGTGATCACAGACAGAGGAAGTTGACGGTCCCTGCCTAGGTTGCAGAGGAAGTGCCGACAGGCAGCAGAACACAGTGCACTGGCAGGCCATTTCTTATCATGCGAGGTTATGTAAAATCATTAATTTTGCTGTTGCAGTCGCTGCCCGGAGGCACTCCTCAGGGGACGTACGAAGAGGCCAACAAAGATGAGAACAAGGAGAAGAACAGATACCCCAACATCCTGCCCTGTGAGTCTACTTTCTGTTTTCTAGCTTTTCTCCGAGTCAAAAACAACTTTCAGTTTCCTGTTTGCGTTCACACACCAGCATCTCTGACACGAACGGTAAACTATTTATTCACAGAGACCGACTCAGGTGCACTTTCAAGTTTTAGCTGTTTGCAATAGTTTTATTTTTTAACTGTTCCTCTAGCTGAACCAGTGTGTGTTTTAAAGTGGTTCCTTGAATAAGCAAATGTCCTTTTTTCAATAAAGGAAAAAAAAGCATATACCAATCTGGTTAAAATCAGAAGCGTAGGATTTCAAGCACAGAGGCAGATTGTTTGGCTCTGTCCGATATTTTGTTTGACTCTAAATCCCATATTTGTTCGACTGGAAGCAGTTGCCAGGTAACTAGAAAACTCCAATAATAAACCGCTTACTCCTCTTTCTTCACAGATTTTAGGCCACATCAGGGAAACTGGCTGTTGATAGCAGCTTTGTGTGTTTTACATTGACAGGTGTGATTAAACAAAAGGCTCCTTTATCAGAAGATTAAATATATGTATTTCTCTCATGTCATTTGTAAATACTAGCATTTTATCAGTGGCGGGCGGTGCGTTCCACCCCTGGGCCTTCAGTGATTTCCTATTCAGTCCAATCTAATTTAATACACCTTAAAATACCATCAATAGGACATCACAGCTGGAGAAACCTCACACACACACACACACACACACACACACACACACACACACACACACACACACACACACACACACACACACACACACACACACACACACACACACACACACACACACACACACACACACCAGTGGCTGGTCAAGACACATAATTTCCAGAGTCTTTAAAATCAAACTCGCATTCCCAGTTGAGAGTAGGAAGCTGACCACGGATACTGTCAAATCTCAGAAATGAAAGACGGGTTTAAGAGATGAGACAATAAAATAAATAAGTAAAGCAAACACATTATTTGCATTTGTTTTGGAGAAAATTGTACCGCGAAACAATTGAACATGTTGGCGCAGCTGCACACACCACGTTATACACAATATAAATTGCATAGAAACAGAACACAGAATAATTTCATTTTGCCATTTTATTTTGTTACCATTTATTGATTATTAACAAAATAAAATGACAAAACATTAAAAAAATACTAATAAAATGTTTCTACTCACCAACATAAATGTCCAGCATGGATCTCCTCCTCTCCTTCTCATTAGAAAATAAAATCCATCCTTCTTTCTTTCCTCAGGAAAACCTCAGTGGCTCTGTACAGTTTATCCGTGCACTTCAGGTCCATGAGTGGATCCTTTTCTACGGGCATGGAGGCTGAAAGCCGTGTCTGTCCGGTCGTGTTTCTGGCGTACGTTTTAACGCGCTTTAATGCTACCAAATCCATCTGATGCGAGCAACAGGCATTCCCAGCAGAATAACCTGCAGCGGTTCTCTGAAGCTGTTAGCCGTGGGTACCGTTCATAGTTGCTTGCCTGAAAATGACGAACAAATCCATTCCCCTGCTGGGACAAGCCATCTAGCGTTGGAGTCAGACGACCTGTTCTCACAAGATCCATTTTTTCTTGAAAGGTCCGTCTTGAAAATGGTGTGGCAAGTTAATCTGCAACCAAGTCTGTCTCTTCTCCTCTTTCAGCCATCATGTGTTCAAAAATACACCGATAGCTGCCTATAGATACAGATCTCTGTGTTTAGTTTTGATATTTTGCTTCATGCCGCTAGAAAAGTTCTAACTACTGCTCATCCAATCACAGGATCTGTTCAAGTCAACTTTTGCGTGAGGCCAGCTAGCTGGCCCAGGCCAAGCTGACTCGTGAGCTGATTGGCTATCGCAACTAGATCGTCTCTGTTCACTTACAGCGGACAGTGGGCTTCTCGATTGATTCTGAAGGCCTAGAGCAGACTTAATCTGCCTGAAAACACAAGCTAGCTTAAATCTGATTGGATAACACCCAGCCTTGGTATTTCAACACTGGAAGCAGCGCAGGCAAGTGGGTATAATAGGATATGAAGAAAATAGACCAGTAAACATTTTTTTTATTTAAAAATAATTACCAAAGGAAAAAAAATACATTTACGCTTTTGAGTATGTTTAGGCCAGCAGAGAAGGCTTTGCTGGCCCTGACTGCCCACCACTGCATTTTATTGAACCTTAATGGTGGATTTTGTAAGCTGATTTGATTAATAATACTACTACTAATAATAATAATACTAATACTAATACTAATAATAATAATAATACTAATAATAATAATAATAATAATAATAATAATAATAATAATAATAATAATGCACATCTGTATAGGGGTTTTCAAAATCAGAGACTTCAAAGTGATTGTGAAGATAAATCTGTTGAAATTGTCTTTTAAATTCTAGATGACCATTCCAGGGTGGTTTTATCTCAGCTGGATGGAAAGCCGTGCTCAGACTATGTGAACGCTTCTTACATTGATGTGAGTCTTGGAATCCTAGCTCAGTCTGAGATGATGAAAATTAAATTTAAATTTAAAAATTATTCTTTAAAAGAGACAGTTTACATATCACTCATTGCAGCTTCAATGTTTTCTGTCTTCCAGGGTTACACAGAAAAGAACAAATTCATTGGTGCACAAGGTAAGCTTTAAAAAACATTCCAACAGCTGCACGTTTTACTTTTACAAATTAGATTTAGATTAATTTATTTTGCATCTCAGGTCCAAAAGAAGACACAGTTGCAGATTTCTGGAGGATGATATGGGAGCAGAAAGTAGCAACTGTTGTAATGCTGACAAATCTGAAAGAAAGGAAAGAGGTTTGTAAATCTATTCCTGTTTACTTATGGAATATTTATAATTTATGAAATGTAAAATATTGTGTTTTGCATAAAAAGGGTTGTACGTTAGAACATAAATTATTTCTTTATCCATCAGAAGAGGTTTGAAGAACAGATATTATGTTGAGATTGAATATTGTTTAAAAATAGCAAGAAGACATACCACTAATGAATATATAACAAAATTATTATTGTGTATCTCTTCACTGAACACATTGCTTTAAGGTTGTTTTTGTATTTGTTCACTCAAACTTTTGGCTATCAGCAGGTATTGTTAATATTATGCATTCTACTCCTCCTGAGCTCCCTAACATCAGTTTATCCGTTCGAATTGTAACCTTTTATTTTGAACCATCTTTGAACCAGGAAAAAATAGAAATTGAAGAAAATATCAATAGTGGAGGACTGGCGAGGACTTAAATCAGCCTGCGGATGTGTTAAAATCAATAGTCATATTATGTGTAATAAAGTCCTTTAGGGCAGCATCACAATGATCCAACAGCGTTGGTTATTGACTGATTCCACCTTTCTCTCAAACTCTGAGCTGTACTGAATTACTGTGAAATTGAAGCACATGGGGTGTTAGTGAGGCTCTGACTTGATTCAGCTCACAGTTTTTTGAATGCTGCTGCAGGACAAGTGTTACCAGTACTGGCCAGACCAGGGCTGTTGGACGTATGGCAACGTGCGGGTGGCAGTCGAAGACTTCACAGTCCTGGTGGACTACACAATACGCAAGTTCTGCATACAGTATGTAAGTTTCAAATGGTGCTTGGATGGTTTCCTGGATTTATAGTTATTTTTCCTGTCATCAGTTTACACAATATTGTTCCATAAAATATTTCTGGAACCTCAGCAGGTTTATAACTATTTTGAATATTCTTTCTGTGTAAAAGCTGCATGAACATATTTATGTTTGACAGTATTGATGAGCTAATGGCTAGCCCAGAGTAGGGCTGGGCGATATGACGATTTTAGACCGTTTTACGATCTACACATCTGACGGTCTGCCATTTTTGAGAGACCTTTTTATCACGATTCACAGCTCTGCTGTTGAATTTCTGCCTCTGACTGAAAAGGGAACTTAGCTCAGGCGAATGCCACTCCTTTGTTTGACCCTTAACCAATCAGAGTGAGTCATAGTAATATATTAGTGCCCCACTTGTTTTCACCCGTGTGTGAACAAACATGGCTTCGGCCGCGGCTGAGAGCGACAACGAGGTTTTCATTCCTAAGAGGAACGCCTCGTCCATTAAATGGAACTGGTTTGGTTTTTCACCAGATGACAAAGAGCAGCGAAACGTCATTTGCAAAGATTGCAAGGAGAGCGTCAAGGCAAGTGATGGCAGCACCACAAACTTGTTTAATCACTTGAAAAGAAGGCATCACAAACAATACAATGAGGGCCAGCTGGCAGCTAAAGCTAAAAAGCCTGCGGCTACAGCGGCAGCGGCTAGTGCTTCTTCCAGGCAGCAAACACTAACAAACACTCACAAAACTCTCCCTACGACAGAGACAGCAGACGATGGAACAGCGTGACAGATGCAGTGACGTACCACTTGGTAAAAGATTTGTGTCCCGTGCGAACAGTAGGAGTGGGATTTAAGAAAATGATAAAAACATTGGATCCGCGCTACGAGTTTTCCAGCCGCAAGTATTTTTCGAACACCGCCATTCCACGCATGTACGCTGAATGCAAAGTGAGAGTTGCAGAAAATATTCAGAATGCGCAGTTATTTGCAACCACAAGCGATCTCTGGTCCAGCCGCACATCAGAACCGTATTTGAGCTTAACTATCCACTACATGAGCAACTGGGAGCTACATAGTATTTTGAACAAGTTAATGTTTGCACAATACGTTTGCAATTGACATGTTTGCACTTTAAATATGTTTACGATTTTAATGTATGTTAAGTTACTTGAAAAACGAGAAAAACTGATTTTTGTAATTGTTTCTCTCAGGGCTTTTATCATCTCTGGTGTGAGTTTAAAATATAAGTGTGTTAGCACTGTGTTGATTATCCCTAATATGAATAAATGTTTGTTTATTCAATGTTTCTCTTCTTTAATACGCAATTGAAGTTATGCTATTCATGGATACAAAATCGTGATAAAATCAAAATCGTGATAAAATATTGGAAAAATCGTGATATTCTATTTTTGCCATATCGTCCAGCCCTAGTCCAGAGGAAGCTGAGACAAAGGTATATTGTTGCCATCTTAAAACAGCTCCAGTTTTCACAGAATAGAATAGAATAAAATTGAAAATCTTCATTTTGTAAAATAGTTTTGAAAAATTGCTCTCTGCACGGTGCATCATACATTAAAATGTCTTTCAATTAAAAGGACTTATAGAAATACCCAAAACAGTGGCCTTAGTCCACTCATTCACTCAAAGCAGACATACTCTATTTAAATAAAACCTGCTTTGATTAAGACAGATTTCACAGTGTCCATTGTTTCTTCATGCATTCATGCAACATTATTTTATAATCTTTTACGTAACATAACTTTAGTATTACATGGTTATTTTGGCAGAAATGATGAGAACGGTTTGCTGGGCTTAGATAAATAAACTTTATTGTTCCCAAAAGGCATTTTGTCTTGCATTCAATAAGGAACACTTACAGGTTAAATATGAACACAACAAAAATATTTACAATAAAAACCACAACATCTATACTGCAATCCTACATTACCACAATTAATTTGCAATTAGTGTTTCAGATAGTTGATGAGGTTTACACTAACTGGGAAAATTGTTGGTCAAAATCATATGTCTCCGACAGGATTTTCTGTTATGGTTGGCTATGCTTCCTCAGTTAAAACACCATTGTCCTTCAACAGTCCTCAGGGTTCAATTTTAGGCCCATTACTGTTTTCCTTATATTTAATTTCCTTGGGAACTATCTTAGGCAGACATATTGTAATGTACACTTCCGTTGTCATGCTGATGACATACAAATCTATATGCCGATGGTGACAAACAGTTTTACTACCTGCACAAACACTCTTTTAAAGTCCATCAAAGACATACAGGTAAGGTTATCGGTCATTTTTTTTGTATCTGAACAACGGTAAGTATTATGTTCTTTGGGCTAGCACCAATCTACTGCGGTCCACAGTCCATTGGCAGAATATATATATTTATTGCTTGGGCATGCAGTAAACTTTGGTGTTGGTTATATTTGGGCTAGCAGTAAAAAATTCTGTTACCTTACATCTGAGCTGTTCAGGAAGTTTTCTCTCTGACTGTAACTAATCTTTAACTTTCACGCAGAAACATATTTCTAAATGGTCGGCATGACCCTTTAAGTCTGCTTCTGGTTGTTTTTAATGCCTGTCTGCCTTTTATGTTTTTGCATAGCAAGCCAGCGATGCTGCTAAAACCACCCGCTTGGTCACTCAGCTTCATTTCACCAGCTGGCCTGATTTTGGAGTTCCTTTCTCTCCGATTGGCATGCTCAAGTTCCTGAAAAAGGTCAAAGCAGTAAATCCACCTTTTGCTGGACCTATTGTGGTCCACTGCAGGTACTGGGAACAAACATGTGTTTACTTGTAATTTTACAATTCCTGCTATTTTGAAAGACATGCTACTTAATGGTTTCAATTACCCAGCTTGTTTCTATGGAGATAAATATATTTGGGTAATAATCCTCTCTTTGTACATCTGTGAGTAAACAAACAAATTGAAGTAATTATAGCAGTGCATTTGTTTACAAGCACAGACGTCCCTTTGTTCCCCTCATGTTGTCCATTAACATCCAAGTGTCAGCTGAGGATTGGTGGCTCACTGGCTGTGGTTTGTTTTCCAATTCCAGTGCTGGAGTTGGGAGGACTGGAACCTTTATTGTAATTGATGCCATGATCGACATGATGCATGCAGAGCAAAAAGTTGATGTGTTTGGCTTCGTCTCCAAGATACGAGAGCAGCGTTCCCAGCTCATCCAGACTGATGTGAGTTGGAGACATTTCCCAAAATAATCCAACAGAAACATCTGGCATGTTATTGGAAGGGTTATTTACTCCTGCATAGAATAAACTGCATATGTTCCCAGGCGTAGTGTATGAAACATTTATGTTTACTCCCAGATGCAGTACTCATTCATCTACCAGGCCCTGCTTGAATACTACCTCTATGGAGACACCGAGCTGGATGTGTCCTCCCTGGAAGGACATCTGCACAAGCTGCACAACACCTTTGCTGATGGTGATCGGGTGGGACTGGAGGAAGAATTTAAGGTTGGTTTTTTTTTTTCATTTCACATTGCAACCTGTACAAGATTAACTCAGTCTGAGAAATTACTAAAGATAAGCAAAAGCATCACAGTAGTACTTTTAATTATCAACGTTTAAACTGTTTATCTGGGGAAGAAGTTCAACTATCCCAATGATTGCTGGGAAATCTTTCATTCTAAGATTAATTGGAGCCTGATTGATTGATAGTAAACATACTTGTTTCAAAGAAAATCATTACAAACCTTGTTTTTAGCAGAACAATGTATGCTACATACATGTCATGCAACCAAATGTTTTCAGTCCCCAAAGTATTCGGATCTCATTCAGACAGAAATGATGTGAGATAGAAGGTCCAGCCCATAGAGACCCTAGCATGAAACACAATACAGTCACTGCTGTAGGTGGTCTGTCCATTCCAACTAATCTACTGTATTTGGGGTTTGGTTTTATTGTTGTGTCTGATAGGTGTGCTTACTTATTGAAATCCCCTTGATAAAATGTCCTATACATCTATCATCTACATAATATTCTTATCACATAAATAAATGACCTGTGAAAGATGCTGAAACTTCTTGTGCAGAGGTATACGATATAAAAACCTGAACTCCTAGGTTGAAGCATCATTTTAATTGAATTACCTTGTGTTTAGAAACTGACCAACATGCGAATAATGAAGGAGAACATGAGGACTGGGAACCTCCCTGCCAACATGAAGAAGAACAGAGTTCTTCAAATTATTCCATGCAAGTAGCAAATATTGTTACAGAATCCATTAGATGCTGTCCTCATTTACCAATCTGAACAGAATGTATGTGTGTAACACTCTATTGGTGCTCCATTTCAGATGACTTCAACAGAGTCATTCTTTCCATGCGAAGAGGACAGGAGTTCACAGACTATGTCAATGCAACATTTATAGATGTAAGCCTGTGTCTTCCTGTTGTAATAGTTAAGCCACTATTTCTGTGTATCCAGTTGAATCTAAAATTAAATTACTTCATGTTTTGCGGTGATTCAGGGTTACAGACAGAAGGACTACTTCATCGCCACACAGGGCCCTCTGACTCACACGGTGGAGGATTTCTGGAGGATGGTTTGGGAATGGAAATGTCATTCCATTGTAATGCTCACCGAACTCCAGGAGAGGGAGCAGGTGAGCTGGAAGAAAAAGTCCCTATAACTGAACAACAATGTGAACTGTTTTAGTTTAGGAATAGATATTAACTGTATTCAATTTTGCAGGACAAATGTTGCCAGTACTGGCCCACAGAGGACTCTGTCACCTATGGAGACTACACTGTAGAGCTGAAGGGAGACACTCTGTGTGAAACCTTCAGTCTAAGAGACTTGGTACTCACCTTTGTTCCGGTAAGTTTATGAACTTTGCACACAGGCAAATGTAATGTGGCTTTCTACTTCAGTACCTGTTATCATGACACAGCGGCATTTATTGCCCTTCCTAATATAAAAATCCTTCCAAAAAAAGCTGCCACCTGGATAAGCAAATAGGTAGGAGGCTCCTGTTGAATCATTACTGCATGGGCGATTATCTGGCAACACGTTTTTTTAACCCCAACTAGTGCAATAAGTTGCTTCTCATTTATTAAACATCCATGTGGAAAGACACATTTGTAGGTCGTGGAAAAGTCTGTCTGAGAAGGGTCAGACAATTGGCATGCATCAATTCAAGTTCAATTCAATTCAAGTTTATTTATATAGCGCCAAATCATGACAACAGTCGTCTCAAGGCACTTCAATTAGTAAACATTCCAATACAGGTGAGTTCATTAAGCCAATCAGAAAAAATAAGTTTCCCATATAAGGAACCCAGCAAATTGCATCGAGTCACTGACTAGTGTCAGTGACTTTACAGCAATCCTCATACTAAGCAAGCATTTAGCGACTGTGGAGAGGAAAACTCCCTTTTAACAGGAAGAAACCTCCAGAGGATCCTGGCTCAGTACAAGCAGCCATCCTCCACGACTCACTGGGGATCGAGAAGACAGAGCACTCACACACACACATAGACCAACACCAACCCACCCACAACACACATCCACACACACAATCTATATGCCAAGTAGTGTTTCTATGGTTACATTGTGATTTCTTAGTAAATATTCTATTTGGTGAGAGATAAACTTTATTGTAATTATACTAGTGAATCTATAGTTAAATGGATAAACTAGTAGTAGCACATTCAATATCAAAGAAAGTAAAATGTTATTATCAGGAGAGGGAGAAAGTTTAAGTGGTTAGCAACAGTGTTCAAGCCGATGACCCCCTCCATGAGGGCACCACAGCTCAGGAGAACACCATTGTAGCTTCTTTCGGGGAGAAAAACACTTAGAGAAAAAATAAAGTTAACAGCTGAAATAGCAGGAAATAATAGAGTTAAAGAGCAAATTCTAGAAGAAAGTAATCGAGTGTGGAAAGTGGTCAGTATGTACTCCAGCAGTCTAAGCCTAAAGCAGCATAACTACAGAGATAACTCTGGATAACCTAGCCTTTTAGATGGAGGCATGTTGGAGGCAGGGCAAGGGAGAGTTGTCTTTACCGACAACTCTCAATCAGAGGAAACATCTAAGGAGATTGTAGAAACGACTACAACTAGGTTAAGAACCGTCCAACACATTATTAAAAACTGGTCTGATGAGTCCAGATGGACCTGTTCCAGAGTGATGGTGCATCAGGGTAAGAAGAGAGGCAGATGAAAGGATGCACCCATCATGCCAAGTGCCTACTGTTCAAGCCTGTGGGGGCAGTGCTATGATCTGGGATTGCTGCAGTTGGTCAGGTCTAGGTTCAGCAACAGGATGTGCTCCAAGAAAGAGGTCAGCTGACTACCTGAGTATACTGAATGACCAGGTTATTCCATCTTTTCTGATGGCACGAGCATATTCCAAGATGCCAATGCCAGGATTCATCAGGCTCAGAGTGTGAAAGAGTGGTTCAAAGAGCATGAGGCATCGTTTTCACACATGGATTGTCTGGTGGCACTGCAGAAGCTTATGGAAACAACGCCACAGCGAATGTGTGTCGTAATCAAAGCTAAAGGCGGTCCAACGAAATATTAGTGTGTAACTTTTTTTGGGTCAGTGTATATTGGTAATTATATACTTGTGATTATAATATTGGTAAATATCAGTTATTGGCCATAAGTAAGTATTAATAGTAAATATAAAAATTGTGTATATTTGTGCATCCCTAATAGTTTTATATCAAAAATAACTATCCCAAACTCAGAACAAATTTGATTTTAGAAAAAGATCTTTATTGTGGAAATAAATGTGAAGAATAAGATGTGTGTACGATCATCAGTGGTGAGTCAGCCAGGGAAGCTCCCATCAACTTACTATTCCTAAACCGTACACATACAGCACACCTCCCATTAGTCATTTTAAACTGCTAATGAATCATATTTCAGAGGTATTATGAGCTCTCATCTACCTCTTCATTTCCTGTCAAAGGAGAAGCAGACCAGGGCGATTAGACACTTCCATTTCCATGGCTGGCCAGAGGTTGGCATCCCAGCGGAGGGGAAGGGTATGATTGACATCATTGCTTCAGTGCAGAGACAGCAGCAGCAGTCTGGGAACCATCCCATAGTCGTACACTGCAGGTAGGTGTCACAGTTAATACATAAATCTTAAATTACCTAAAGATTCGTGATGAAAACATTACTTCTATGTGCTGCAGTGCTGGTGCAGGGCGAACCGGTACATTCATAGCACTGAGCAATATTCTGGAGCGAGTCAAAGCAGAAGGCTTGCTGGACGTGTTCCAAACTGTGAAGAGTTTACGCATGCAGAGGCCTCATATGGTCCAAACTGTTGTAAGTATTAGTAGAGCTAAACTCTCATGAAGCTTTGCAGGTACAAGTTTGACAGATTACTAATTAATCTCTGTATTATCTCACCACAGGAACAATATGACTTCTGCTATAGGGTGGTACAAGACTTTGTCGACATTTTCTCAGACTATGCCAATTTTAAATGAGACTTGCCTTAAACATGATTTATAATGTTTTCTAAAACAACTTTGTCAGGTTTGTGTTTCCTTAACTTGGTCAAATGGTCTTCTATTTTGCTATGCACTTGTCCTTACCATTAACCCGGGTTCTTTTCTTGCTGTTAGATACGGATGAAACCTGTAAATGGAGAAAAAAAAGGATTATTGTATATTTCACAACATGTATGGCAATTAATTCCATTCTCATTAAGTGTGGCACAAAAAGTCACCTCTGATTTCAGCTTTGTTGTATAATATTTTTATAGCAGTTTAAATGTCTATGCATATGTTATTTTGAACTCATGACATTTTTTAAAAATTGTAGTTATTGTAAATGTATTTATGTATTGACATCCTGTCTTGTGTTTAGAGAAGATATTAATCTTAATTTTTTTATTTTTGGTTGGTAATGACAATAACTTCTGAGATTAGAAGACGTACTGGAGCTTTTTTATTTATATATTTTTTGGCTGTCCTTAAAGCTGCAATAGCAATTATGGAAAACAAATTAGCTTAAAACATTTTTCTCATACCTTTTAACAGCAATCTAACATATAATAGCTATAAATAAATTGGTACTCTTGCATTTGTCTAAAAACCTCCACCTAAAGACCAAAAGCAGCTATTGGACCAAACAGTTGTCGGTCTTGCCGAACCGTTGCACTTCCCTGGATCCTCCACTCATTACATCCTTGTGTATTTAGCAACAGAACACCACTGGTGTGAGAGGTTGTCCTCTCAATAATATCAGAGGAGGAGAAACAGCCAGCTGCTACCACTTCAACTTTGGGACAAACTACCAGTCCCAAAAAGAAAAACACCATTTGAAGTCACGGACAACAAAGATGTTCAGACCTAGAAAATGGTTACTGGTGTTCAGTGCTATCTCGGGTCATCAGGCAATGTGGGTTTCTGGTTCCGGCAGAAGCTTCTCAGTGAAGATTCGAGTGCAAGGGGGAGTGTTCCGTGACCACATTTGTGTTCAAAATCTAGTTTGTTTGCAGATTTGCCATTACAGCTTTAAGGAAAAAACCCATCTAAGGTGTTAAAGATTGTCTAACAGCAAAGACTAAGGTCTGCTCTATACCACAAAAATGGAACAGATAAACAGAAATTATACCTCAAAAGATGGTGTGCAAGAGCATTTAACTTTGATGTAACGTTACTACGTTTTAGCCTTTCAACAGCAAAAAATAGTTTGCTAAGATCAATGCACATTAAAAAAGCACGTAACTAAGTCTTTTTAGACCAGTAACACAGAACAAAACGTTTGTTGCTTCATTTGTATTATAGATTGAGTTTTGAGAAATGAGTGCCATATGTGCTTTTAATTAAAAAGAACAACCCTACGGTAAGGGAAGACTTAGGGGAGTTGGCTCTAAATTCAGTATGGCTGCTAAACGTTGCTCAGTACAATTTTAGTACACAAAGTCAAAGCACAGGAAATGTAATACATGCAAGTCCAGAGTCACAGTACAAAAATGTGGTGCAGAATGTTAATACCGGTGCATTGTGCATTCCCCCGAAGTGTTAACTCTTCCCATCTGGTACTTCAACATTTTTAACTGTATGTAAATACTAGATAACAAAGTGCTAATATTGTGCAAGTTGCTAAGCAGCAAGGATCTGTGAAGTGAAGTGGTCATATTTGGTGTGCTACATGCATGTGTCTGTGGGAGATGTGAGGTGCAGCACAAGATGAAACAGACTGAACAAAACCTGAGTATTTTCCTGTGGCTTGTATTCTGTCCAAGTTGTCATTTAAACAACATTGTGGAGGGCCTGTTTAAACTTGATCTATTTGCCTTAGCTCTCTGTTGGTGGTCTAGCCTGACTGTCAGTGTCTTTAAAATGCAAGTTGCAATATTAAATTGATCTAAAAGGCTCTGAGTGTGGGTATAGATTTTGTCTTAGGTTCTTGACGTTTTACTTAAAAATAATACAAATTGTGTTATAATAAGCCTGAGAGTGAAACTAATAAACATGTAGAATTGACAGCAGTTCACTTTGGGGAACATGTTTGTTCCTTGTAGATAGTTGGGACGACTGTGCCACTATGTTCCAACAATGTGTCTGAGGTAATCTGGTTCCCCTTTTGTCCTATGAGCTATCAGACCTGCTGCACAGTTGGTAAAATCAAACACTTCCATGGTGGGTTTTGAAGATCTTTAGCGGTGATGATACTGTATTTCGCACTCATGAACAGTCAATGAAAGCTCAAAACAGCTATTTCATTCCCTTGTCTGAAAAATTAAGGTTTATTGTGCTGCGAGTTCAAGCACCAGCAAAAATCCAGAGGTTTAAAATAACTTAGCAGCCAGACCTCTGGATCTGTGGGGCTTGGATCTCCTCCATTTTCTGAGGGTCTTTGGGGACAGGTCTGTGGCCCCTTACACTCACTATTGGACACTCCTATAGAGAAGCCTTACATACACAAGCACGTGTACGCACACAGGTGTTCACATGGTGCTCTCACAAGTATGGATTTGGACGTTTTTGACACAACCTAAGGCTGTGGTTGGCACTAAATGCACCATAAATTATTACTGTGTGCTTTTCAGTAAAGGCTTGTCGTTGGCACTCAAGGCATCAAATCTGATTGCTTTTCAGCCATACAGGATGCTGAGAAAGAAACTGCCTTGTTTGATCAACAGTCTAAAACCTCACCTGTTGTGTATTTTTTCAACAATTATCTTTTACAAATTTAAAAAGAGAAATTTTCTGTTTTAATTATCATTTGAATCTCAAAGAAATCAAAATAAACTAACCTTACTGTTAATCTTTATCCCTTCACATGCATGTTACGCATAGCTCAGTATTTTACTGTAACGGGTCTACATATATAGAATAAGCCACCAAAGAGTTTTCTGCTCAAAAGACAACAGTGTGAAAAGGCTCATTAGTAGTTCTGCCCATTCTTCATGATCGTACCTTACTGTGCAACTCTTCAAGAATAAACAGAATACTCCTGAATTATTTTAAATCTTCAAGAAACAACTTTTTTGTTCATACCAGCAACCTCTAAAATGTTACACTTCAAAAACATGCATGACTAAGAGAAGCAAGAAACACTTTGAATGGAAAGAAATATTAATAAAGGTTTTTAACTTAAGGAAAATAATGGTCAGGTCCTTCCAATATATTCAGGATTACTCCACTTACCTAGACCTTCATATACTCTTAATAGTAAAAAGCTTTTTCTTCTACAGCCTTAACTACCAGACGTAACTGGCTGCATCTGAATCATCATCTTCCCTTCCCTGTTGACTTCATTAGGCCCTATTGTGTTTAAACTGTGAGCTTGGCCCAGATACACACCCCACATTTCCCATTCTAACAGGGCCAAATGGGACGAACCAATCCTCAAATGCAAGCCCACCTAATTAACATCTAACTGCAGTATTTAAGATAGACTCCTATATTCCAGTTTGAATTAACAAAGCTCAAACATCAAGGGATCAGAGAAGTCCAGTTACCATCATTCAAACCTGATGAAGGCTACTGGGAAAGGAGTTCACTCTGTAATTGGGTTGCCAGTTCTAATCCAGGCTCTGTCTTTGTCAGCTTTCGCGTCCTTGGGCAAGCCACATCACCCTCCTTGCCTATCGGAGGGCCTGGCGGTGCCTGTATATGACAGCCTTGCTTCTGTCAGTGCTCTCCAGGGCAGCTGTGGCTACATTGTAGCTCATTATTGTAGCGTGTGATCGTTGTGCTATAAAGAGGTTTGGATTCCTTGACTTTTTTCTGAACGAATGTGCATGAGAATCTTCACCGGCATAAAACTGATAATAGTTTATAGGCTATAATGAGCATGAACTGTACATGATTAGTTGTACCTTTGGAGGTAAGCCTATAATTTAATTTAAATGCAAATGTGTATATTTTGAAAGGGAAAATGAATCAACAAACTGAATCTGCAAAACAAAATGCGCAGAAAAGTTAAACTTGGGCTTTATTTATAACACACACTGAATGTTAAGGAATTTCTAAAACCATGTCTGCCTGACTCATAAACTAAATGTAAAAGAAAAAATTAAGAGTTATGAAAATCTAAAGTCCTTTTGGTGCAGAAAAAGAAAGAACAAACCTTACCTAACAATAGTCACAAAGAAGCTTAGTGATGCATTAAATCAGCAGGTGGCAGTGCTCTTCAATCTATATTTAAATGAGCCAGTTTTGGATAATTGAAATATTCCCCCACTAACGAAATGTCAGTTTCATTTGTGTCGCTGTACAAAAGAGTCATCTGCTAGCTGAAGACAGTCCCATATGGGTGAAATCAGAATGCAAATGCATGAATCATCTAATAGATGTTCTCACAAAAATATACATTTCTGACTGCTTTAAGCACTACAAGAGTAATTTTTATCCAATATCTGGGAAAAACTATTCAATCGAAAACTCTTTAACTATTTCCCAGAAAATAACATTTATATAAAATCACCACGTCAAGAACCAAAACACAATGAATGAATGTCCATTATGAAGAAAACATAAGTATATAATTAATGTACAGAATGTGTGTGTTCAGACAGCTCAAGCTTTCAGCCTTGAGACCGTCGTCTGTCGATAACCGGGTGGAAATGTGGTCTATTTTTGTCACACACTCAGCCCCAAGTGACAAAAAGCCTCTTTGTTGACAATTTTCACTTCCTCTGTGACCTGACGCCATAGCAACCCCCAGCCCTCCCAATGGCTACAAAATAAAAAGAAGAAACGACTCAGGATGAGTGAAGAGGTCACATGAATTATGTATTGACACTAACTGACATATTTTTATTGACCGGTGGTTAATTTTACTTCTTTCCTGCACACAAAACCCTCCATTTTCTTATCAAGCACAATCTGGAACATGTACCACAAAGCCCTGAGTGGTGACCTCTATACTGAAATGCTTTTATGTGTAGCAGTGGAAACTATTTTCTGATTTCACTCAGCAGCTGTATGTTGAACCAAGAGCTATGGTGCTTAGTTCAAAAGAAGCTGCAAAATGTTCAACAGGATTTATGATTAAGCATTTTCTCCTTGATAAATGGTGTATAGAATACTTTTCTTCAGTCAGTAAACCAGCCAACCGCGCCCCTTCCTTTCATTAAAGTTAAAAGTGTTGGTCTTAAAAAATGTTCTTGGAACAGAGTTACTTTCAAAGCGGATCTTTACCTGAAAGATAGTAGACAACTACAGTTGGAACAAATTTGTTGGGCAAAAAAGTGACTTTTGAAAAATGTACTAATGAGGCTTCCATAGACCAGAAGAAAGATATTTGGCCGGGTTAATAGAAATGTTTAAAGTGTATTCCTTTGTGACCTTAAAGAAATTGAAGGCATTTTAGACGAGATATCTTATTTTATTTTATTTTTTACCATGTCCTGTCTGGCTGTGAAGAAAACAGAATTGATGTCTGAATGCTGAAGACAAGCCTTGCAGTTTTATTCTCACAGGTGGAGCGTTAATTAGTTTTAGAGCTTTAAGGTTTGTGCTGTAATGCCTATTTGGACTCCAAATGATCACCATCCATCCATCTGAGTCGCTTTGCCTTTTAAAGGGTCACAGAGAGCTGGTCTCATACTCCAACATTCATTGGGCAACAAGCAGGGGACACCCTGGACAGGTCACCAACCATCTCAAACTGTGACACACTCACTCACCAGTGGCGTGTCCAGACATTTCTCAATGGGGTGGCCCAAGTGGGGCACTTGTAAATGCACAGGTGGATCTTATGGTTATGCCCTTTTTTGGGGAAAGAGGGTTGTGGCGCTAATTATTATCTATGTCAATATGAAAAATTAACAAAGCAAAATAATATTATACAGGATTTTAATGTAGGCGGGGCTACAAGCCAATGCTAAAGTTTTATGCTTGGGATTTATAAACCTAGGGTGGCCAATCAGATTCCATGGTTGGCATGTGCTACCCCTGGGCCACCCCCGTACATGCCACTGTCACTCACACCTAGGGACAATTTAGAATAGCTAATTAAAAAATTGCATGCATGCTTTTTGTCTGATGGAGGAAGCTGGAGTACCTGAAGAAAACCCTTTTGTGCATGGGGTGAGCATACTGTCTCCGTGCAGAAAGGCTGCAGCTGGGATTCAAACCTGCCTTCTTAATGCAAGGTAACCTTGCTATGTGCTCCGGCCTCCAAATGATCACAATGTAATTAACAAATACAATTATTACATGTAATTGTTATTAATTTTGTTTTAAATTGTCAGGGCAAGCAAATATTGTGGAACATCTACGAAACACTCATGGTGTAAAAACATTCTCCATTATTTGCAATACAGCTCTCACACGCTCTGTGGAGTGGCCTCCTGCATAGTTTACAGTTTGTACGTGAAGGCCTCAGTGAAGTGTCTTCGTAAGATTGATGTGGTTTATCCTGCCTCGCTGAGGTTTATTACTAACTGTACAGCATTGACCCATCATCTAGAATTGCATTCCCGAGTGGGATGGCCTTTGTTCACCAGAAGGTTGGGACAGTGGTACACTTTCATTTCTAAGGCCATGCTTGGACTACTGCCCACTTAAATCTGTAATTCAATCTATGAGAGAAGAGTTTTTTCTCACAGTCTGCGTGCAAATAAGCAATTGTTACTTTGTGTTCCTTTAGCTTACACAGAACTGGGAAAAAGAGCTTTTATTTACTCCGATCCTTCATCGTGGAAACTGGAAATTAAACAAACTTATTTCCTTGAAAACAAACTGAGAACAATTGAGACAGACGACTTGTTATTGTATCTGCTTTTAGAATTTTGTATAGAACTATAACTGTGTAATTGATTAATTTGGTAACTTTATCTCTTGGCCAGGAATCGCTTGAAATGTAGGTTTTTAAACTCTGCAGGACTTTCCTGGTTAAAGAATAAATAAATACAATTTCCAAGCATTGATTTAAACAGCAAAACCCGCTGTTTTTATGCTTTCTTGGTATGAGTAAATAACTACGTAGAGACTTGAGTTGAACTGGTTGGTGTTGAGGTGTGTTTAGTGTCTGAATTGTTTGATATATTTTTCCATTCCTAAAATAGCCTCTCTTATGATAGATTTGAGTTATTATTAAAGTGGATAATCAGCACAACTGTTTGCTGCTAAAAAATTACCAAGGCAACTCTGAATAGTGTCGCCTAAGTTTTTGATTTAGATGAAAAATAACTGATTATGACATTTCTCCATAACTGACGTGCTCTGATTTGTTTGGTGTACACGTGTTTTAATGTCTCTGACTTTAATCAGGCTCTTCTGTGTAACTAGTGGATGAAAACAGGCAAACACAGTGTAGAGCAGTGCGCCATGAGGAATGTACCAGAGATTCTTCCTCCAGCCTGTTTCTTTGAAGCCTCACTTGGTTTACAACAACTTGTATAATTTATTCTCTCGCTCCCTTCTTCCTATCTCTTCTTCTCACACAGCACAGCATCTTATCTCACTGAAAACATTTAGGTTGGCCCTAATTTAATCAGACAGCTCTTACTGAAACGGTAACGTGACACAATGGCGTAAAACCGCATTACAAGTGATGTTATCCACCTCCATTGGATTATCAAGCAAATGCACTTCCTGGGCCTTTTCTTTTTTCTTTTGATGACACCCAATGGATGATCAGATGAACACGATAAAAGCTGAACAGCGAAAAAGAAACATGGCCTGACTGAAACAGAAAAAGGAAGGAAGGAATTTTCTTTGGTATTTGTCAAAATTAACTGTATAAATCAATTAATCAGATGTTTATGTTTATGTATTTAGCAGACAGTTTTGTCCAAAGCGACTTACAAGTGATAATCGGCATGTTGCCCTTGAGGCTAACAACAACAATAACAACAACAACTTGACATCAATCATGGAGAGGAGCAGGGGCGGATTTAGGACTGAAGAAGATCTGGGGCTTAACACACACGCGCACGCGCGCACACACACACACACACACACACACACACACACACACGCACGCGCACTCACACATGTGACACGCACTAGTCAACATCATATATATTTGTCTTGTACCACATAATTTTTAATCTTAAGCTACATATTAAGCATTTTCAGGGCAGAGTATTGTTCCTGCTAGTGTTAAGTGTGAGACTATAGTAAATATTCCCTTTCTTTCTCCAACAACTTTACCTGATAGTAAGCTAACTTTAGGCAAACCAGCAGCACAACAAATATTTTCAAATAAGACTCACAAACCTGAGTCAACACCAGTCTCATCAAAGCTGGGGTTCTGTCGTTCTACTTTTTGTCAAAAAAACGCCCTTATGTCCATCTTCACTCATGCGTTTCAGGCAGAGACTGTAGAAGAAGCCGGCTGCTGAAGGGCTTCTTCTTCAGTGGTGGAGGCTCAGGCAGGCTGTATACAAACTACTGCCAGCTACTCCCTCTCTGTTGGACTTTGGTACTGCATGTTACTTCCGCAGTTTAGATCCGGGGCTTTTCATAAAACATCCGGGGCTTCAGCCCAAATAGCCGGGCCTAACTCCGCCCCTTGAGAGGAGAGAACAAGGAGTGGACAGTAGAGATGGTAAATGGTAAATGGCCTGTATTTGATATAGTGCCTTCTAGAGTCCTGGAACCCCCCAAGGCGCTTTACAACACAATCAGTCATTCACCCATTCGCACACACATTCACACACTGGTGGGGATGAGCTACAATGTAGCCACAGCTGCCCTGGGGCGCACTGACAGAGGCGAGGCTGCCGAGCACTGGCGCCTCCCTCCAACCACCACCAGCAGGTAATGTGGGTTAAATGTCTTGCCCAAGGACACAACGACAGCGACAGACTGAGCAGGTCTCGAACCTGCGACCTTCCGATTGCGAGGCGAGCACTTAACTCCTGTGCCACCGTCGCCCCATAAGAGGGGGGATGAGTGCAGGGAGGGTGCTCGTTTAGAAGATGCTCTCTGAAGAGCAGGGTCTTCAGGAGTTTCTTGAAAATTGAAAAGGAAGCCCCTGTTCTGGTAGTGCTTGGAAGGTCATTCCACATTTGTGGAACGATGCATGAGAAGAGTCTGGATTGTCCTGAGCGTGGTGGAGGCACTGCTACAGATGAAAGAAAAATTAAAAGATACAGGGTTTCTCTGCTCTTTGAAGGATTTATTATTGAAATAGTTTCTCAACTTGAAAGATTAGCTTTAGATTCATCCAAAAACTCTCCCTCTGATTGGTTCTTACTTCTCTTTCCTTCGCCAAGCCTGTAGAGCTGGCGTAGCTAAACTGCCAGACTGATGATGTCGATGACCAACTTCTGGTTCTTTTTGTAGGTAGAGTTAATAATCCCGTTAGTTTCATCCCCAAACACTCATCTGTAAACATGTATGACATCATTTCATACAGGTACAGCTTTTTTAATTCAACAAAGACTATTTTTATAAAATGAGTTATAATACTCAAAACCATCTTCTTGCAAAGAAGTCAGCATTTGCATATTTTCCTTCAACGTCAGATTGACTCACAAGATCAAAACAGCCAGCGTCCTCATCGTTGCGGACTGCAATTAGCATCAGCCCTACAAGCACGCAACAGATCATTTTAACAAGTGGGTGAGAATTACTGCTGCAGCAATACAATGTGGTGAAGCTGTTGCGTTTCCTTTTAGACATTTATATGGGTAAGGCTGCTGCAGCATCATATAACTGACTGTCTAACTTTGCCACATCAGCTGTATCCATGTGTTTTCCCTCATGTTTGTATTTTAAGGAACTCAATGTAAATTAGCCTCGAAATTTATTTTGACACAGAAACCTATAAAAATGAGACACAAATGTTGTCTTTTAGGGTCAGAGAAACTGAACTTGTCTACTTCTGGTGAAAGAATTCCCTTACAGTGCTCATTCATAGGAGGTCTAGGAGAACATCTGAGGTTTACATCCACACACTATAATTATGCAGTCACGAGAGTCAACAGGTGTCTTTGATCAAGTGTAACAATGATAGAAAACAGCAGGACTGTCTGCCGGGTCTTTCCAGCTGTTTTTCCTCTCTCAAGCAGAGTTCACGTTGAACCAGCTAGAGCACCTAAGACTTTGATGTGCGAGTTCATGTTGGCCTCCTTTTTCCTGGTAAGAAACTGCGATCTCCACCAGCTTTTCTCTGATAAATAACAAACATCGCCATTTTCACTGTTTCCTGCAAAAGTATATTTGATACAGCGCTTTGGTTTATAACGACAACCCTTCAGGCATTTCAGCCAGGAAATTAAACACCATTTCTCGTTTAAAGTCGTGTTAACAGAAAATATTAAATGTGATAATCAGTGTTGTGAAAATGTGTTTGCATCCTACAGATTTCTTCAGTAATTTTGTCACACATATATGTTTCAGATCAGAACATGAATTCCAGGATCAGGTGAAGAAAATCTGGAGAAATCTGCATGGGCGTGAAAGCTTTTCCACAGCACTGTTAGAGCTGGATTCCATTAAACAACTGCTGGCTAAACATAAACCTTCTGAGCAGCATTCAGCTAAAGAGGCCAAAGAAATGAAGCTGTGATTTACTGATTGTCACGTTTATGTGCCTCCCGATTAAATTTGTGCACCGGCAAATAAGCCTTCCCTGCAAACCCCTTATGTGCTTTTTCTTATTATGGTTTCTCTGTCAGCTGTGCTGTCTACCTCAGAGGAGCTGCTGTCAACCTTTTTCTTTAAAAAATAAACAGATATGTGACCGATCCCAACACTATTTACATTATAGTTAACTTATACTTTTTTAATAAATGTTAACTGACAGACTCATGTATTCTGCTTGTCATTTAGTATATTAGCAAATGAGAGTTGCTGTTGTCATAATGAAAAAACCCTCCCTTGAAACCACTCATGCTGTACAACAGCCTGAGTTCTTATCAAGGAGTGGCAGTAAAAGTGGGTGGTGGTTAATCATGTGTAGTTAAAGGTCGACAGTACTCATATTTTTAATACATTTGCAGAAGCCATTAGTAGGAACCTTGTGGGGAAATAAAGCTCAGTTGCTCCTGAGGTAGTAGGTAGCTGGAGGAGAAGGTGGCAGCAGACGACAGGATTTGGAGTCTTATTTCCTGATATTTGGACATCTTGCCTCTGATTGGCTAACAGCAACGCAACTCTACCACTGACTCTGTTCCCTCTGCAACGTTGATGTTTTACCTCCACAAATAACACAAGCCTGAAGGAGTTCTGCTGTGTGGTGGAGTTGCTAATGCTAACAGTTAGCTTCTACTAGCCGAGATGTTCTCTGCTGTTTCCAGGATGCTGAACAAAAAACGGCCTTCCCCATTGTGAGTCTAGACAGGTGAGTCCATGATTGTCCAGTGAGTGTTACGTGGATCTGTTAGGATTTTCAAATCCTGGAGTTTCACTGTCTGTTTTATATCAGAAGCTAGTGGAGCAGATAGGTGTAGGAGACTTTTGTCACATTCAGCGTGCATATCAAACTCAAAAGTGGCCGATCATTTTCAAAAATAATTAATAAGAACTGGTTTCTCAGTAAACCTGCTCTTTAAAATTTGTAGTATGAGTGTGTCCAAATGGATTTAACATGACCATAACCCATGATAAAAGACAGCAAACACATAGGTAGTGGTGTCCACACCAGAGGTTTCACATGAAGAAATCTAACGCCTCCAAGTTATTGTTGCAGGCCACAGGGGAGCCACCGGGACTATTGTGCTCTCCTCTTTGGTGATCTTTATTGTTCTCTGAAGATTTAAGCAGAAGAATGGAATACATTCATGGAATGAACTCAAACATCCCTCCAGGTTCGATAGCAGCTTCCACCCAAATCCAACACTGCTTTCACGCTGACCCAATTTTACAAGACAGAGACGACGACAAAGAGAGTAATAAAAATGATCCAAATGATAAAAAAGACACATGTGGGAGAGAGTTAGGACAGAGGAATATTAAAAAAGGGTGAGAAGAGTGGAGGAATATGAAAGCGCCGATAGCTTTGTGAGCTAGTGATAGTGGCGGAGAATGACAAAGGTGCAGGGAGGGACATGAAGAGAAAGGGTAAACCGAAGGCGCCTGGAAGCAGAGGGGTGGGCTGAGCATGAGGAGGAGGGAAGCTCTGCTTCTCCTAATAAAGCAAGTGTATTTGAAAGAAGGTGCAGGGAAACAAACCAAGCTGGGAGCTGTGTTACCACAGAGAAAGAGGAAGAGGAGAGAGGGTTAGACAGAAAGAGTCAGAGAGGGGGGAGACAGCAAGGGGCATTGGATAGAAAGACCATTGTGCTACAGCTGAGAAAGAACCCATGTCTGCACAAAGAGGTAGGTGTACTGCTATGACTGGTACACACACACACACACACACACACACACACACACACACGCATGCACGCACGCACGCACACACACACACACACACACACACACACACACACGCACACACACGCATGCACTAGGAAAAGTAGGAAATCCTGGCCAGCCTTTGTAGTTGGATGGAGCAACAGCCTGCACAACAAAGCAGCTGCTGTTTTCTTCCAGCTGTTTGACTTGCTTAACTCTATTAAATGTGCACCAATGCGGCGCAGGTGAGCGACTTTTCCGCCGCATGCTCCAGTTTTGGATTGTTAAATGTTTGATGATCTGGATGAGCAGCAGATAAGCAGAGGTTTATCACGTCTCTGCTGGAGGTTGCTTGTAGTTTAACTGCCTGAAGATCCATAAAGCTATTAGCTTAGTGGTGTTCTCACAGTGACACAGTGTGCTTTCTCTGAATGAGCTGGGACATTTGTTGATATATTAGTAAAGACCTTTGGCTCAGTTTAGACTGTGTGTGGTTCCATTAATGACTCTAGGTATAGACCCATTACCCATTTAGTAAACTTCATTTACCTCAACTGATTCAGATGAAACCACAGTTGTTTGTGATTTTATTTATCAGTGAATTAGAAGCCTTGACCTTTTATTTATGTTTTTTGTTGCAAATCGTTAATTCTTCCAATTTATCTAGATTTAGTTCATATATTCTCACAGTGGTGAGCTTAAACTAGCAAAATTCAGACAGAAATAACCAAAAACAAGCCATGACTAAAAAACTCACATGTTCTTATCATGATGACTTTTGTGTTTTGTGTGTGTTATAGGGCAAACATGCTTGATTAGTTTATGTTGACATAAACCAAACCCTGTATTTTAATTGTGTTTAAATCCTAATCTAATGAGTTTATTGCTTTAAACTATAACAACCATCATAAAATGTAGCCTGGATTAGTTCAATCTAGGGTTAGTACAGCATGTCCAGTGTGACCTTAAGAGACTAACCATTTCCCTCTGGTAAGCATAAATGCTTCCTCTTAGTTATGCTTCCTCTTAGTTTACATCATATGATGTTGCGACAAGTTCCCGTTTAAATTTTCACTATTATCCTGTAGACTATTAATACTGGAGCTGCAGCTATGGAAAATGAAGCAATCAAGTCTTTTGTTGAATAATTCATCAATTCCTTGAGTACTTGGATGTGAATTTACAACACCAGACATTGTCAATTTTTCCTAAAAAAGCTGCTCCATTGTCAGCATTGTCTCCCTTGTGAGCTCTCGTGCACATGCATGACAGGGTGATGCTAAAGACCAACACATTCATTTTTTTGCCTTTTTATTTGTTGAAAACACTTTAAAGTACATTTTATGACAATAACTGATAAAAGCTATCCATCACTGGATCTTACACAGCAGTGATGAGACTTTGCACATATGCGACTCACCAGTTTTCTCTTTATTGTAAAAAGGTGATAAAGTCTAGAGCTTGGAGGTGTCGATGCTGAGTGCAGATTGATGCAAATCTCTGACTTTTGCTTGCTCACCTCTAGAACCTGCAGGTCTCATAGTAAAGTCTGGCTGTGTCCACAAGAAATAGGCCAACAGTTCTAATCAGAAACACACCAGAAATTTGTATAACCCTCCCACTGTCCTAATGGGTGACCCCACGAGGAAAGTTGACCGTTGAGCAGGATTGATGGTTTATCCCGTTAGGTACATGTGTCAGGGGTGAGGGGGTGCTCACTCCTCACCCCTGCCACATGGACCCAAGGGATGAACCATCAGCCCTACTCAATGGTCAACTTTCCTCGTGGGGTCACCCATAAAGACAGTGGGAGGGTTAAAAGTTGTTGACATTGTGGCAAACTAACTCAGTGAAAGACTTGATCACTGAGCAGCAAGTAGCCAAATCTTTCAAACAAGCTCAGCTCTAATGATTTTTCCTTGAGAATTTTTGTTACTAAATTATTTGAAGGATTTTATCAATCATTTTAGTCCTATATGTGCCTTTTAGGAAAAATCTGGGCACACGGTGTAAAAGGACAGACTGCCCAAAAAGTTAACGCTGGATGAAGACTCAAGGCTGCAGTCAGGGTGTGGGAATGAGCGATCTGTTTATCCACGAGGATAAGAGCTGCATTGATTTTTGGAGTTCATGGCTGGTAAACAGTCACTGCTGTAACACATGATGCAGAAGTTATGCAGGATCAACGTCGCTTTATCTGTCACCTTCAGGGGCAAAGGCATATTTATTTATTTATCTATTTATTTATTTTTACATTTACACAGAGAAAGAGAGAGATGCATACATTCATACGTAAATACAAACATACATATGTGTTTTCAGAAACTTTGGCAAAGATAATACAACCATTTGACAAACCTCAATGTATTTAGTTTTTCCCCATTCACTGATCATAACATCTTAAAACATAGCAGGAGCGTGTACGTGACACCAAACTAAATATAACTTGTGCTATGTGTTCACCAAATAATTGCAGAAACTTTGTACATTCTTGCATCATGTTAAATGTCAACTTCTGTCAAGCGAACACAACAATGCTTGTGCTGCAGTATTTTTTGATTATGCAGCATGGATCTTCTGTTCACCTGTGGTTTAATCCAAAGAACAGCACATGTTTAGAATTAGAACCTACCTCACACCAGTGACTTGCAGCCATGTCACCCACTGACTCATCGCTGTGAAATATCAGAATATTTCAAATGCCCCCTTTCTGCCTCTACCATACACGTTTTGTAATCTCAAGCAATTTGAACTCAAAGTTTCAGATCAGCAGATGTGAAAACTCCAGAACTTAACGTAAACAAACTGCCAGGATGTGTACTTTGTGTGTGGCTTGGACTGTAAACAGGAGGTTTCATTGGTGAGTCAAACTATGTGTTTGTATGGAAACCTAAATGTGATGCAACTTCTACAAAACAAGCTTTGATAATGGAGATTGTGAGGTGAAGTCATGTTGTCTGGAGTTGTGTCTTACACAAGTTTGGTGGGTTAGAATCAGGACCTAATGCAGTTTTAAACAGTATCATTTAGAGATTAGTGCAGATAGACAGTGTTATCATGAGGTTTGCTCAACTCAGTCCAAATGGATTAGTGCCAAATGTTTCTCATATCTTAATCATAAATAGACACGTTTTTCACTCCACTCTTGTCTTGTGGGCTGCACGGTGGCGCAGTTGTTAGCACTGTTGCCTCGCAGCAAGAAGGTTGCAGGTTCGATACTCGGCTGTGGCCTTTCTGCGTGGAGTTGCATGTTCTCACCATGCATGCGTGGGTTTCCTCCGGGTTCTCCGGTTTCCCCTACAGATCACAACATGCCCTACAAGTAAAAAATTGTACGTCGCTTTGGATAAAAGCGTCTGCCAAATAAATAAACATAATAATAATAACATAAAAAAATACCAACAAAACTAAACAATTCTTCATTTCTATCTTTATATATTGCATAAAATTGCCCAAATATTTTTAACTAGTCTTTTAACAAAATGACTTTGTGAGAATTTCTTCTTCTTTTTGTCCCAATTTGGCCTCTTCTTATGAGGCATAAACCACACCTTAACACTTCATTTTCATTTATTAATACCAGAAATGGAAAAACATGCAACGTGCTTGCGCAAGTGTGTGTTGGCTAAGGAGTGTGTGGTAAGATTTGTTTTAAATTTGGATGGTAGCCACTTCCTCAAATAGCTGTAGAAATAAAATTGATCATCAAAGCTGAGATTGGATCGGATGTGTGCTGTAGGGACATGTAGGAGTGTTCCCTGAAAGTCGTCTGATGTTTGGAGACCTGATCTATGATCTCATCCTATAAACCTCTGCTTGGGTGAGCCCTGTTTTCTCTCCAAACAAGTGTTACTGTAACTGTTTCTGCAGAAGTTCAGCCTGCTGCTAAAATCGTCATTAGTGGATGATTGCAGGTAACCCCAAGTGTTTGCAGACTTCTATCTTAAAATAAATGCAAAATTGATGCTAGTAGCTCAGACTTCATGTTAATAGTCCAAATGGTCACTGCACACTTTTGCAGCCCTAATCTATCTGTTTTGCATTGTTTTATCATAATTTAGAACCACAAATCTACTCTTCAGCCTCACAGGCCCCAATGGCACCAGATTCAGATAAGAATTGTTTTGGGGACAGGCAGAGATAATGTCCTCTCTGCCTTAGGGTTCTGTTGGTCTTCAACCACTCTAGATCCAATAATGGCATACTTAATCTATCCCAATCCGTGCTGATCCATCAACTCGCTCCTTGATGGAATCCACCTTCTGTGCCAGAGCCTGAATCTCAGCCAAAGTTCCAAGCTTACGACGCATCTCGACAATTATATGAGTTTGTGCGTTCACAGCGCGATGCATTCCATCCCTGAGCTCCGGGATTGAGCCAATATTCCTTGAAAGCTCGTTAATTTTCCAGTAAGCCAGGTAATCCCGACACCTGAACTTCCTTCAGGATAATTGAATAGTCAACAAGTGAATTTAGACATTCAACAATACACATTATTGAAGTTGAATTCAAAAAGGAAACCAGATGCTGTTGTAACTCTTTATTCAAGTTTCTCAGTGTGGACAAATGAATGTGTCTTAATAAGTTAGTCTGAATGACTCAAGCCTGTATGTTTTACCCCAATGTTTTCAACACCTTAGCACATCACGACTCACTTTTTACACTTAGATTTTAAATAATCTTAGAAAAGATGATTTAAACTAGAAGAGTAAACTTAATCCATTCCACTCTAAACATGAAACAAAAGAACCTGCGGTGGGGTATATAGAAGGTCTTACACATCTTCTACACAGGATCACCAGAACTGGACCATAAGAGACTAGAAAGGGTTTCCTGGTCTGATGAGTCAGGATTTCAGCAGCAACATTTGGATGATCGGGTCAGAATCTGGTGTCACCAACATGAAAGCACGGATCCATCCTACCTTGTATCAACACTTCAGGCTACCGCTGGTGTGATTAAGATGCTCTTGTCTGACTTTGGACCTGAGCCTGGTTCAAACACCACAGCCTGCCTGAGTATTGTTGCTGACCATGTCCATCTCTGTATGACCACATGGACCCATCTTCTGACGGCTACTTCCATTAGGATACTGCATCATGTCACAAAGCTCAGATCATCTCTCACTGGTTTCTAGAACATAATGATGAGTTCATGGTCACTAGTCCAGTCCAGAACCTTTATGAAACATGAAACCCCCATCGTGGATGTGTAGTCGACAAACCGGCAGCATCTGTGATGCAGTCATCTCATTTTAGAGCAAATCCTTTGAGCAAGGTTTCCAACACCTTGTTGAATAAATCACTCAAAGGTTTTTGTCTAATCTGAAGGTGGTACTGGTCAAACACAGAATTTGCACCACAGACCTATTTAACTGGTGACTGTATTTGGATGACTGAAAAAATGAACGGCTTAAGAACTCAGTAAGAAAATAACTCAACACTGGCAGCTGTTCGAAAATCTCTGAGCTTGCAAATAACATTTTTGTGACTGGTTTAAATTTGTAGTGCAAACATATATCACACCCAGCTCCAGTTATCCCGTAAGTACCAGTCTGTAACTGTAAAGGAAGCACGTGTTTACATGATTTGTAAGGATAAATAAAAGCCTTGATTTACAATCATTTTTACAATATTAGAATTACTTGCAAGCAACAATAACAAAACTCCAGAGACGCTCACATGTGTTTAGCCATGTGACTGGATGTTTGTAAATGTGCGGCAGCAAGAGAGGGAATTAAATAACAGGCCCGTCTGTGAATGGATCAACACATCTGCAGGCAAGCCATGCTTTAGGTCTGCACAAACACACACTTATTCTTCTAACAAATCCTCAGACACACGCACAGCCAAGGATAAACGGAGGGGATTCCAATCGGTCTCTGAAATGACATCACAGCCTGCAAGTTATAAAGTAGAGCCAAAGAAGGGAGTCCCCGCTTCCCCTCTCTCCCAAACGTCTCAGAAAGAACAGAGAGAAGTGCAGAAGCATGTGGCTCTCATTAGTTCAGAGAGAACTCCTTGTATGGGGTTCATGTGCACATGAGCATGCGTGAACACACACACACACACACACACACACACACACACACACACACACACACACACACACGCAGGCACGCATGCACACACACAAACATACTTTAGCAGGGTCTCCACAGTGACCAGTTTTACTGCCCCAGCAATGGAGGAAATGCCAAACTCTGTGTTTAAGAGCTGTTTCGAGAAGCAATTACACGCGCGCACACACACACACACACACACACACACACACGCACACACACACACACACACACACACACACACACACACACACACACACACACACACACACACAGCTCTACTGTAACTCGCTGTCTAGCCGGATAACCTCTTATCGTATCACTCACTCGACCATTTCCCTGTGTTCTTTCTCTCCTCTCCTTGTCCTGACCGTATTTTCCTCTCACTTCCCAACTCCACTCTCTTTCTCTCCCACGTCTCCCTCATTGTCCCTCCTTCCCTCTTGGAATCCACCTCCCTCTGTTCAACATCAGCGGCAGGCTCACTGACTGACTGCAGAGGTAAGTGCTCTCTCTCGGTTTTCCTGTAGTTTGTTACTTTTATGTACTTTGGTGTTCAGAGCTTCTCTGTTTTCCCACAAGGCATTTTTTTTCACAATCTGAACCGCAGGTCATGCCAATGCAGAGGAGTGGAAAAATCCACTTGTCATTAAATATGCACTGTACTATACAGTAAGAACAGGTTAACCCACTGGAGGCAGGCGTTGCAGATTTACAACATTGAAACCTACCTACCAGGCTACTCCACATACGTATTTCATGAGCTTTTTTGTTTTTTTACTCAGAAGTACCCCTGAAGGACTTAGTTGTTCGTCCTTTTATCAAAACTTACTTTCAGCCTGAGAGGGTTCAGAAGAGTCCTGGTGAACTTTGACAGCTGTCATGTGCACCTGAATGGTGTCTGGTAGTGAACAATAAAGTGAATACTTTTTCGTGCATGCAGGTGTGTGAGCTTTAGATTTCCAAGTGCTGTCCCGTCCGTCAGCTACAATAACCGAGCAGAAGCAGCCTGTTCTCCTTACAAACAGAACGCTGTAAGAATCTGTGGACGTCAGTGTTTCAATTCCCAATAGTAAACAGTACCAAAATGACTTGTGGAGGAAAAGGAAACAGAGTAGTAGAGGAGAGAGTGGCCAACTATCTCCAGAGTAAAAAATGATAAACACACACGTCTACAGCTAAAAGTCAGGATTCGCTGAATACAAAGTTGTCTTTTACTGTATCCTGGCTGTATTCCTGTGTGTGTGTGTGTGTGTGTGTGTGTGTGTGTGTGTGTGTGTGTGTCTTTAATCTTGTTCCAAACTGGAAATCTTGCTGATCTTTTAGCATTTGCTAAACTTTGGTGGTATATCCTTTCTAATGTACCGTGTCAAAAATCCCCCCCCCCCCCCCCCCGAATTAAAAAAAAGACTGGCAGGAGATCAGACACGCCAAAATCAAGACATTGATCTGCAGCCCTTAGAAACAAAACTAAACAATTAAGCACACTAAGCAACCTTCAGCAGACTCCCACATGCTGTGACATAACTCACATCTGGATGCAAGACTGCTAAAGCATGTCTCCATCCCCCATAACCTGTTTTAATTTCATTGCGTCCCCATTTCCCCCTTTCTACCCCGACAACCCTCTGGCCTCTCCTTCCTGTCTGTCTGTCTGCTGGCTGTCTTTCTGTCTTTCCGCCCCCGCTCTCAGAGATGAAAGAGAAGAACCCCTGGCACACGCCTGTGACCATCAGCATCACTGTGATTGGTGTCATAGCGATTGTTGCCTTGGTGACGGTTGCAGTTTTGCAGAACAAGCCTGTCCCCCAAAAGTACAAGGTATGCCAGAGGAAATTTCTAAACTATTGAAGCATTGTTGCCTATGAGGAAACAAACTGTATTAACAGCACAGTGAGGTCTTGAACCAACACGTTGAATAGGCTCTAAAGTCAACGTGACCTTGTCAACTCATGCTATTGAGTTTAGAAATCCCACAGCAAACACGGTCAATAGAAGCAGAAAAGACGATAAATGCTGCTTTTATTCTAAGTGCTAACATTGACTGAGATATCATTTAGCTAAAGGAACATATAGCTGATCTAGTTATGGTGTGATTGTCCATGAGTGCTGCTGTCATCACATTTGAAAGGCACATATGGAAAAAGCAATTTGGGAAAGTTAATGACACAAAGAGCTTATCAGGAATTCCTCGTTTTGTCTTGCCTCCAGTATGGGATTGTGCTGGATGCTGGCTCTTCTCACACAGCTCTTTACATTTATAAATGGCCAGCAGAGAAGGATAACAACACTGGAAGAGTGGAACAGGAACATTCCTGCAAAGTAAAAGGTAAAGTAAAGGCTCCACGACGTGTTTCACATGATCTCATATTCAAGTGTTCAAGCCCAAGTGAGGAAAAATGCAAATATTTAGAGTGCAGGCAAAGTTAAACTTTAATAAATAAACATTTATTTCAACCTTTAGAGAAATGGGTCATAAACTAAACAGGTTTTATTGAACTGAAGACGATTTTAGAAACTATATAAAAAGGAAATACTGTCATAATGGGGTCAGACCTTCTCCCAACCCTCAAGTATTCTGAAGTGTTACCACTACACACTTGTCGCTACAGGAAAGTGGCTGAAATAGCCACATTCATGAGCTGGTGACAAGGCTAAGTAAACTAAAGGCTCGGTCATGGAGTGGGAGCTGATTTTACCCAACAACACCAGTATCTGACTTCTGCAGATGTAGTCCTGTCAGACTGACCATGGGACTTGGTCTGAAATGGACACACGGTTCGGGATATGAAGCAAAGAAAGAGGATGCTCCCAGGGTCTGATTTTGTTTAACATCATGTGGAAACAGGTCACATGAACTCCTTTCATCACAGACCTTGACAGCAAGAAAATTCTGAAAGTCATTTATCATTTTGATGGATTGGACTAAGAGTGTAATGTACCGTAACACCACCCAATCCACAGCACCATCACTCACTCACCACATGTAGACAACCTCTAGGTCGCCCAGGCCAGTTGGTAGAGAGTGTGAATTATTATTTTAGATATTGCTTAAGAACATTTTGTTTGTGCATTCAGTAACTTGTTGTTCAGCATCTAAACATGGTATTGCTAAGTAATTAAAATATGTCATGGAACCAAATCGTCCCAAGTGCTTCTGGGTAAGTCGTGCAGTCTGTCTGTGGAAAACAAACAATGGGAAAGTGGAAAATGTACCACAGGCAAGCAATTTGATCTTTCTGTATGCACTCAGAGAACCAGGTGAGCAAACTGTAATAAGAAGGATTTTGGCTGATAGAAGAAAGGGTCAAAATGATGAGAGATTCATCAGGAAAAACTTCATGACAGCAGGATGCTCTAATGGGCACGTTTGGTTGATACCCTTTGGGTTGTCAAGTTTGTTTGGAAGCTGTTTTGATACCATACATAGTAGTTAGTAGTACATACACCAGTTCACTTAAATGGTGTTCCTAGAAATCTCATTTTAGAATGAAGAATGAATACAAGTGTGCTCTGAGATTTAAGACAAGTTCAAGATCATTTCCTAGATTTGAACTGGAATGAGGATCGCTATTTAATGTAGGTTTTTCCCGGTCGAAATCCTTTAGTCCTCTCTCAAATCTGTCTTCTCTGTCCAGAATGTGTACTTTATTATCTTCCAAAGTGTGTCCCTTGTCCTTCAGGGGCAACCCCTGTTTAACACTGGAAGTATCATCAGTGGAACGGTTTACTCATGAGCTTCAATGCGGTCCAGTCCACACTGAGAGAGTCTTGGCTGTGGAGTGGCTTGTCTATTCCTGCTCCTCGCTGAACTCGCGAGATCACTAAATCCCTCAAGACTTCAGAAGTCATAGTTTGTTTGTGCAATCTGCCATCAAACCAAAAAGAAGGAAATCACATTTGATGTCACAGTTTGATGTCATATATGAGGTTGTTCCTCTCCACTGCCAGGATTAAAGCCATGAAAAACACACAGCTGCACTTCTCGAACGATGCTGGACGTAAGGAAGCGGTTAGGTCACCTTATTGATGTAATCTACATATTATCTTTTATTTTGAATATTACCGGGGGTTTAATGCTGAAACAGTGTGTGATTTCCTGTCTAGCCCTATGCGGAAATTAGCGTGTCCCAGAAGCAGCTTGCGTAAACAATAGAACCCGATCCTTTTTATTTTCTTTCTGGCATGCACCTGAACATTGCCGCATCGTGGCTGGAAAGACCCTTACAGATTATAATGACTTTTACCTGAAGCAGTGACATTCCACGCCACTGATGTTTCCAGTGTGAAATAGGGGTAAGGAACACACTTTTGAAGATTCAATTCAATTCAATTCAAGTTTATTTATAAAGCGCCAAATCACGACAAGAGTCGTCTCAAGGCACTTCACATAATAAAAATTCCAATTCAGGTCAGTTCATTAAGGCAATCAGAAATAATGTTTCCTATATAAGGAACCCAGCAAATTGCATCAAGTCACTGACTTTTGTCAGTGTCTTTACAGCAATCCTCATACTAAACAAGCATATAGCGACAGTGGAGAGGAAAACTCCCTTTTAACAGGAAGAAACCTCCAGAGAATCCTGGCTCAGTATAAGCAGCCATCCACCACGACTCACTGGGGATCGAGAAGACAGAGCAGACACACACACACACACACACACACACACACACACACACACACACACACACACACACACACACACACACACACACACACACACACACACACACACACACACACACACACACACACACACACACACACACACACACACACACAAGATGACAAAGTACACATTCTGGACAGAGAAGATATATAGTTTGAGAGAGGAGTGAAGGAAGCGATCTATGTTAAACAGGAAAAACTTAGGGGGAAGTCTCAGATTTCACTTTTCCAGCACCTATAGTGCAACTTTGAATACTATTCCTAAACAGTCTCACTCTAGGACACACCCTCCTGCATCGAATCAACACAGCTATTCCCTCACAATAGAGGCTAACAACCCAAACGACTCATCAGGAGGTAGGGAGGAGAGGTATTCATAGGTAGTTTCAGCTCGTTAAGCAACAACAATAGTTTATAAACCTGACGCTCCCATATTCCAGTCAGAAATGACAAAGGTCCTCAAATGAGAAGCAAAATGTCTTCAAGAAACCAAAGAAATCCAGTTACCTTTATCTGAACCCCATTTGGATTACCATGACCTGCACGACTGACAACCTTCACCAGTATGTTGAAATACAAGTAAAATAAATTATTTAATTATTGATTTCTTTAAACAGTAACGTCAACATCAGCATATATGTCATGTGTATATATATATATATATATATATATATATATGTAAACATGACAGCCCCTGAAGGTAAAGCCAATAGAGAAAATTTCATTTTCCAAAAAACTAGAAGCAGAAGCATGAGCGTTCTACTTCAGTTCACTACTTAAAATCTTTAGTCTTCCCCCTTTGCAGTAGAATTGTTTCACTACACATTTACTTGCATACACACATCCTTTATGATCCTTCAACTTCACGTTGATTCTCTTTCACACAGAAACATTTCATATATCAACAAACGTATCTGCATTTGCCTACAAATTTCTATGCATTTCTTGTGGTAACAAAACCTAGACGAGGTTGATAAAAAGAGAAAAAATCATTCCACAGAATCGCCAACATGGTTGTCAGATCTATTATAATTGGGGCTGGGTGAATAGCTTTAAAAATTACATCAAATCTGATTTCCACTGTTAATCTATTGATTTTCTCCCTTCCTTTCCTGAAATGGAAATTACGATGAACACAATACATTTTCAGAAACTTGCTTTTATCTTAAGCATCCCTTCTGGGAGGGGACCTGAATTCAAAGTCCAACAAGCTGTAAAACAAGGTGGCAAGCACCGCCATAGTAAACAATGACTAAAAAACACATCAAATGTTTGCATGCTCGCTCGGAAATCTTAGAATAATAAGGTATGAAGTTGTGCCTTCTGGTGCTTTTTAGACTGAAACTTTGGTCATCAGGGTTTGTCTTTATTGTAGCTGTCTGTTTTCAGCCACATAGAAAATCATTTATGATTAAATTCTGTCAAGAAAAAGAATGATGTTCAGCGTGAAGGCAGTTGTCTGATCTATGCTAGTTCCATATAGACTGAATCCAGTTTCATTAATTTTGATTTTGTGTTCGTCGTTCAGGTAAAGGTATTTCCAGCTATGCAGAGACACCCTGGCAGGCAGGAGAGTCTCTGACAGAATGCATGGAAGATGCTGTGAAGCAGGTTCCTACAAAACGGCACTTTGAGACCCCTCTATACCTGGGAGCCACTGCTGGAATGAGATTGCTTCAGTATGCTCCACACACACACATCCTACTAACAGAAGTAAACAGTGATTACTTAACACTCGTGTGATGACAGGTACACAGCACTATTGAGTCACCACTGTTATGTCATCCACAGCCAGCCAAAGATATCATCACCTGCCAAAGTACCACCTTAGGGGAAGTTCCTCCCACAGTGGAACGGCTTTCTAATCACTGATAACACCTGGTTTACATTCATGCACAAGGCACAGAATTAAACCCACCACTGCAGCATCAGTTTTGCATTTGAACTGTTTTTCATACTGGAACCTTCAAGTTTTAACACTTTATCATTATGACAACTGAAAAAATTGGGTTTCTTCAGTTATTCAGGTCATCTTTTAGACTATTTTTGGCCAATTTTCCAAGGGCACCGGATTACGGTTCTTGAGATTGATGTTTGCCTCTCAATAAACCAACATATATTGAATTACTAGTCTGTTCATCACACAGACTATATCTTTGATCTAAATCTTTGACATTTGCTAGATGAAACAAACTTCTCTTTACAGATGAGTCATGAAACCTAAACAGATGCCTTTGTGGTGGTATCAATATTTAATCCTTCCTGCCTGACACCAGGGCCCATGGGTTGGTGTGCACAGAATGACTTAAAGCGCAAGTCACCCCCTACCAGAGAATTACTCCACTCCCACTTCCTGTTTGAAAAATGATGTGACAAATGCTTTTGCCTAGCAGACCGAGAGGACGGAGCCGCTAACAAATACACACACACAAACTCACAATGACATTGTGACATCATACTGTACCAGCTAACGTTATAGGGTACCTCTTAGCCAATAGCGATGGCAGATTTAAATTCAGCTGCAGTGCAGAGTTTTTACCTGACAACAACACAACACTGACAGTTTTAGGCAGAAAATGAAAATTTTAACTAAAATGCACGAAAGTGCTAAACTATTGACTACACATGTCTGCAGCATGATCAGACACACATTTATATAGTTTATCCAAAAAAAAGTTGATTTGGGGGTGACTTGCTCTTTAATCCTCCTCTAGGGTAAACTATCCTCATCCACAAACACTCCATACTCAAAGTCATTAGTCCTCTGTTGCAACTTCTAAAAAGTAAAAAACAATAAACAATCAAAATAGTTCTGCCATTACAGCCAGATCATAGTACGGCCATGTGCCTTTGATGTTTCTAAATGTGAGTTATGTATATGCACACTTTAGTACCAGGACAATAAGTACAATGCATTATTATTATTATTATTATAATGCCATCAAATTCACTTTAAACGATACAGTCTGTTAATTATTTATGGTCTGATGTTCTGACTTGAATTATGAATGAGACTCACTCTACTAACTTGGCACTACTTTATGTGTGTGTTTAGTATGGAGAACAGTGTGGCATCAGACAAGGTTTTCCAGGCTGTGGAGAAATCCCTGCAAAAATTCCCCTTTTCCTATCAGGGAGCAAGAATGCTCAGCGGGCAGGAGGAAGGCGCCTTTGGCTGGGTCACGGTCAACTACTTGGACGATCGCCTCAAACAGGTCAGTGTGAATAATCTAAACACAAGTCTGTGCACATTTGTCCACTTGAAGGTTTTTGTGTCAGAGCCCTCCTACTGCACGCTGACGTCAGTCCCTTTTGTTTTTCCTAAAGGGTCTAGAAACAACGGGTGCCCTTGACCTTGGTGGAGCTTCAACCCAAATTAGCTTTGTACCTAAAAATTACATCATTTCAGAGTCACCCAGCAACTCTGTGACCTTCAGACTCTATGGAAATGACTATAACTTGTATACTCACAGCTTCCTGTGCTATGGGAAGGACCAAGTGCTACGACTGGCACTAGCACACCAGACTAAGGTAAACCCTAAAGTTTCTGACTGATTAGATATGGCTGTTTCTGGGACATGTGGCTAAAATTTACAATGGAACAAAACATTAACTTCAAAATGCTTTCTCTCTTTGCTTCTGTTGCACTCTTTATCTTAGTCAGGTCCAGGAGAAATAGCAGATCCATGTTTCCACCCGGGCTACTCAGAGTCCAAGAACTACTCAGTCCTCTATGACAGTCCCTGTGTGTCTGATAGGAAACCACAGGGTGCTCCTGTAACCTTCCATCACAAAGGGGAAGGAAACTTCCAACAATGCCAGGAAGTTGTAAAAAATGTCTTTAACTTTACTTCCTGCAAATACAGCAGATGCTCTTTCAACGGAGTCTTCCAGCCACCTCTGCACGGACAATTTGGGGTAAAGATGCAACTTTATTTTAGCAGGCTGCCTCACTTGTTAGGCTAAGTGCTGCTGGGCTAATCTATAACTGATCCATACCTTCTGTACACTTTTATAAGACATAAAACACGTTTGCCACCTATAGAGCAAATCCAGGTCTAATTACTTGTTTTTAAAAAAGAACCATGTGTACAAAAGTATTAGAAACTGACCCTATTTTCTAAAGGTAAACTGACAAAAATGCATCAGAAAATCAAAAAAAAAAAAAAAGCACTTTCACTAAACTTTTAAACTGTTTGTTTTGTTACCAAATGCAAACCAAACATAATGATGATTGTGAATCATATTAGGATACTTAAGTTTTGATTCCAGGTTGCTTCATAGACATCAGCCAGACTCGTTTTCCTCATGTATTCCTCTCACTGTAGGCTTTCTCTGCTTACTACTATGTGATGGACTTCCTCAACCTCACAGATACATCCGTCCCTTTAACAACTGTGAAGGACAAGCTAGCAAAGCACTGTGCTACTCCTTGGAACCAGGTTGGACCATCAGTCTATCGCACAGACACACACGATGCTCTGCAGCCTTCCTTCATTTCCATATCTTATCAATGTCACTGATGAGATCTACGCAATTTTACTGCTTGAACAGATAATACAACAGCATCCAGAGATACATGTGAAATATCTGGCTGAGTATTGCTTCTCTGGAGCGTACATTCTCACGTTGCTGACAGAAGGATACAACTTCACCTCAGAGAGCTACTCCAGCATTAAATTCATCAAGAAGGTGAGCAGGATCAGCGTTCTTCTTTTCTTTTACTTGTTCAAGGAGTTTTTACCTCCAAGTGACCTAACGTGCAAATAGGACAATGGAGAAGATCCGTGAAGATGTTTCAGGCTTTGAATGGATAATAAAATCTTACAGTTAGTGATTGTTCTATAAATGAGTTCTCATGCAGATTTTGTTTTATTCTTTCATTTAAAACAAGAATGAGTAAAAGTAGTCACCAGTTAAACACTTTAGCAGCTATCAAACAGTTCCAAAGGGGCTTCATATTCCTTCAGTTAAATCACAAGAAATGTTCAGCAAATAATGAAAATAAACAACTTGGATTGCTATTGTAAACATCTTCAGTTAAATATAATAAAACAAAAAGAATCTGGTTTCTCTGGAGATAATTATAAATGTAGCAGTGACTTTGAATTTGAACTCAAATAATAACAAACGATTCAAGTGATTATTTAAATATTTTTTTTACGACTTGAGCATCAATCATCTTGTTTTTAACTTTTAAGTGATTTTCAGTCACCAAGACACCAGATCTCATGTGTGCTGGGACAACTACTCTACAAACAAATCTGGAAAGGATATTTCATTCACTCACTATTGTACTATTGCAGAGACAAAGTGATATTTTACCAATAAATCTAGGAAATACTGCATTGTACAAATCTTTGTAGAGCCAAATAAAAGATCTCAACAGCTAGCTAGCTGCCACATGGTTTAACAATAACTAGCAAAGCTATCAAAGGATCAGTTTTGGCTTAATATCCTTCTTCCTGTGGCCAAAATATTTCCATGCGTATGCCATAACTATTTGTTTGATGGTTGAAGCATTGCATTGCTGGGTGTCCATGTCTCCCGTCTCTTTGCTTGTAGCACACACGGCCTGCATAGCTCCCTCTAGCAGCACACTGTGTTTTGTAAATAAGACAGATCAGAATTTTTCACATGAATCCAAGAACTCCTAGATTGACCCTCCCACTGTCTTCATGGGTGACCCCGCGAGCAAAGTTGACCATTGAGCAGGATTGATGGTTTATCCCTTGAGGTTCACGTGGCTTTTATTAAGCACTTGACAATTTCACTGCCATTCAGAGGGTTGTCATTTAGAATGATTATCAATGAATTTACATCACACCAGTCACTCACTCATGCACACGTACATTCACAGCCTGGTGGTGATGACCTACAATGTAGCCACAGCTGCCCTGGGGCTCACTGCTGAACACAGGTGCCACTTGGTGACATTCCAAGATGGTGGCGCACATGCACAGGCGCAGTGGCTCAGTGGTCTCTCTTTGGTGTTTTGTTTGGATGCTGTGGGTGCTTGTGTGTCAAACGTTACTCTTTGCAACATTGTGTTCATCCTGCTCAGCTAACAACATCCACAGCCGACGCAGTCTCCTAGAAATAGGCTTATGCAGCGAGCGGGCTATTACAACCAAATTTCTCTGCTCACATGGCATTCGCCCCGGCTCTTCGTGGATTACCAGCCCAGAAGAGAGGCAAAGGGAGTGGCGCTGGGAAAGGAGGCAAAAGTGGGGCTGCAGAGTTGGAATACTGGTGAGGATGAGGAAGCAACCACAAAAGCAGCCGCTCCCGAGTGTTTTCCTTACCAACGCAAAATCCCTGGTGAACAAGATGGATGAATTGAATTTGGCTATCGAGTTAGCGGGCCGGACGGTACACTGTCACGACAGGGCCAAGGACTCTGGTAAAAGCAACTTTTGCATGGACAATGTCCCTGTGGATAAATGCATTTGTATTTATCCAGACAGGAAGCCGTGGATGACTAAAAAAGTGCAGTGCTTGCTCAGGGCGAGGAACATTGCCTTCAGGTCTGGTGATGGGGTGTTGTACAGCATCGCCAGGGCCAACCTGAAGAGAGGCATCAAAGAGACAAAGGCTGTTTATAAAAAGACGACTTGGACTGTTTCCAGAGTCATAACTCTAGGCATATTACCAACTATAGATCCAATACCTCAGCTGAAGCTAGTGACACCTCACTGAGGAGCTGAACCACTTTTTTGAGGCATCGCAGGATTGGTGCTACGAGACTGCGCAGATCAACTGGCCGGGGTTTTTACCATCATCTTCAACCAGTCATTGTCTCAGGCTGCTGTCCCTCCATACCTCATGTCATCAGCCATCATTCTACTCCCAAAAATGTCCATCATAAGCAGCCTAAATGACTTCTCTCCAGTAGCATTGACACCTATTATCATGAAGTGCTTTGATAAACTGGTAAGGACACACCTAGGTGCAACAGGTCCAAGGAGGACGCCATTGCCCCAACAACACTGCGAACTAATTCTCAAAGGCAGAGTTTTTAAAAACGGTTTAAAAATGAAACAAAAAGCAGCTGTTCATATAATCTTGGACAGACTGATTTGCGTGTTTTTGACACAATGCCGGTCATTCAAATTTTCACTTGTTCACTAACGGTGCACTCATTCTTCGGTCGTGAATCAGACTCCATGACAGAACTTTCTTATCATAAACAGTAAAGAGACTGAACAACTTCATTTTGCAGTTGCACCTTTCTTTGGATTGTATTATTACTGTAACAATGGTGGATTTCATAGATTTGAATATCAATTCAGAACAAATGATGTTTGCATTGTGATATATTCAAAAAAGCTAATTTCTACCACCACCCCCAAGCTTTATTAGTAAATATGGTTGCTTTTAAATATCGTTTATTGGTGTTTCACATTCTTATCACATGTGATTATTGCTGAACAAGTCCCAACACTTTTGAAGCTAAAGGTCTCTTATGCAGAAACTACTGACTAAAAACTACAAAAAGACCACAAATGGCCGACTGTGTCCCACCAGCATGTCCTTTTGTTGGAATATTTTGAATGAATTCAGGAATCCAATTCCACTCATCTTTAGTTTATTTAGACATTTTGAGGAGCTAAAGAAGCCCCGTCTGCCCAGCAAAATGCCACAGGAGCAATTATCACATGAAATCACTCAAGAAAACATATGCCAGACAACCACAACAATGAGTTGGAAACAAACACAAATCACCTCACCACAGGAAAATTCATGACAACATCCAATTCATCCCATATGCTGCAGGAATACTGGAGACAGCCAAATCACTTGAGGATGTTTCTAATTAAGACACAGCTGAATTCAGTGATGTGGGAGCCAACCCAGACATGAAAGAACAAGATGTAGTAACACAATGCAACATTTAAAGCCGTTGATGCATTCCCTAGTATCCTGGCTGTAGTAAAAGTTTCCCCTCATTCAAACAATTAAGGCTGAAAAACAAAAATAACCCTCATAATTATTTTTCCAGAAGTTATCTCTTGTTGAATCACACATGTATTCATTTCCTGCTGCATGCTCATTAGAAAACATACATAAAATATATTTAGCTGTTAGTAGTTATTCATGTTTTAAAACACCATTATTGCTTGAGTAACTAGACGTCACTGTCAGCCCCCTACTGTGCAGACTCTGACTCCAAAAAGCCATCATGGCAACACACAGACAGGACGTTGTGGATTCATTTACTAAAGTAAAACAGTGTCTGGTTTTTATTTGAGTTAAGGCCACACTTCAACCAGTACTGTGTTGAAAATGATTTCAAAACATAAATGAAAATAAAAAGGACTCAATCAGGCAACAAAGAAGCAAAGGTGGAGAGTACTTAAATAATCTACTCAAGTAAAAATACATTTATGATGGATTTTTACTTGGATTCCACTAAAGTTACTTGTGTAACAATATTAGATCTGCTCTGTGCTCTCAAACCCAAAATCAGTGGTGGCGGATGGCTCCTTATACTGAGCCAGGATCCTCTGGAGGTTTCTTCCTGTTAAAAAGTTTTCCTCCCCACTGTCGCTACATGCTTGTTTAGTATGAGGATTGCTGAAAAAACACTGACTCAACAAGTCAGTGACACCATGCAATCTGCTGAGGTTCCAAAATTGTTGTTGATATGATGTAGGACAACAAACGATTAAATACATCAAGAACTAATTTTATTGGGTCATTTTCCAAAACAGTTTTAAATAGACAGCTAAAAGCTAAACACCTGAAGTAAAGTGACTTATGAGAAAATGTGTACACTAGTAGCCCAAACTAAAGACAGAAATTTGTTTTCTACTCAAATCAAGATCAATTCTATTCATATAATTGATATTTAGCATTATGCAGGCTGATGTTTAAAATACAACGAACAATACAAATTATTTCTTTTTACTGGCACGGTAGCTAATTTCTTATAATGTTTTGATCCAACAAAATAAAGGTCAGTATCATCAAGGAGAGCAGTTGACAGTATTTTGACTGGTTTTCTCAAACATTTTACTTTGCTGCAAATGGTAAAAATGTAAATCTGTAATTTAAACCAACCTGCATGTACTTGCACAGTTTGATGTGAAGCTGCTAATGCTGAAGCTTTACTGGTGTTTAGAGCCTGCTTTACAGATGGCCAGAGGCCCTAAGACATTGCTGTGTTTATTTTGAAATCAGTTTGATCAGAGCAGGTATGAGGAGCTTTACTACAAAGCTGTCCAGGTGGATGTCTCCATCTTGGGATTTGTGTTTGTTCTGCCCATTCGTTTCCAGCTCAGGATTTGTTTTTTGTTATTATTTTCACCCGGTAAAATAGTGCAACAGTATTAACTAACTTTAACCTTTATACTACTTGATTACAATAATTTAAGTAAATGTAATTAGTTACTTCCCATCTCTGCAATAAAGAAACTGAAAGTTAGCAACATGAACAGAATTATCAGCTGCTGAACTTTGGAACTTGAATGTTTCCTTTCACCATTTCTTGTTATTGCAGTGAAGAGATTCCTATTAGTGCTGAAGTACTTGTTACTGAAGATAAAATAAAGGATATAATGCTTCATTCTCTGACCAATGAAGCAAAACATGTAGCTATTCTGGTAATGACTAAAGAAATACTTTACTCACATCTTCAATCTTTACATTTATTCAAATGCTGTGAAATGCATATTTAAATGAGCTGGTGTATTATGAATAAAAAAGGGTTGCATGTTTGTTCAATTTACATGAAATCTTAGATTTCTTCATGCCTTGTTGGCAAGAAATGTTCTGTGACGATGTCAAAGAGCAAAAAGAGCCAACGCTGTCTTCCTGTGCTGTTTCCAGATAAAAGGCAGCGATGCAGGCTGGACGCTGGGCTACATGTTGAACTTGACCAACATGATTCCTGCAGAAGCTCCGGACTCACCCCCTCTGCCACACGCTGGCTATGTTTCTATAGTTACTGTCATTGCATTGCTAATCTTCACCCTCTTCATCATCTTCCTCTGCCGTTTCCGGCCCAGTTCCAGCAAGCAACCACAGATCGTATAAACAGATATCTCTATATTTGACTCGTGTGTGAAGGAGGTTGTGTCTGTGAAGGTTTGTGTGTGTCAACATGGTGTTCTCTCCCCATTTGTGTATAGGTCAAAGGTCAGTTCAAGCTAAAGAATAAACACCTTTACTCAGTGGAGAGTGAGACCAGCATCTCTGGTTGAAGGATTTTTGAATGTATGTATGTGTGTGTGCTTGAACTTCAGTGTGTGAATGCCTGAGTGTGTGTGTATGTGTGTGAATCCACATGTATGTGTTTATAATTATGTAACAGTAAAAATAAAACATGTTTATATAAAGTGTGTAGTTTAGTTCTTGACATGTTCTTCAAAAATAAAATTAAGAAAGTTATAAAAGAAAACACAATTTAAAAGTTACACATTTTATTAAAACCCTTACAACCAGCACAACAACAATGAATGTAAAACTATCCGTAGTTTATTGCAACTTTCAGATTTTTGTGACAGCGGACATAATGCACGTGGTTACTTCAGACAGGCAACACATTGGGTGATTTTTGACAAAAACGTTGCCTTCAAAAGGACCCCTTCCGTTACAGATAAAAGTGCTTCCCTCTAGTGGAAATCCGATTACACTGCAGCTTGGTGACATCATTCCAGGGCTGCCAACTTTTGCACATTTCAAAGAGTGAGACGGGGTCTTGGGGTTGGGAGCAGACAATTCGCCGACCGTTTATAGCGGGGGTGGTGTGTGTGTGTGTGTGTGTGTGTGTGTGTGTGGGGGGGGGGGGGGGGGGGGGGTTGCGACTACTCTGTACCGAAGAGGATTAGAGCCATTGACAAGAAAAAAAAAAGAAAGAGAATTCTTTCTTTTGTCTCAGAATTCTGACTTTTAATCTCAGAATTCTGACAGGGAATTCTGGGGAAAAAGACACAATTGTGTTTCTTTTCTCTTTTCCTTTTCAGTGGCCCTAATCCTCTTCTGTACCTCTGACTTTACAGAGGGAACTGACCTTTGTTTACTACAATTTTTCTTTTTGTGAGGAAAATTTAACATCCAACTCTCCTGAACTCCTTCACATTATCTATCTATCTATCTATCTATCTATCTATCTATCTATCTATCTATCTATCTATCTATCTATCTATCTATCTATCTATCTATCTATCTATCTATCTATCTATCTATCTATCTATCTATCTATCTATCTATCTATCTATCTATCTATCATCTATCTATCTATCATCTATCTATCTATCTATCTATCTATCTATCTATCTATCTATCTATCTATCTATCTATCTATCTATCTATCTATCTATCTATCTATCTATCTATCTATCTATCATCTATCTATCTATCATCTATCTATCTATCATCTATCTATCTATCTATCTATCTATCTATCTATCTATCTATCTATCTATCTATCTATCTATCTATCTATCTATCTATCTATCTATCTATCCATCTATCTATCATCTATCTATCTATCTATCTATCTATCTATCTATCTATCTATCTATCTATCTATCTATCTATCTATCATCTATCTATCTATCTATCTATCTATCTATCTATCTATCTATCTATCTATCTATCTATCTATCTATCATCTATCTATCTATCTATCTATCTATCTATCTATCTATCTATCTATCTATCTATCTATCTATCTATCTATCTATCTATCTATCTATCTATCTATCTATCATCTATCTATCTATCTATCTATCTATCTATCTATCTATCTATCTATCTATCTATCTATCTATCTATCTATCTATCTATCTATCTATCATCTATCTATCTATCTATCTATCTATCTATCTATCTATCTATCTATCTATCTATCTATCTATCTATCTATCTATCTATCTATCTATCTATCTATCTATCATCTATCTATCTATCTATCTATCTATCTATCTATCTATCTATCTATCTATCTATCTATCTATCTATCTATCTATCTATCTATCTATCATCTATCTATCTATCTATCTATCTATCTATCTATCTATCTATCTATCTATCTATCTATCTATCTATCTATCTATCTATCTATCTATCTATCATCTATCTATCTATCTATCTATCTATCTATCTATCTATCTATCTATCTATCTATCTATCTATCTATCTATCTATCTATCTATCTATCAGCAGTAAAGAGTTACAGCTACGTGTCACAAATGTCACACAGGAACTTTGAATTATAATTAATGTACATTTTTTAAATTTCCATCTGGGGGTGGGCAATTTCATGTCATTCATAATATTACCAGTAATTATTTGCTGCCAAGAAAACTAAATCTGTCATGTTAAGCTAACTTCATGATGTAATTGCATCCACTAAACAGAGGACTATGTTCATGTGGGTCATCAGCATGAAGATATCAAAGCAAACATGGCTGGAATCAGTTTGACCTGTAATCTGATTCTCTAAGTGTGTGTGCTGCTGTGAGTTAATGTCCTCTCTGTGGGACTCATAAAATTTACTCTGTTCTATCTTATGTAATTCATGTCAGCAGTAGAAGAAAAGTTTGAGGAGTTTTGGCCCTTCCAGGCTTCCGTACCAGTAACCTGGTTATGGAGGAGGGGTTAGTCTCACAAACAGGAAAAACACACTGGTGAAGTGGTGAATTCAAACATTTAATTCACCGCATCACCAACTAATGTAGGAGAGGGAACATGTGAGTGAGTCACCATGGTAGAAAGACCAGCTTGCTGTGAGTAAGGATCTGTGGCTGATGAGTGAAAACAAAAGAGAAACATCCGGGACTGAAACTCCGTCAACACCGGCTAGCGACGCGGCTGCATTTCTAAATAAAGCATGTCATTTTGGCGGCGCTCGCAGCTGCAGCTCACGGTTCTGGGAGAACCGGGCATGCCCGTCCCATCAACAGCAGGTGGAGCTCACCGCTCCGCCCATCTCACAACCAGAGTGGGAAAAAAAGCACACTGGCTTGGATTATACAGATGGGATTCTGTGTGTGAACTAATGCCAGTTAAAGTAGTACGTAAGTGTTGTTTATGTGCTTGTTGTTCAGTAGCTAATGCTATAATTAATATCATCTGTTTTGATTTTCAGAAGCCCTACACACTGTGCATGATGCACATTTGGGGAGCGCAGGCGCTGGTTTAGCGTGAGAGATTGGAGGTGTGGCGTGAGAGCGTGTGAAAAGGGTCAGATGCGTGTGTCTCACGCTCAGTGCGTGAAAGTTGGCAGCTCTGTGACATGCTGTAGCCCATCAGGAACTAAAAGCCAAAAATTACCATCTGTTAGAAACCAGGAAGAAAAATGTTTATTCCCTGCCACCATCTTCATGGAATACTTGCACAAGGTTTACTCTTGACCAACAGACAATTTACCAAGTTCTTCAGTTGCTCTGTTGGCTTTACTGATGCCAAGAAGGCAAATGGCATATGCAAATCCCATCTGAGAGAGAGTGTGCTAAAAGTGTGTTTCCAAGTTCCAACATCAACACTCTGTCTGGAAATGAAAAGTCAAAGGCTGTCCCTCTGTTTGTTGGGCCAAGCCCTTCCTCAGATTTCTATCTGCAAGCAGCAAAGCAGCAATAGAGAAAACAATACCATAGTGATGTTATGTGGGTGGTTTCTGTTTTAACGCCACATATCAATGTTGGTATTGGCAGACAGATATCAGCTTTTAAAGACTCTGCAGCCAAAGTGTATACTGTATGTACACACACTTATGTTCATAAGGAAAAGTTCACGAGTCAGTCCCTTAAAAACTATTTGTACATAACACCCCCCTAAAATCCCAGACAGCTGTTATCTCAGGTTTCCATTAACAGCGGATACTGCAACGGGGGCGTAAGGAACTGTTGTGTTGTTCTGCCTCATGGTCTCTGCCTGTTCTGACACTGAAGGGATTACCGGCGGCTGAACTGAAGATGTCATCTGATACGTCGGGTCAGTCGCCTGGCCACTCAGGTGATCGTGATCAATGATGTTGGTGGATTCTGAGTCCAGTTCTCGAATGTTTTCTTGGAGGAACTTCTGTCTTAGTTGTCTCATTTGGGGAAGCTCAAAGAATGTCTCCATGACAACCAGGACACACACCAAACCTAGCAGCAAATATACTGGGAAACCAAACACACACACACACACACACACACACACACACACACACACACACACACACACACACACACACACACACACACACACACACACACACACACACACACACACAGTGGGCATGTTAAAACCAAGACCAGTGGTACATGACTTAAGCCTAATTTATACGTCTCCGTCTGCGTCCGGACGAACACACGCAACGCCATTATCCGTGCCCTCACAAGGACGGACGGAGTCGAGCTCTCTTTTCAAAACATCCGTCCGACGTAAAGGAGAATGCAAGCTTGTGATTGGCCAGGACGGCGCTGTCCTCAACAGTGCCCTCAAAAACATAAAGAGATCCGGGGGTATCTACCGGCAGACATGGAGCAGCTTGAAGAATACCTCGTGGAAAAACTCTAAAACTATGAAGGTTTTATTAACCCGTGACTGGAGGAGTGAAAAGATACGCAGCAAGAGTTTTATTCGTGGACGGAAATGATGGGAAACATGGGTTTAGAGGTGGCAAGCGCATGATGAGGTGGAGGAGAATGAGAGACTAATTTGTCCATGTTAAAAAGTCTCTTAAATAGAAAAAGCACAATAATAAATGTACCACCTTGGACCGGATACATGACAGGATACCACAGAACAGTGCTACGCCCTCTTTTGTCCTGGTGGGGAATTGCTTTGCAACACTCCCCAGGAGACGGAGAAGTCAGAGAGCAAAACATCTCCATCCACGCGTGCATGTCTCTCCTGTGTGGAGCTGACAAAGAAGTATAAATTAGGCTTAATCAAATTTGGGTTAGGTTTTGTTAACAGAAGGTGGAGTAAAATATCATTATTTGCCTTTTAACCTTGGCAGACCATACATTTCTTCATGAAACTTTTGTTATTACAAAGACTTTTTATGTTTAACTTGTGCAAAGTGTAAGAGAGATATGGAGTAGTCTTTAGGCAGCATATTTTAGCTGTTCAGGAACCATTACGGCAAGATTTTTCAACCAATGTTAAATAAAATGCATCAACTAGCTGGTTTAGAAAGACTCAACTGGTGTCATGTAACAAAGTACACATGCTTTGTTACTTAATTCAAGTAGAAGTTTTGGTTATCTAGCTGACTTTTTACAGCTACCACTTCACTTTTCATGCCTTTTCACATCCCCTCCTGGAGGAGTTGACCCAAGTGGCTGGGTAGAGGAAAGTCTGGGCCGCTCTGCTTAGGCTGTTGCCCCAGCAACCTGGCCCCAGATAGGTGGAAGGCAATGAATGGATGAGTAGATGGATGGGTGGATGAATGGTATTTTTTACACAACTATCTGTACTTTCTACTCCTTAATCGGCTTGGGCGGTATTATGGTATAACTGTACATGGGCAGTGATATATAATAGCAACGGTGTCAGTTCCAATACCGTCACGAATAAAACAGTGCACGTAGGAGAGCAGGGTTAAAAAATAAAAGCAAAAATGTATGTAAAAAAAAGATAACTAAAAGTAATGTCATAAAACAGAAGTGTGGTTGAATTTTCTGTTTTACTTAAATAGTTTAAAATGTTTTGTCCGACTTTTGGAGACTTGCCAAAAAGTTTCAAAACAACACAACCTCTGCAGTTTGGGAGTGTTCTGCTGGTTCGAAACAAACTTAAAAGGAGAGCCGCCAAACACTGATGAGGTAGTTTGTGCAAACAAAAGATGACAGCGAAAAATGCACGGCTCCGCCTGTACCGCAGAGGAGTGAACTGTAGCTGAAATAGCACCTTTCTGTCTCTCTGTTTTTAACAGACAACAACGCACTTTTCTGGTGAAAAATAAGCTGCCAGCCTTCCACAGATGTCGCGACTAGCACCAATGTTGGTGCCACAAGCTCATTGAATCGGGTTTTCAGAAGTCAGAGGTTGACGTAAACATGCTGGTTTTTCTGGCGAAAAATCTTATTATAAACTGGTTTTTTTTTTTAAATTGTTAATATTATGTATCTTATGTTGTTATTGTTTTAGTAATAGTGTTTGTTACTCAGTTTCTAAATGGTGAAGGTCCAAACTGACAGCTTGGTAATGCCACTTGAGGCTTACGTCATCATTTTTAAATTAGTCCCAGTAATACCGTACACCTTGGTGTAATGTGGAGGAAGCTAGACGGTATTAAAATCTGGAAACCGCCCGTCTACTTCTTAAATTTAAAAAATAGCCTTGTTAGTCTTCTTTTATTTCAGCTTGTCTTTGCACCACCCAGAGAGTGAATTAGAATGCAGTTGGATAATAATCACATGATTCTTTAATGTCTTTACACTAAAATGCTTTGATTTTCAATGGGCACACATGAAATGGAACAGGCATCTATTGTATCCGAAAACTTTCAACATTAACATTTGAACCAAAATTATAGTAAAAATAAAGCCTTTTGGGGAGGTGTGGTGGTGCTGTGGCAGATTATGCTTTTCTTCAATAGCTTTTTTCTACGAACATTACTTACAGTTTTACTAGTGTACCTTATGTTTGAAAACAGTACTTTATTTTTACTTTTACTCAAGTAAAAAGCTTCAATTGATACTTAACTTTTACAGAAGTCTTTTAAACCCTAGTATCTATATTTCTACCTGAGTAATAAATGTGAATACTTTGACATCTCGGAAAAATGTGACAAAAAGCACTGCATAAAAAAAGATAGCAATATAGCATGTTCAGAACTAAAGGCTAGTTTACCAAGTGTAAGTTGGTAAACATTTTGTCCTGTTCAAAACAGAAATAGGCAAAAATCATTTCAATCACGTCAACGTCTCCCTGTCCTTTCTTATTCTTATGTCCATGAACGTTTTACTGTTGTCTTTTCCTTCTTCATATGTAAACTTTAGGCTGGTGACGTCGATGCTGTTCAGGTGTTTTGTTAGTGTCTCCGTTTGGCTGTATTGGGTAGGGGGGGTGAGCAGTGGCTATGGCTTTCTGTTCCAGGTCTTCCATGAAGAATTCGTAAAGTGTGGGTGTAATGGGTTTCCCATGACGAAGCCTTCTAGTTGATTGTATATGATTCTGTTATACATGAAGTAAATGGAGTTGGCTACCAGTTCTATGAATCGTGCTATGGCGTCTGCTGTGAGGTTTGTGCTTTTATGTAAAGCTTTGTCTTGTCTGATCCTGTCAGCTACTATATTGATGGTTGTCTGGGTTAGTGTTTTCGTGAAATGCGATGTAACATCATGTGAAATCAGCGTGTCATTGTCTTCTATTGTAACCTTTTTCAGTTCTTTGCTAGTTCTGTGCTGTTTTTAGTGTTGATCTGTGTTGCCTAATAGTGGGCTGATGATTCAGCATATTTCTTTTGCCTTATTATATGTTGGTGTTCCCATACTGTCTACTATTGGTCTCAGTGGAGAATTCTGTTTATGTATTTTCAGGGTTCTGTAAATTCTTGAAATTATGTTTTCTGTTGGAATCCGTTGTTTCTACATTTTTTCTGTTCTTTAGCCTTTTTTCTGCAGTGGTTTCAACAATCCTTTTCAGTTTTTCATGATCTTTTTTAAACGTTTTGTATGTGCTTCTGTTTTCTAGCATCTGTTCCATCTGTTTGTATTTTTCTTTGTCCATTATTAATGTGTTTCTTCCTTTATCTGCTGGTAAAATGATGATGTGTTCATTTTTGGTTGGTGATGTTATGGCTGCTCTTCCCTCTTTTGGGATGTTGCTGAGTGTTTTGCCATCTTTCCATCCATTTTCATCCGCTTATCCAGAGTCGGGTCGCAGGGGCAGTAGCCTAAGGCGAGAGGCCCAGACTTCCCTCTCCCCAGCCACTTGGGCCAGCTCCTCCGGGGGAATCCCAAGGCATTCCCTGGCCAGGTGAGAGACATAGTCCCTCCAACGTGTCCTGGGTCTACCTTTAGGTCTCCTACTGGTTGGACGTGCCCGGAAAACCTCACCAGGGAGGCGTCCAGGAGGCATCCTGACCAGATGCCCGAGCCACCTCAACTGGCTCCTCTCGATGTGGAGGAGCAGCGGGTCTACTCCGAGCCCCTCCCGAATGACCAAGCTTCTCATCCTATCTCTAAGGGAGACCCCAGCCACTCTTCGGAGAAAACTCATTTTGGCCGCTTGTATCCGCAAACTCTTTCTTTCGGTCACTACCCAAAGCTCATGACCATAGGTGAGGGTAGGAACGTAGATGGACCGGTAAATCGAGAGCTTCGCCTTCTGACTCAGCTCTCTCTTCACCATGACAGACCGGTACAACGCCCGCATCACTGCAGATGCAGCACCAATCCGCATATCGATCTCACACTCCAGTTTTCCCTCACTCGTGAACAAAACCCCGAGATACTTAAACTCCTCCACTTGAGGCAGAACCTCATCCCTGACCCGGAGAAGGCATTCTACCCTTTTCCGAATCAAGTTTTGCCATCTTTTAAAATCCCAAATGGAACAAAACATAGATCATAAACACAGAACAACAAAAATACAAAAGATGGATTAAGGTAGCGATAGAAATAAGGAGACATGGGCACAAAACCATGAACAAAGATGACGGAGTATTCACAGTGGATCACACATGGGACTGTGTCATCAGCAAGGACGCGGGCAGTAAAGGGCGACATCGTCCTCTGCTGCCCGTGGATAAAAGGAAGTGACGCCACCAATACCGGGGATCTCTGATGACGGCTAGAGATACCAACTGAAACATGTCAGGTAAAACACTATTTTTTAATAAAACTGTGTAAGAAAAGAACAAAAAATGGATTTTGAATTGTCTTCCTGTTAGTGAAACTCAGACTCAGTAGGTTGTTGTTTTTATTCTAAATCTTATAAATAATCAGTTAAGATGCAAAGGATGTTTCAAGTGCAAACATTTAATACAGTTCTACTTTAAAATAAATATACGTTTAAAACAACTTGGAAACCATTGTGTTCGTCTCTGTTTTGAAGGCAGTGTATGTACTCACCTGTAATGGCCAGCCGGTACAGATGTGGGTGAGGGTTGGCCTCTTTATTAGAAGTTTCTCCAGGAACATAATCCCCAAGTCCAATAGTCGTCAGTGAGATAAAGCAAAAATACAAAGACTCTAAAAAGTTCCAGTCCTCCTCCAGAGCTAAAAAGATACATGCAGGGATGATGAGGAAGAGCAAAGCCATGATGATGCTGAGGAATGTGGCATGCATCGCAGCCAGTTTGGGCCGAGAAATCGCCCATCGCCGATGGAAGTAGGAGACTGGCCGTCGGGTCACCAAGACCATAAGCCTCTCCACCACAGTGGAGAGGAAGAAGAGGGTGATGGGGATGCCTAAGAGGGAGTAGAAGATGCAGAATAGCTTCCCTCCATCAGAGAGGGGAACAGTGTGGCCATAACCTGCAACAGAACAAAACATGCAGTACTGTGTTAATCATAGGATCAGATAATGGCATATTCTATTATAGCTAAAAATAAATCTTGATGTAATGTCGCAATGTATTGTGGGATGTAGCCCTAGACAACAAGTGTATATTTTGCATGGGTGCCTTATGGGTCTGAGTCGCTCCTCTCAAAGCTGTATTTTCATCTCCTTAATATGATCAAATGGGAACTAAGCACCACTGATCAATTAAATTTAGTTTATCACCAAATCACGATGAGTCATCTGAAGGCACTTCACAAAGTAAACATTCCAATTGAGTTCAATTCATTATGCCAATTAATAAAATGTTTCCTATGAATGTTGTAGGAGGTGCTAGTCAGACTCTAGATACCCAGATGGACACCATCTTTTATCCTTTTCTAAAGCCGGGTATGGTCCATGATAACATGAAACAGCTAGAAAGGGAAACGGACCGAGCTAAAGACTGACAAAGCTAGGCAGAGGCAGTGTTTAGGTGCAAGAGCAGATTTTCACACTGTGGAGCAGATCAAGGGGTGCCCGTATATTTTTTCCATACATTTTGCTGGTGGGAAAGGAGTGGCGGCCTCAAGGGGTAGAAACTGTGCATCTGGCACTTTTATTCACTATAGCATAATTTGTATTTGTATTATGTGTTTGATGTTCAGATGTCCAATGGGAGGACATCAGTAAATAGATGAACATCAGGGATTTTTGCAATTGAAACGGGTGTTGTTACATTATTTAGAGATAATCACATTTTCCTAAAAATATACAACCCCAGTGTGGTTGTATGGTATTTACACCAGACTGGTTGTGGAAATAAGAAGTGAAAGGAACAAGGCACCATTGCTCCAGTACTTTGTCTAAAATTGTTTGCGCAACGCGGCATCAGTTTTTTAAAGTTAAACTTATTGTTCTTTAGTTATAACAGTATGGCCGATACAGCATCTGAGAAACTCAGATATCCGGGAGGGGCTCTGAGTGCACTCCAGTGGTGGTTCTGTACTAATTTCCTCATTAGTGATGTCACAAACAGAGACATTTGAAATGACTTGTTTTAGGCACTTAATTCCTAAAACCAAACACTGACAGAAAACAGATGGACAGGTTTTTCTCATGTGTGGAGTGTTTATAGAGGCGGCGTGAGACCCACATGGCAGCACATGAAGCAAAAGGTAAATTGTGCAGATTATCTCCCCTTTTCTCATGCATCGTTCCACAAATGTGGAATGACCTTCCTAACACTACCAGAACTGCGGCTTCCTTTTCTATTTTCAAGAAACTCCTGAAGACCCTGCTCTTCAGAGAGCATCTAGCACCTTGTCTGCACCCGTCCCTCCTCTCTACTGTCCACTCCTTGTTCCCCCCTCTCCATGACTGATGTCAATTTGTTGTTGTTACTATTGTTGTTAGCCTCAAGGGCAAAATGCCGATTATCACTTGTAAGTCGCTTTGGACAAAAGCGTCTGCTAAATACATAAACATAAACATAAACATTTAAAGTAAGGAAATCCTAGAGGACATAAAACAGACATAAAACTAACAAAAACATGTAAGACTGTGTTATTACCATAGATGAACAGGTAGCCTATAGCCTAGTAAACTATTAGTGAGTCTTCATACTTTGGACATTTGGCTCTTATTGACTTAAAGACAATAAAATAATACATGTAGTCTATTACGTGTACAATACATGATTCAAACTGGTCTATATTTAAGACAAAGTTAGATCTCCCAGCCAGGAGACAAACATATGATCTCACACACCACAATATCCGGGTAGTTTGCTTAATTCAACCAGATCAAAAATATCTGATGCTTCCAAACAAGCTGAATATACGGTTTGAACATCGGTCGCTCACCTGTTGTCGTCAGCACGGTGCTGGTGAAGAACAGGGATGATATGAAGTCCCAGTTGCGGCTGCTGTTGTTACCAAGGATGGACACGCCATAGTTACTGGCCTCCAGCGCGAGAGCCAGGAGCTCCTCAAGGCGCGCGTCTGACACGCAGGTGTTGTTGCTCAGGAAGTCCCGTCTGACCGCCTGCACCTCCCCCCGGAGCTCGTGCTCATATGGCAGCTCGATGGCCGAGAATATCCCAGCGCCGAGGAGCAGGTATAAGATGTAGGCGACGAGCAGCAGCGCAAAGTTTATCCCTGCCTGGCGTCGCTCCATGAAGCTTCCTCCTCCGAGCGCCATCACGCACAACTCACGGTTCCTCCTCTAATTTCCCTCCGTTTCATCTAACCAGACGGAGGGCTCTCCTCTCTCTCTATGTTTAGTAACAACTTCTGTCGTCCCAGGGGCTGGACGCTTCCTCATTCTTCACTTCTCATTGGAAGTCGGTGCTTTGACATCACTAACTCACCTGACCAGGTAGACTGCTTGACACGTCCATCTTGAACCGGCTGGTCTGGTTTTATGTTTCAGCTCTGTCAGTCCGGTAAAGAAGCAGCTCTACTGGACCTACTGGTTCATTTTAAAGAGCACCTAGAATAATAGCATACCAAATGATAGGATTATTTACTTGTATACTTCATAATCTTTACTGAAATGTACAAAAACTTAGTTTGTTATGGTTACGACTGGTTGCTTAACTGTGTGGTTATTTCACATTGTTTCAATAAAACTGTTGTTCAGCTCAACATTTATCAACCCAGTTCCTTAACAAATGTTCACAAAAATTATAAAAGATATATTTTCAGCTCAAAGTTCTTATTGTTTTCTAAAACAAGGATGTTGCTCCCTCTGGTCTTCGCTTCAAAATAATATAATCCTTAAATGCTCAACATGGAATATTAATATTAAATTAGGAGATAGAATAAAATATACTTTATCGACCTCACAGTGTGGAAATTCCCTTGTTAAAACAGCCAATAGACTTAGAGAATGGGAAAAAAATACAGTGATCCCTCGCTACTTTGCGGTTTGTTTATCGCGGATTCACGACTTCGCTGATTTTTTCTTTGGAGCCTTATTCAAGGGAAATTCGCCGATTCGCGGTATTTTTCACCGATTCGCAGTATATTTCTATGCGAAATATCAAGAAATTCCTGTTTTCTTTCATCAATTTCATCATAAAATGCACTTTTTGTAATAAAACTATAAAAAAAACAAGTAAAAATACAGTACTATGTAAAGGGAGGGTTTTAAAAGTCTGAATACTGAATACGTACCTGTTAAATAAATACTGTAAATATGGTGTCCCTACTTCGCGGATTTTCACCTATCGCGGCCAGGTCTGGAACGCATCTACCGCGATAAACGAGGGATCACTGTACAGGTAAATATACAACGGCAGTAAGCTATTATTATAACCTTCAGCAATCATCATGGAGTTTTCAAGAAGATACAACATAAAGGACACAGCCATACAATAGTACATTTACACTGAATATTGCATTGACGTTATTGTGTACCAGGATAATGCCAGTACCAGTTAAACTGAGGAGTTATACACTCTTACTGCAGGGGGATAAATGACCTACGGTAGCGTTCTATTTGGGATGTCTCAGTCTGCCACTGAAGGAGTTGTCCATGGTCGCCACAGTGGAACGCAGTGGGTGGGAGGGGTTTCAGCTTCACCAGCATCCTCCTTTCACACATCTCACACAAGCTAGTTGGCAGCCCAGAAACAAGTTAGCTTTGTTAACTAGCTTGTTCAGTTCTTCTTATCCTACATTGACATTGTGTGGGCTAATATTAGTATAAAACACAACTTATTTTGATAATTTATTGTGTAATTCTGTAGCAGTTAAATAAATTAGAAATTTTTATTTAAAAAAACAACACGTACACTCCTAATTCTTCACCAGAAGAAAGTATTAATATAGAAGTTTTCAAATCTGATGTTTATGTTTCTGTATTTAACAGAAGCTTTTGTCCAAAGGGACGAGCAGGTGACAATAAAGCCAGCAGGTTGTCCTTGAGGCTAACAAACACAGCTGCATTTGTTATGATGAAAGGACCGAGTCAGTCCTTTTGAATTGTGTTCAATCAAATGTATGCGTAACTAGCATTTTACTTTTTGTACATGGTGATTAGATCAGCTTGGAAAGTGGAGATTAGTTCTGCTAAAGCAGCTGATGTACTGTGTAGCCTGTGCAAGACCTGTTATAAAGTGTTTTTGCAGTTAAATTAAACTCATCTAGCAACAACAGCAAAAACAATAATATTAACAAATTAATAACACTTTAATGCCATCATATTACTCATGAAAATGTTAGTACTTCATAAAATTGCTATTTGGCTTAACTGCCTCATTCTCTTCCCAATGTTTACATGTCAAACGCACCTGCCTTATGTGTGCTATATTTTGTAATGATTAGGCTATAATAATCTGGTATTTCTATATTTCAGGTGAAACTTGAAAAATGAAAAAAAAAATCATGGAAAAGTTCTTTTTTTCAGCAATTCAGCTTAAACCTTTTCACAATGTTCTGAGATTTTGAATGTGGGGTGTTCATAAGCTGTAAGCGATGATCATCACAATTTTAACAAATCAAGGTGTGAATTATCTGGCTTTGCAAAAAATGAGTCTATCTCATAGATTATTTTCACCTTTTAAGTTTAATTACTGACATAAATGAAGTTTGAACCATATTCAAATGTTTAGAGATTCACCTGCATTTATCGTCAGGACTGACAACACCATTGAATGCCCACAGTCACACTCTAAATGTGCAGCATAATTACTTGTCACCACCAGAGGGTGGAATAGACCACATCTCTACAACTGTGTGTCAGGCCCTTCTAAAAAAACCAAAAAAACAACAACAACAAAATAACAGAAAGAGGCAGTTGAATAAAAAACACTTTTTATTGATAAGTTTGAACCAGACATCAGCTCAGCTCAATCAGTCATCATTTTCCTCTCCTATATCTAGCCTCTCACAATAAATAATTATTTACAACCATTAGGAAGGCGCAGATGAAAAGCAACAAGAAGTGTCATTAGACACGGTGGCAGAGAGGTAATATACAGCGAACGAGACAGCCTGGAATCGATAATGTTGCATAAAAAGCTGACAGATAGATAGATGATGGTCACTAATTGATAGCCTTTCCTGGATAAAGGCCCGTGTCTGGTGCTTGCTCTCTGCCCTCTCCCCCTCTCAGCTGTGCTGAATACGGTGTTTAACCTGGATCTCAGGCTGTTAGCTGTGGAGCATCCTGAACATCCCAAAATATGTCAGTTATCTGAGAAAAAGATAGAAAAGCAGCAAATCAATGACTTGAAAGAAACACTGATGTGTGGCAGTAGTGGTGGAGAGTGCTACATAGGAGTAATATTTCCATTTCATGCTCCATGAAAGTTTAACTTCATATTGCAAAGAAAAATATGTATTCTTTACTTAACAGGTGAATTTGTTGAGTGAGCAAAAAGCAAGACAGATGTTCTTTAAAAAGGAATTCATCTTTTAATTTTTGAGTACATTCATAGAAGCTTTCTAAAATAGAAGTCTCATTTTATATCCTGCTTAGAGGTATATTCCACCCCTAAGTGAAATTTAGTCTGTTGCCACATTCCTCAGAGAGAAAAAGCATTTTGTAACCAGCCCAGTTATTTTCCTACTTTGGCAGTATTTCTTTAGCTTAGCATAAACAATGTAAGTGAATGGTAACAGCTAGCATTTTGTGTGAAAAAGTCATGAAAGTTACTCAATAAGGATTCTGAATCTTCATGGTGACCTCAATAATTATATTGACTGCACATGAAAATGATAAGTAGCACTAAGGAATTACAAGAGCAGATTTAGACTTGGGACTACGTTACGACAAAACACCACTGTAAGCCATTGCTGCATGACATAGCAGCCCCAGAACTTGCAGTTTACTATCATTAGGGTGAAATTTTGCAAATGTTGTACAATAAACGTGGAAGTGACAATGTATGCCTGATGTCAAAATTACAGTATTTCATAATAGCCCAGCTACACCCAAGGAATTAGTGTAAAAACAACACTAATTACTGACATTGATGATGCACTTTGTTCTGTCTGTGTACAAAAAATGGACTGGACTGCCGTATTCTGTTGACATTTACAACATTTCACCCTAATGTCATTGCAGTGAAATGTTGAGTTTTGGGGCAGCGGCGCCATGTCCTTGTGCTTTGCAGCATTGCTTTGTGTAAATTGACTCCTGTAATTTCTCCAGGTCATTTATTATTTTCATTTGCACTAAATAGGATAATTGAGCTCACAAAGAAGAGTTAGGATCATTATTGAGTAATTCTCTTACTTATTATTGACTTTTTCCACACAAAATGCTAGCTGTTACTGTTCACTGACATTGTTAATGCTAAAGCTAATGGCAAATAGCCAGATTAGGAGAATGACTGGGCTGGTTACAAAATGCTTCCCCCCCCCCACCACATTTTTAAAGGTTGAATATGGAACATGGACACTCTGGCAAACTCTGGTGTTCAGATGTGGTATTGCAACAACAGGACTAATTTTCCAGCTTTTGGGATGTTTGTTCACTACTGGCGCGTTCCAGCACCGTGTTCAGAGACAAACTGAACAGGATAAGGACTCATGTCTACTGATAAGTTTACTTTACAACAGTATTTACTGTTAGAACATCTTTTGTGCTCAGAATCAGCTGCTTGACTTGTCAAGTCAGCCATTTTACACAGTCCCAACCTCGCCTTGCTGAGCGGACTTTTTAACGATACGGTGTCATCTAGTGGCTGGTAGACGTAAACATAAACAGTGTTGTGTCCGACAGAATAAAATTTTGGTTATTTATCTTTTTTGACAAAGCTTTTTATTAAAATGTTCCATTTTCTAACTTTAACTCTGGGGCATGTAGTAGCAGACACATTTTCACTTAGAGGTGGAATATTCCTTCAAAGGGATTTTTATTTTTACCATTTTAAAATGTGTTTCCTTGTTTGAGTTACAGATGGTTACTAACTTGGAATAAGGAGCCAAGAGCTGCTCTAAGCCAAACCATGATTAAAGTGTCCACCGTGGCAGCAGTAAATGCAAAAGGTACTTCATGAAGCTCCACACAAACATCTGTTTTACAATTCTTGACAATTTACATGTAATACTGTGATTATTTGCAAGAGCAAATATCATTGTCATCAGCAAAATGAAGCACTTCTTGTGCATTCAGCCTCACATCTGGCAAGAATTTTTTGCTTTAGTACATTTTCCACCATTGTTCAGCAGAAAGAACAAATGTTTGGTTGGGTGTCTTACCTCTGCACTCATATCTAAGGTCTGAGAAGATGACATGTTCCTGAGAGAAGACAAACAACCCCAGTCTGCCTCCAGCTAGGGTGTGGTCATAAACAGCTCCTGAGTCAGACAGAATCTTCCTGCCCTCGTACACCACCACCCTGCAAGGGAACCACAAATACAATCACTAATCAAGACGATTTAGCAATTAACTTTATTCATGCCACGAGTACTGGTAATTGAATTTTTTGCTTGCTAACATTTATTTATAATTATGATATAAATTCTAACACAACTGTAAACATCACCGAAACACCTTTTCTACTACAACTGGAAATAGAAATAATAAGAATAAAATATTTTTGTGGTTTAAAGTAGAATTTTTTATAATAGATAGTTTGAGCATTTTAACAGGCATTTGAAAAGAAAGTGATGAAGCCTTGGAGAATTTATTAAAATGTATCAGTGAATGTCTGTCATTCACAACCACAGAGAAATCTCACACAAGAAAAACCAAAAACCTCACTTTTTACAGGAATTCTCAAGTACTATCATCTACTACCCATAATGCATCATGGACGTTAATTGTATCTTCAAAGAAAGTTGTGTATTCTGAACAACTGCACTTGTTCCAAACATCTTTCTTTTCATTTTTCTTTTTTTCAAATCAAACCTTTTTTTTTTTTGATGTTTTTGCCATCTGCACACAAACAACGTTCAGCACAAATAACTAATTTCATGGGGTGGTTTTTAATTTGTGTTTTTATATATTTTCAAGGGTTATTAGTAGAAGGACTAAACTGAAGAAGATGTTGCAGGTTGTGACGATGAAAACACCAAAGGCAGTGAATTACTCTGTTATGTTGAAGTAACTTTTGGAGATGAGAGCAAAGGACTGGGTGTTGTTTTTCTTTACTTATACCAACAAGAACCGGACCAAAAAACGAGCAGAGCCTCACATTTCATGTAAAAAAAGGGGGTAAATTTGAAGAGAAGAGTTAAGTATGAAGCAATCAAAGAGGGTATATTTGTTTAAAAAATTAAATAAATATGTATTCCAGTTCAAGGTCCTGACTAGAGGAAGCCTTTTCCATCAGAAATAAAAAAAACAAGTGGATCTCTGTTTTCCAAATTCTCAATGTTTCTGACTTCCATGAGCGCAGTCCAGCTGTGGTTTATGACGGCATACCATGAAAATGTAAGTTTGGATTAGGAGGAGGAAGAGCAGCCAGGCAATATAATTCTTCTTGTCAACACATCTAAAACTCCAGCCCTCGGTGGCTCTGGCCACAGTTATTTATAGATAGGTTTATTAAATACAACACACTTTGTGTTAAATAATGCTTCTGATTAATAGAAACATTATTAACCCTTTGATGCATGAATTATGAAATCTTCAACCATGATTTTTTTAACAAGTTTTTTCATTCATCTTTAGGTGTGAATGAAACAAATTTCAACAAATATTTTTTGTAAAATCTTATAACTTACAAATAATTTATTACATGTCCACCTTGGTGGACAGCATGCTTTCTGAGTATGAAATATGTTGGCTTGGCTTACTGAAGTCCAAATGGAGGGGCTCAAATGCAATAAAGTCTTCAGCAGCTGTGCTTAATAGCAAAAATAAATAAATAACAATTTTGAGTACCTGTCCACTGTAGTGACCATTATGTATCAAAGGGTTAACTTTAATCAGTATGCAACATGATTAACTCTTCTCAAACTGCAGTAATAAGTCTTGAAGGCTACACATCTTCTGCCATCTCAAAATATAAGTGGTGGCAACTGCCACAATGTTTATTTATTTATTAAACATTTTTATTATGTTAGACATTAATGAAATCAATGATTAAAAAAAATTTCAAGCATCTCAGTGAAGAAGATTTTTTTCAATGTTTTCTTAAATAATAAAGTAGCACAAGAAAAATAAATAATAGTTTTAAAAACATTTGGCTGCATTCCTCTGGTTATAAATTCAAATATCAATAAACATTTAAAATGATTATTGCTGTACCTGATGAACCCGGTTTTGGGCCGGTGTATAAGATGCATGCGGTACGCTGTGTAGTCTTTCCATCCAATTTCATTAGGGTCATGCCATAAGGTTTTGACCTAGAACCAATAAACACAATAGACAGTATCAGATAAATCAGAAAAGAAATAATAGGTGATCTTTCTTTTAAAACTAAACAATGCTAATGATATTGTTCTGTACCTGGTTTCTGGTGTTTCCAGTGTGCCACAGAGCGTTCCGTAGATATTCCCCTGGTCCTGTACTGGAGTGAACCAGCTTGATCGAAAGCCCTGCAGTGGCAAAAGCTTTAGATGGCCGTTTCTCCCAGTAGGCTTGAGACACCTGCTCTCACAAAAGACCAGAAGAGACAGATGAGTCATGAAAAACCATCCTGTTTCATGATAATCACTATAACTCATCGACTTTAACAAACACAACGATGGTGATAACTCCGTCATATTTACAGACATGATGCTGGATTTTCATGAGGTGGTTGTTGGGGGTCATGTTTACCACATCATTTGAGTGAAAACTGATTGAGTGAGACTGTTGTTTGAATATTTTCCATTTGCCACTAGAGTCAAGCACATCTGTTAGAAAAATACCTCATGAACTATGGGATGGATTTTAATGAAACTTCCAGAAAGTAATTTTAGGATTAACCTTTGGAGTCACCATAATCCTACACAGCGGCCACAGCCAACTGACCTTATAAAACACAAACGCAACTACAACTTCTATCAGTTTTACAGATACTGGACTTAAATCTGGTGTCATAACAGTCAAGTCATCTCCAAAACCACTAACTGTTGGGGTCAACCATGTCTGTCTCATCAAAGTATCAAAAACCACTTGATGGTAATTAATGGGACTTTCTGAAATTAGATGTTCATCATTTACTTCCCTTCTGCAGTCAGTCCAGTTCAGGTCTGCTGCCACAGCTAGGCAATCTCAGCAAACACAAGGAATGCTTTAACTAAGTCAGCTACACACACACACACACACACACACACACACACACACACACACACACACACACGCACGCACACACACGCACGCACGCACACACACACACACACACACACGCACACATGCACACGCATGCACACACACACACACACACACACACACACACACACACACACACACACACACACACACACACACACACACACACACACACAGTCCCATACAGACTGCACTAAATCTTGGTTATATTCTTCCCTTGATGCTATTATCGAAATTTGATAAAAATGGTTAGAATTCCATCTTTTCTCAACAAAATCTTGATTATAGTGTCAAATTCTGTAATGAAAAGCAACGAGAAGTATACATTTACTCAAAGTTCGCTCAGCCTTTTAGGGAAATTTAGAGAACCATTTTTTTCACTAAGTAAAAATATTCATATTATAAAAAGACAAACAGGTAATTGTAAGCTGGGGTGCTCTATATTGGCTTTTTACCAATATCTGGTGTCTGAAATTGTCCCAGTCCTAATTCGTGATACCAATATAAACCAATACCGAAATATGCCCCTCCCCCCATCTTAAAAAAAAAAGAAAAACTAAATCATTTTAGGATGCTAACATCACATATCTCTTATCATGCACACTTAACCTGTAAACATAATTTGTACAAAATGACAACTACACCACTCCTCCTTGAACCATCACCTTATCATGGTGGACGAGTTTCAGTGTCCTAATGAGCCTAGGAGCTATGTTGTCTGGGGCACTTTGTGCCACTGGTAGGGTCTCCCATGACAATTTGGTCTTAGGTGAAGGGTGAGACAAAGAACGGTTCAGAGGATCTTTCATGGAGGTACAATCAAGGAGTCGGAGTACCCGGCCCGGAGGGTTACCGGGATCTAGAGGTGGGAAAAATGATCGATTCTAAGATGCATCGCGATTCAGCCGTGCATGATTCCGCATCGATGCAGCAACGTGACATAATGAGATTCTCTCCCTATGTCTATGTCGGGGGTCGGCAACCGATGCTCTGGAGCCGCATGCGGCTCTTCCATCCATCTGATGCGGCTCTCTGTGCTTGTAAAATAATTAATAGATATTTAAATAAAATGCTTTATATTTTACTGCATTAATTTTACATCTGTAAGCCAATTCTAAATGTAAAGATTGTCTGCGTAAACCTGAACAGTTCCAACCCAGTCTTACTGTGAGACCGGGTAGACGCGTCACGCTTGTGCGTAATCATATGCGTGTTCTGAGCTGACGAGGATGTGAGATTCTGGGATTCTCCTCAGACGGCTCCTGGATGTGTCGCCACATTGGAGACAGGAACAAGCGCTATTCAGCCAAAGTTTCATAATCAGGGAACATTTTCTAAGTGACAAGTCTCGCTTCAGTCAGAGGAATCTGCATGCGCCCTGGTTCTGCGACGTGCTCCAAGCCCCTCTCCACATCTTCAGCTCACTGTGCGCCTTATGTAGTACACGCTGACAGCGAGCTGCGCTGAGCTCCGTGTCCAGCTCAGATGGGAATCAAGCAGTGGTGGGCAGTCAGGGCCAGCAAAGCCTTCTCTGCTGGCCTAAACATACTCAAAAGCATAAATGTATTTTTTTTCCTTTGGTAATTATTTTTAAATAAAAAAAATGTTTACTGGTCTATTTTCTTTATATCCTATTATACCCACTTGGCTGTGCTGCTTCCAGTGTTAAAATACCAAGGCTGGGTGTTATCCAATCAGATTTAAGCTAGCTTGTGTTTTCAGGCAGATTAAGTCTGCTCTAGGCCTTCAGAATCAATCGAGAAGCCCACTGTCCGCTGTAAGTGAACAGAGACGATCTAGTTGCGATAGCCAATCAGCTCACGAGTCAGCTTGGCCCGGGCCAGCTAGCTGGCCTCACGCAAAAGTTGACATGAACGCATCCTGTAATTGGATGAGCAGTAGTTAGAACTTTTCTAGCGGCATGAAGCAAAATATCAAAACTAAACACAGAGATCTGTATCTATAGGCAGCTATCGGTGTATTTTTGAACACATGATGGCTGAAAGAGGAGAAGAGACAGACTTGGTTGCAGATTAACTTGCCACACCATTTTCAAGACGGACCTTTCAAGAAAAAATGGATCTTGTGAGAACAGGTCGTCTGACTCCAACGCTAGATGGCTTGTCCCAGCAGGGGAATGGATTTGTTCGTCATTTTCAGGCAAGCAACTATGAACGGTACCCACGGCTAACAGCTTCAGAGAACCGCTGCAGGTTATTCTGCTGGGAATGCCTGTTGCTCGCATCAGATGGATTTGGTAGCATTAAAGCGCGTTAAAACGTACGCCAGAAACACGACTGGACAGACACGTCTTTCAGCCTCCATGTCCGTAGAAAAGGATCCACTCATGGACCTGAAGTGCACGGATAAACTGTACAGAGCCACTGAGGTTTTCCTGAGGAAAGAAAGAAGGATGGATTTTATTTTCTAATGAGTAGGAGAGGAGGAGATCCATGCTGGACATTTATGTTGGTGAGTAGAAACATTTTATTAGTATTTTTTTAATGTTTTGTCATTTTATTTTGTTAATAATCAATAAATGGTAACAAAATAAAATGGCAAAATGAAATTATTCTGTGTTCTGTTTCTATGCAATTTATATTGTGTATAACGTGGTGTGTGCAGCTGCGCCAACATGTTCAATTGTTTCGCGGTACAATTTTCTCCAAAACAAATGCAAATAATGTGTTTGCTTTACTTATTTATTTTATTGTCTCATCTCTTAAACCCGTCTTTCATTTCTGAGATTTGACAGTATCCGTGGTCAGCTTCCTACTCTCAACTGGGAATGCGAGTTTGATTTTAAAGACTCTGGAAATTATGTGTCTTGACCAGCCACTGGTGTGTGTGTGTGTGTGTGTGTGTGTGTGTGTGTGTGTGTGTGTGTGTGTGCGTGTGTGTGTGTGTGTGTGTGTGTGTGTGTGTGTGTGTGTGTGTGTGTGTGTGTGTGTGAGGTTTCTCCAGCTGTGATGTCCTATTGATGGTATTTTAAGGTGTATTAAATTAGATTGGACTGAATAGGAAATCACTGAAGGCCCAGGGGTGGAACGCACCGCCCGCCACTGGAATCAAGTGATTTAGCTACATCTGCGATGTGCGAAACGAATAAAGTGTCAGTTCGTCTGCATGCGTCGGGGTCTTTCTATTCTTTCTCCATCAAAATAAATAGTCAAAAACGGGAACTATCCGGTCAACACAACACAAGCCCTGCTTTTAACTGTTTTGTTTTCTTGTGAAAATAGATAACATTAAACTTGACTAACACCAGAGCCAGGCGCACTGCACCGTTGTCTCCGTCACTGTAAATGAGGGAAAAACAAAATGATCGGATCCTTTTCTGACCTTCCCCACCTACAAAGTTTAATTACAACAATCAAATGTGACAGAGCCTGGATTTGTATTCTGAACAGTCTAAACATGTTTTAAAAGAAACGTATGACAAAAGTGGCACTTGCTCAGTAAAACCACCAACAGGGTGAAAAATATCAAAATATTGTAGGCAGAGACGGGCTACAACTTCTGGATCCACTTTATATAAATCGTTTTATTGATTATCTTCTTATGAAAGACAACTTTGACGTACACGAGCGACCGGTACCGGCTGCTGTCTGAGGCTAGGCCCCGCCCACAATGCCGCGGCTGCTGCGGTGTTTTCTTTACTGTGGGAAATGGGTAATAATGGCTCTTTGATGGGAACAGGTTGCCGACCCCTGATCTATGTCTATGCAGGACAATAAAAATTTGAGGTTTTACAATTACTTCTGGGGCAGAGTTGCAATGACATGCGCACTGCGTTGTCCTAGAAGCAATTGGACAGGGATACAGGGCCAACATTACCAGTAATCAAAGATGTACCCGTTACATTTAAATCAGATGTCTGGGCTAATTTCTGTTTTGGGATCCTGGATGTGAAAGAATCACTTAACACAGTATTTGTTTACTTTTTTTAAGTTCAGTAATATTCTATCTTAAAGCTGCTCTACCGAAAACATTATTTCTTATATTGTTTAAGTAATTATAGGCAGCACACTTTAAACAATATTGCTCACTATAGTGAATAGATGAATGTTCTGTTTTTCAGGGATTTCGAAATCAAAAAGAAATTGAAAACTATTCTACTGCTTTTATTAAGTTATGAAAATTTTTGTGTGAAGAATCGTGATGCATTTCAGACTCAAATCGAATCGTTAGGCAGATAATCGGAATCGGAATTGGATCGAATCGTGAGGCAGGTGGAGATGCACACCACTACCGGGGTCCCACCCTGGAGCCAGGCCTGGGGTTGGGGCCCATGTTTGTTTTAGTCGTTTGCTAGCTAGCTAAACATAGCTACATGCTGTAAGCAGAACTTAAGTTCCCCACAGGGCAAATTTGTACTTAACAAGTTGTACCAAATTGCTTGGAGGCATAACCATGGTGACCAAGTATCTAAACATAACAGAGTCTTGTCAGCTCGCTTGGATTACAGCTTTAAGATGACAAACATTCCCTTCCAGAGTGTCCCGATCTTGATGAGAGTGTATTCTCTGTATTTTCATTCTAGTCAGTTACAGATGGTATACCTTTGTTATAGTTTCTTTCCTTCCCTCCGCGACATGCATACCAACACATAGGCAGGAAACACACACATACAAGTAGGTTAAAGGCTAATGCGGGCGCACTGAAACACAGTTAAACACACCTTCTCCTGCTACACCTCTTCTGTGGGATGACAATTTTGATTGTTTGACTAGAAAAAACAGCAAACGAAATACCTCTCATGCGGATGTTCACATTCACTCATACCACCAAGAAGATAGCCAAAAATCTCAGTTATCCAGAACTGAGGTGGCAAAAGCTGTCATCGGTACTCCACTCATGGGTCTTTCACATGGATCCAAACCATTTTAATGCTGATTTTTTTCCGTAAACCGGTCCCTGGCTTCCCTCCTTATTGTATCCATGTATATTCAGTATATGTGTATGTATATTTTTTGGGATTTTAACATGTTGTTTATTACTTTCTTTCTCACAAATCTGCTTCTTCTCAAAGATATACTTTTTGTTTACACTGTTTGTTTACACTCCTGAGGCCATCAACATGGCTGCCACATCCCAGAATGCAGCACATGATCCCAAGCCCTATACAGATATTTTCCTATATTACATTTTAAAGCAAATTTTGACAGATGTTAATATTAGACAGAAAATATCAGACATCCCTACCTTTAAGGATATCTGGATATATTGTAGATATCAGCTTTTAACTCAAGATTTCATGGCCAAGACATTTTTTTGGAATGCTGTTATCATAAAAGGCTTTTCATGGTTAAAGTCTTTCTATAAGCCTCACCTGTTTCCACATGACAACGTAGAAGCGTCGACTGGACTGATAAGCAAACACAATACCCGCATAATCATCATCTCGGTTGGTGTTGACGTAAAATGTCACGCTGAAATCTACAGAGCTGAACTTGTCATAACCTGTTTGAATGAAGATATGCTGCTTTAAGTGAAAATTACATTTCATTCAGTACATACAGTGTGTGTGTGTGTGCGTGTGTGTGTGTGTGTGTGTGTGCGTGTGTGTGTGTGTGTGTGTGTGTGTGTGTGTGTGTGTGTGTGTGTGTGTGTGTGTTTGCTTGTTAAAATTTTACCTAAAGCTATCCCAGGGTCTGAGTTGGCTGTCTGCAGCAGCTCCGTCCCCTGACTGCGGATCACCCAGAGCGGGTCCGACTGTGTGGTGCCTTTAGGATCCAACAAAACACCTTGGAATTTCTTGAAGTCTGTAGACCCAATGTCCTGGTTTAGAGGACAAGGATCCAGCACATCCGGGATGCTGTCGTTGTCAAAGTCATCAACGCATGCATCTCCACTGCCATCACCTGGGAGTTGATGGAATGAAGAGAGCTCATGTAACATGATCCAATGGATTTTTTCCCTCACAACAGAAGGCAGAATTGTTGACCTCTGTGATAGCTTCAATAATCTTCAAGTCTAAGATGTACAGTAAGCCATAAACTGGATTTTTGCAAACAAAACTGACTGTCTGAGTCCTGCTGGTCTTTGTTAGGGACCAGTCTGCAGTTGTCCCGGTTGTCAGGGATACCATCATTGTCATCATCATGGTCACAAACATCTCCCTTTCCATCCTTGTCGTGATCAGCCTGGTTGCTATTGGCAATGTAGGGACAGTTGTCCAGGGAATTTTGGTGTCCATCCTCATCTATGTCCTCGTTGTTGTCACACATGTCCCCCACCAGGTCACTGTCAGTGTCGAGCTGCAAACAGACACCGAATTTGATCCGTTAGTTTAGCTACGACTTTCATGTTTTCTCTGAATATTGTGAAGTTTTCAGGGACCTGCTGTGGGTTGTGAAGAAGAGGACAGTTGTCACACTGGTCTCCAACTCCGTCCAGGTCAGTGTCCCTTTGGTCGGTGTTATACACATGAGGACAATTGTCGTTCTCATTCAGAATCTCTAAAAGAATGAGGGATAAGCACATTCCTGGTGGATATTTTACTTTTTCTGCGTCGCATAAAACATGCCAATCAATATAATTCAAGACAGACTCAGTAAATAGCCTCTGTAGCAATTTTCTAAATCTACAAATTAAACCAGATTGCTGTCTGGAGTTTTTCTATCATAGTCAACAGCTGCAGCTGCTGTTGTGAAAACACTGCTGCATCTTTTCCAACCAGTTATCTCATCTAAACCTATTTTTCATCAGAACTGTTGCTCTAAATGATTATTTTTCAAAAGGAACTGCATCTAGTAAACCTGTCCTTTCAGGACTTTAGGATTAGTGAGGCAATCGTTTTTACATTATCTCTTTATTTAGAACAAAGTTGTCCACTGTGAATAAAATTGTAATTAAAAATTGAGACTCAAAGATGTGAAACGTTAGATAAAAACATGTTTGTCATCATTATGTTTCCTTTTGTTCAGTGAGAAGACCTATAACAGGAAAACCAAATCTCAGCTCAGCCTTGCTGACGTGATTCCAGTTGCTCAACAATTCAAGGCTGTTTTGCTTTCTTCTTTTCATGATTCACTCTTTCAGTCCGTGAAAGATCTGGACTCCTTTATACGACAAAAACACGTTAGAAACCAAGATCAGCTAGGTTTTGGCATTGTCCTGCAGATACAAGAAAGACCTTGTGGACTGATTTTCAAAACTTTTCTGGAGAGAGCTGACACTTTGTAATCATCGGGTCATATGCTGAGCTATTTCTTCACCTCAGACTGCCTTATGAGGTCCTATCACGTTTCTTTTAGTTTATTTTGTTCTGCGTTCACATTCCTGATTAATTGCAGTAAATGGACCAATATCAGTATTGCTTCTTTTTAATTTTCTAAATGATATAACTTCAAATAAAATTGTGTATAATCAGAAATGAAGTGTAGCTCTTTAAAAATATTTGATCAGCTTTAAATGCTTTTTGTATAATTTGACTTCTAAAAGTCTCAGCTCTTCTGGTCATTTCCTTTATTTTAAATTATGCTGTTGGCATTCCAATTGGCAGTTAACTTGATAAGCTCTGATATTAATTTTAAACCTAGAAGCATACCCTCATTATTTACTCACAGCCCTACAAAGGGAAAATGTAACCTTAAACTCAACTTTAGACTAAAATCTCTTTCCTGGTTCCTATTTTTAAAATAGGCAAAATATTGTTAAATACATGTTAAAATTTGCTTTAAGAACTGTACGTTTGAGGCTCCTACCATCCCCATCGATGTCAATGCTGCAGGCGTCTCCTTCTCCGTTGTCATCAGTGTCTGTTTGGTGTGGATTGCTTTCAAACGGGCAGTTGTCACAACTATCTCCCACCCCGTCCCTGTCAGAGTCAAACTGACGAGGGTTGTACATCAGTGGGCAGTTGTCCTGCTCAAAACAAGAACAACCAGACGCACTCATTCAGAAAAGGCAATATTTCCCATCTAATTTAAATCATCCTCATGTGTTCTGTGTGATGATGATAGAGAAGCAGGTAGTAGAGTGGAGTAAATCAAGTAAAACTATAACGTTATTTATCAGTTAAGAAACATCAAACATCTTCACAGTAGAGGAACAGTTCAAGAGGTCATCAAAGAAGTGACACAATTTATACAGAACAGGCAAAAAACGAACAGCTTGAAAACGTTCTAATTTAAAAATGGCTGAGAAGAAAACTAACATTAAGAAAATAAAGAAGGTGAGTTAAAATTAAATGTACAATCTATAAAAATCCGAAAACACCACAGTCAGTCTCACCCTTTCATCACTAATGTTGTCGTTGTCGTCATCAAGATCGCAAGCATCCCCCTGTCCGTCTTTGTCCAAGTCTTCCTGTCCGGAGTTTGGCACCATGGGGCAATTATCCTGCAGCCAATCAGAGCACAGCTTCACTTAATGTCATCTGATCAGAACATTCATGATTCATCATATGACGGTATCTTTTCTTATAGGGATGCACCAAAAACACCCACCATGTCCTGAACACAGTGAAATAAGCTTTGGATCGTGTGTGAAGCGAGTTTACTCTCGTGTGGCACACAGACTGTTGCTGCTGTGCAGCTGCAGCATCACTTTATTCTCACTGGACGAGTGAATATCTTCATCAGAGGCTGAATATTGCTTTTCAGAATCAGAGTCAGACATAACCATAGAGCTTTGTCAGCATTGTAACTTTCTCCTCTCTAATATACAATAATATTCACCCTCTGTGTACTCTGCTCGTCTCCTCTCCTCCTCTGCTGTGTCGGGAGTCTCCGACGGGGAGAAGTTTTCAACCACTAAAAACTCTGAACATTTCAATAGAAACACCCAAAAGTGTTTCTCAGATTGAAGTTACACATCTCCACCATCTTCTGGTGTAAAGTAATAACTTCATGAGGGATTATATTTGCAGCTGTGGCTCGTTAAATGCAATATAGCAACTTTGGCTAGTAAAGGGTTAATTTAACAGTTATAAGTCTGCACATTCAGATTTTTTTACCTTTTCACAGTGATAGGTGGCATTCTGCCTGCATGGTAACTTTTCATTAGGCCATCCATCCAGATCTGGGTCCTCACCACATAGAACCCCATCACCAGCAAACCCAACAGCACACACACACTTAAACAGAGCCTCAGACGCCAGGCCCAGGTATATACAGTCAGCAAACTGGTGGCAGGTGTGTGTGTTGTCTTTGCAAGGATTGTATGGCTCACACACCTAAAACAATACAACAACAGACCCCAGAAAAAATCAAACATTTTTTTCATCATTTTGTGCGTTTTACTTAAATTCTTGTAAAATGTGTTTACTTTGAGAGTAAAACACATGCCTGCCTAGTTTTGGAGGCTTCCTTCAGTCCAATGCCAAATGGCTGGGTGCCTTTGTAGCGAGGAGGACAGGGGAGACAGTAGAACCCAGGATCTGTGTTCACACAGGTTGTAAAACACACTCCATCCACTTCACACTGAGATGGAGTTAACAGAAGTTTTTGTAAATGAGAATCGTCCTTTTCCCCCCAGAGGAGTCTTTAACATGGCTGGCTATGAGATTCAAACAAAATTTACAATAGACCAATAAAAACTTTAAAAATAGCATGAATGTGATCAAATCTCGGACACATTTTGTTGCCGCAAGAGACTTCATCTCTCTGTCGACATTCACCAGAGCCTCAGACTTTAATTAACCTGCTGGTGCTGTTTATAATCACTGCTATAAAAGTCAGATGATGCAAATTTTAAAGCTCTATAAATACTCCTCAAACTTCCACAAGAAAAGCCTTCTATAATTCAAAATAATTGATGTCCACACAGCAGGAGGAGGCAGAAAAACAATGAAAAACTTTTATCATGTGGTTGGTTCTTTAGGAAATAATCAGGAAATAGCAGTAAGTAGTAGAAACAAGCATGAGTTCAGTTAAGGTCGAGCTTTGTTAATAGATTTATTGACTTTTGGGAATTTTTTAGCAGAATTTTAGTGCAAATACACCTACACCAACATGCTGGAAACAAATGTAGTAAACAGTCTGGAATGAAACTTTGAGTGAGTTGTTGTGTCTCCGGTTAAAAGAGAGCAGGATTTAATGAAGAGCTGCAGCGAGGCAGATCAGTCATGCTTTGGGTTTGTGTTGCAGCCAGGAGCTAGGTCTTCAGGGAACATTTCACTTGCACAGACATTTGACATGCTGAAGGTTAAACAAGGATGGCTTCTACAAGAGGAAAATGACACACCTCAAAAACCACAGTATATCATCACAGAAAGAGCAAGGAAAAGGTTTTCCCATGGCTGTCAGCATCCCCTGATCTAAGCATCTGTAGATTCCAGACCTCAGAAGAGCAAAGCATAAAACGCTGCCAAGATCTGGAAAGGCTTTTTGGTTTTTTTTAGTTTTTTGGCTGCAAGGGGCCTAAGCAAATGCTACGAAGCCTCCCTGTCTACTTTTATTCCTGTTTAGGTTGAAGCAAAAGTAACTTTCATGTAGATTTTACTACCTCATTCTCATCTTCACAGTTTGTACCGTTTCCTCTAAAACCCAACGGACATTGTCCACATTCCCAAGATCCATCACTTTTTGATGTGCATCCTACCCCGGGAAAACATGGATTTGAAAGCAAGCAGTGATCTGAAACAGAAAACACACTGGGTGAATCATTAACACTTAGACGCAACACCAGGGGTTACAAGAATGTATGTTTTTCTGAGTTTTAATTGTTTTCCCATTAAGTCTTAAGCCTCATTACTAAATAAAGGCTAAATAAACTCTGAAGGATTTAATTTAATCCAGCATTGTTTGAAAATAATGTTTTCCCAAATGCAAAAAAAAAAAAAAGGAGGATTTATTTGTGGATTTTCGGATTACACTGCTTATAGAAGAATATTTGCTTTTGAAATTAGGATGAACATACAGCTAGAGGTTTGGTTTACCAATAGGACATGGTTGTTTGTTACACGCATCGTAGTCCACTGCATCTCCAGCACAAGACTTCCCACCATTCTGAGGGGCGGGGTTCGAACAGTCGCGGTGGCGGCTCACAAGGCCTCCACCACATGACGTGGAGCACTGCGACCACTCGCTCCAGGCTGTCCACCCTCCTGAAACTAAACCCAAAAACACAACACTGACATGTGGTTCAGCTCCATGTAAAATGTGCATCAGCGCTCACCGGGGCACACTGTGTTGTTGCATGACTGTGTCTCCCTGCCGCTACCCTTGCACCCTCTGCCTCCCTTGTGAGGGGAGGGACTGTTGCACAGACGGACCCGTGTGGTGTTGCCTTCTCCACATGTGGTGGTGCATGCAGACCAAGGAGACCAAAGGCCCCAGTTCCCATCAACACGCGCTGAATGTTAAAAAGCATTTCAAAACTGAGATGGGTTGATGGAAATTCTTCCAGTTTCAAGAAGAACATTTAACAAAAACACTTGACAGAACAGATGTGCAGACTGAGGTCTTACTTTTACGGTCACACTTCATTAGTATGCAGCTGCGAGTCTGAAGTGAAGGTCCAGAGCAGGAGGGCATGATACCATTGCAGGACCGACCCCGTTGCTGACCCCCTCGTCCACAGGTGACCGAGCAGTGGGTCCATTCAGACCAGGGGGACCAACCATCTTCATTGTCTTCACAGAAATAAAACATGCAATTGTAAAACATGTTGATCTACGTTGACATTTTAGTTTTCAGATGGACATTTGACATCACGCTCACCGAGACAAACAAGGCAGCATTTTCCATCAACAAATGACGGATTGAGGCAGGACACTGGGGGACACAGCACCTGCTGACACACCACCTTCCCGTCCTGGACAAACCGTTGTGATAAACTTAGATTGTGAGAAAATGTCGTATTATTTGCTCCAGATGTTTAGATCCATGCCAGAGGAATGATATCCTGTCAGAAGAACGTCTGGCTACTCCCTCAACGCATTCTTGACTAAACTAATGATGTTTTCTAAAGAGAAACAGGCTCAGGGATCAAGCAAGAAGAAAATATAACAGCGGCTCTGGAATTAAACTACCGGTAAACCGCATTGGAAGCGTGTGAAATGTCTATGGACACAATCAAAAGGGATGTTTTGACTGTTTTGATGTTTGCTCTCTGTTTCATTAGGAAGATTGGTATTATTTCTACAAATACATGAAGAAGGTATAAAATAGGAAAGCAAACTAATGCATATATATTTTTTATAATTTAAAACCTTTAGAAGGAGAACTTGGAAAATGTATAAACAAAATTAATATAAATCTTACAATTTACCCCTCCCAGATTACACATATTCATTATGGTTTTTTTTTTTCGGTCTCTTAACTGTTTCAGATCAGCACACAAGGTTCAAAATCAGACAAAAATCATCTGAGTACATACACAATGCAGTTTTCTAATCATGATTTCATTAATTGAGGGGAACAAGCTTTTCAAGTCAGCCTGGACCTGTGTGAAATAGTAACTGACCACTACATCATGGATGTGCTGTGATTAATCACATTATCTGGCGAGCTGAGTTCAGGTTCACCGGCCACCCTCAGTCCTAATTCCTATTAGACCTGAACATGCAGGAGTCACTTTTGTGACATAATCAAATAGGATAAAGTATCTAAAAGAAAGAAAAACAACATAAACACAATGAAATTCAAATACAAACCCAAACACCGCTTGTAAGCCATTAGGTGTATCGACAACATAAAAATAAAACATACGCGTCCCGATACATTATGTACACCGCAGTTCAGAAAATCAACATCACACCTACAGTCAAGCATGGTAGTGACAGTGTGATGGCTTGGGATTGATTTACTGTTGCTGTAACTGATGGAACCAGGGATTCTGCTCTTTATCACAAACTCCTGTTGAAGAATGTCTGACCTTTAAGAGGCCATTGATGCTGGAAAAGTATGCAACATGACATAAATAAAAACAGTTCATGGGACAAAATTCCTCCACAACAATTGTATGCTAGTTATCAAAATACTTGATTGCACCATGCACAGCACAAGCCTGTGACAACTGATAATTAGGTTTAGGGGTAAATTAACTTTTCACATAAGGGACAGGCTGCTCCGGAATAAAAAAAGACACTTTCGTTTATGTCAAAAAGGATAAGTCCTTCTGGTAGCTATGCTTATGACACATCCCTCACTCAGTCAGAGGCCTGTATTAATATCTTGGGTTGTTGTGACGAGAGATGTATTCAGCGCTGACCTGGCAGGAGCAGGAGGTGCAGCTGTCGACCTCCCAGACCTCCCCCTGCTCGTACACTCGTCCATCCTGAGCACACCAGACCTCCCCGTCTTTGTCTCTGTCGAGATCATTGTTGTCTCCATGGTTATCCTCATCTCCTTCATCGCTGTTGCTGCTGCCCAGCTCAGATAAAGTGATCCGCATCTCCTCATTTTCCTTTGACTGACAACACACAAAAAGATATATGTATGTGTGTGTGTGTGTACTAGGGGTTGCATGACTTAATCTTTTTTTAAGTCGACCGTCAAGTAATGAATATGGAGTCGACTTCGACTAGTTGTGGATGACGTCACACACCTGAAGTGCACAGGGTGTTGGGTGGTGGTGGTGGTGGGGGGTGGGGGGGTTGGTTCGCTGGAGTTTTTGACAATTAAAATTGCGGCTACATTTTCTAAGTTAAACACATCTCTTTTAACAACGATAGTTTCTGCTTCAGCCCTCTCCCCCCTCACCCTGTGCAGCAGCCACGAACTCACTGATGTGCCTGCAGCCTCTCGGAGTTCCTGCTGCTCTAAACATTAAAATAATTATTTCATTTTCTGTTCCTCACTTCTGATTACCTTCAATGGTGTCTGTTTGTTGCAACCACCAGGTACAAAAGCTAACTTGTTTTTATTTGACTATTTTTCTGTCCTGTCTCTGTCTATCATCTTCCTGCATCTCCTCTCAATCCTAAAGAAAAACTGCTACCTGGCTTCATATATGTTCACCTTATGAGTTACCTTTGAACTGCAGTTCTAAAAGATCAACCACTGCAAAAACAGCAGAGTGTGCGCCGGCCGCACCAGTGAGTTGCGTCACCGGAGGACAAAATAGGTGATGCGCTCCGCTCCACAGCAGCTAAACACATCAGGCACGAATAAAAAACAGAAAAAATAAAAGGAAATGAGCCGACATGAGCGATTGCGTGTTAAATTTGTTTTTGAGGTAGCGACACCTGATTTGATGTTACTGCGTCAACGATCAGAGCTTTGCATGCGCAAGCTGGTTAAGGTTAGGATGGGGGTGAGGGGAAGGTTAAATTGCAAGAGGGTAAAGGTCACAATTAGGTCAAATGTCCGTTTTACTGCGGGTGTCAGTACCGACGCTCTGGCACAGCGCGTCGCCTCCCAACGCGCAGGAGCTCCTCACCTGCTATCTTTTCAGAGGACTGCATCTTGTCGGTCATTATCACGTGACAACGACTAGTCGGTGAAAGGCATAAAAAGTCACTACAGAGCAGTGAAGTCGACTAGTCGACTAGTTGATACAACCCCTAGTGTATACATGAAATGCATTAAGACATTAGAAGGTATTTATCAACATCTGATTTTCATCAACAAAACATCTGTCATGAACTAGAGACAAGAACCATTTAACTGTGATTAGACATTTTAATCCTGATGATATTTAGCTTTTTTTTTCCAAACTCCCATAAGTTTCACCACAAACCACAATGTCTCCGGCTAGAAGAAAAATGCTATTATTTCTTCCATAGCGCTGGAAGAAAAGTTGCTTTCTACTGATGTTTTTGCAAAAAAATTCACAAAAAAGTATTAAAAGTGTCACACACAGCTGTTAGGTTCAATGCTGCTCTTGGAAAGAATTTGACAGCTTAGAGCTAATCATTTAAAGAAGAAACAGAGAACTGCACCAAACTCTTGAGCCTCTCGTTTTTATTCTTGACAGCATTTCACTGAATCAAAAACTAAGAACTTTTAAGAGAGTTAATTTTTAGGATGAGGAACTAGTTACACCAGCTGAGACCATTAAACCATGGAGATCATTAATTTAAAAAAAATCCAACTAATTATATATAATTTAAACCTTTAATTAGTTGATGAAAATCTCTAGGCCCTTTGAGTGCTGGTACTAAATTAATAGTGAGAAAATATATTTTTCTATCCTACAATTATTAATTCAAATGTTTTTAGGTTAAATTTAACAGTGTAATTACATAGTAACAGAAAAATAAATAACTGGCACTCACCACGTGTAGGTTCAAAGGACAGAAGACATGCCAACTAATAAATTTTTATAATTTTTGGTTCAAAATACTAGAGCAACTTATAATAAAAATAATAACAACAATAATGTTAATAATAATAATAATAATAATAATAATAATAATAATAATAATAACAGCAATAATAATAATAATAATAATAATAATAATAATAATAATAATAATAATAACAGCAATAATAATAATAATAATAATAATAATAATAATAATAATAATAATACACCTCTACATTTTTTTATTTTGAGTTTTATTAGCACTGTCACATTTTTTATACATTAACATTTTTTATCTCATCATATTTGGCAGGTTGCTACATCATTTTGCATTAATCACGGCAGACTTGTTCAATTTTTTCTCAAAACAAAAAAACTGTTACCTACAACTAACAGCTTTTAGCACGAATGTATTCGTTTACTTAGAAAGCAGAAACTACTTTTACAAACTTCTTAACTGAACCTCACATGACGCAAAACTCAACCTGGCCTAAACATTATTGCGCTAAAGGGATCAAAAATCACACATCTGACTTTAGATAGTGTAAATAAAAGCTTTTTGTAAACAAGCTTTGACTTACATTCTAAAAAAAAAGTATTCTACTTAACATCAATATCCATTTTAATGGCATTCATGTAAAGTATGAAAAACACATTTTCACAGCAAAGGGCTTCTCTCCGGTAAATAACACCATTTGTTCTAATACTTCCTACAACACTTTGAACATTTGGAAGTCTTACCACTCTCTCCAGATCTTCAAGCAGGTTATTTGTAACGATGCGCAGACCGTGGATCTCAGTGATTAAATCCACCAGCTCTTCACATGGATGATGACACATTTCAGAAGAGACATTGTGGACCTTTGTGCCACTTGCACCTGCAGAAAGGCCATGTTTTACTGTGATTTATCTCTAAATCTCTAAAGAAACAATAAGGAAACAGGTGGAGAAGCTGAATTAGTGTCTGAATGCAGGTGTGAGTCTTTGTGAGCAAGTGCACGTGTGTGGTACCTGCACACACAGCTGCTGCACACAGGGGAATTAAAAGCCAGGGCAAATCTCTGAGAGGCCACATCCCTGTTCACAAACGCATCACATATGCAGTCGCCGTTAAATACAGAGAGCATACATCACCGCAGACAGCATGCATGTCTGCTGCAAACCAGATAAAGTAGAAAGATGAAGGTGAAGAGGGAATTAACCTTGCATACCTGCGTCTTTCTCGCAGTTCTGCCTTTCTCTGATATTAAAAATCACAGCTGGTAGACTCCTCTGTGCTTCAGCTCCGCAGGGGCTCTGATGGAATGTCTCCTTTTTCCTTTATCCTCACTCCCTTGTCTCCTTATTTCCTTGTCAGGGTCCCACTGAAGAACTTCTTTAGTGATTTCTCTCAGAAGCATCCAAGCAGCTGAAAAGTGAGTGAAGAACATGCAGGCTGCTCAGTAGAAGCTTCTGTAAAACTTCTGGGGTTATGCATTTGTTTGTGTGTGTGTGTGTGTGTGTGTGTGTGTGTGTGTGTGTGTGTGTGTGTGTGTGTGTGTGTGTGTGTGAGGCGCGAGCAGGGTCCATATTTTACTCGTCTGTCTGGCAGTGAACTGACTTGCATATCTCCAAGAAATCTCAGAGAAACCCAGCTGGATGGAGGAAGCTGCGTCAGTGTGTTGAGCACACACACACACACACACACACACACACACACATACACACACACACACACACACACACACAGAGAGAGAGTTGGCGGCATGAAGTTTTCCCATATTTCCAGAGCAAGAACACTGGCATTAACAGAAATCTTTTGCAAACTTGAAAAATTATATTTGAGCTGTGTGTGTGTGTGTGTGTGTGTGTGTGTATGTGTGTGTGTGTGTGTGTGTGTGTGTGTGTGTGTGTGTGTGTGTGTGTGTGTGTGTGTGTGTGTGTGTGTGTGTGTGTGTGTGTGCGCTTGGATTGTTGGAGAAACAAGAGCTAACTGATGGATTTTAGAAACATCTCCCTTTGCCGGGATTTGTCTCATGCTCCGCGTTTGGTCCTTTTCCCTGCTGAGTCACTGTCCTGAATCATATTTTCCATTTGTAGACTCAACTTGTGGAATAATGAATCTTACAGCTGTGTGCACACACGCATGTGTGTGCATGCACACGCATGCGCTCGAACCCACACTCACAAAGCAATATCCAACAAATTGTCTCCTTCCAGGTAGCGAGAAACATTTCAGCAGGGGGAGGAACAGATAACATGTTTCTTTTGGAGATGGTTCAACAGATGAAACTCTGAGAGCAGGTGCTGTTGCTGCTCCGGGAGGAAAAAAATCCCAAAATAATAAGATCTGAGGGGACATAAAAGGTAAAGACGTGGGCAAGATTACTTGGAAAATTCTAGCATGACATTTTTGGATTGATGTGCAGCAGGGAAGGCACAGACTGTTCTGGGTTCGGACTCAAAGCCTCCAACTTTGTCTTACACATTTGATAGTGAGAATAGGGGTTTAAAATAAAGCAAGTTAATCATCTGTGCTGAAGGTAAAGTTTTTTTTTATCACAATAGAAAAGTTATTTTCTATGAAGTAATGGGCTGAGGGCTTCATTAACACAACTATATTTTCAACAAATTTTTCATTCAAAATATTTTTTATCTGGTAATGTTCTTCTGTTATATGGACTTACAGAGATGCAGGTTGGGTAATTTCTAAAAAAGTCCATTGAGGTTATGTAGGTGTTTTTATATCCACCCATCCATCATCCATACCTACTTATCCATGCAGGGGGCTGGTGCCTATCTCCAGCAGGTTGCCAGTCCAACGTAAAGCGGGCTAAGTGTCTTGCCCAAAGACACAACAGCAGCACTCTCTGGTCAGAGCAGGGATCCAACCAACAACCTTCCAAATACTGGACAACCCCTTTTACCTCCTGAGCTACTGCTGTCCCAAACCAAAGAATAGAAACAAATCCTAATTTTCCATCTCAGTGTGGCCAACAAAGTTGAGTTTATGTTTCTTTTTTCTTTGTTTTTTTTAAACAACATTATTTTACCAAATTAGTCTAAAATGTTAAAAGCAATGATCCATTGGTTGCTTTGAATTCCCCTTCATCTTCAGCTCCCTTAGCTGTAGCAAGGAATTTGGACAGCCCCCCCTCCGTTATTCTGCAAACGTCGTAAGAGGACCTCTCATGAGATTGTGGCAGGGAGGAGAATCCAAGAACCTGATGCAATCAGGCAGCTTAAGAAAAAACTAGCATTTGGCTCATTTATCTAAAAACACCAAAAGAACTCAAAGGGCTTTTCCATTGTTCTTTAAGCTGTCTCCAAGAGCAGCAACATTTATCCTGCAATTGCCACACACCTCTAAACATGTAGTGGTCAGAGAATTACATGAGCTTAAAGTAAAAGGATTTGTGTAGAATTGTGTGCAATAAAGCATGAATGAAGAAGGCTGCATGGAAGTTTCAGAACAAAGTAGTGTCATTTATTTATGGTGAGGTAGCAACAGGCAAGCAGGGGGCTCAGTTTGTCTTAATGACAGTGGGTTAGTGGGTCAGCAGCACAAGAGAGGTGCTTTAATCCATTTAACAGATCCTCCTAATATTCTGCAGATTAGCTTTGCACAATACATCTGTGATTTGTAGTCCACAGAGGTGCATTCTGGGATTTATTGCAGTCATTTACACAGTTTAATTGTAACTTATTAAAATGATGCGACTTACTAAATATTACACAGTAAGAAAAAAATGTCTGCAGGAAAAGAGACAATTGTCTTGGCTGAAAATGACCAGGACGTATACTTTAAATATAAGACATTTATGTTTACATTGATAGAGAATTTATAGACAGGAAAATAATAGTGGAAAAATCATGGAGGGAAAAGGTCATAACCGAATATTAGATTTTTATTATGCATTTAGCCCCATTTGTGTGAAAGAACGAGATCGTGGATACAAGCGGCCGAAAGGTGTTTTCTCCGCAGGGTGGCTGGGCTTTCCCTTAAAGATAGGGTGAGATGCTTGGTCATCCGGGAGGGGCTTGGAGTAGATTTGATGCTCCTCCACATTGAGAGGACACGCTGGAGGGACAATGTTTCACGGCTGGCCAGGGAACACCTTGGGATTTCCCCGGAGGAGCTGACCCAAGTGGCTGGGGGTAGGGAAGTCTGGGCCTCCATGATTAGGAAAAATGTTTTTTGCACAAATGTTTAGGTTTCTTAAGTGATTTGCTCTTGCATTATAAACAGAACAGTTAGAAGCACATCAAAAACAGAGCAGAGTCACTCTTGCAGAACAGAAGTAGTTCTATTCTGTTTTCCGCATTTGTGACATCACAAACAAGGACTTTTTAAAACAGCTTGTTTTAGACAGATAATTCCTAAAACCAAACACTGACAGATAACGCATGTTTTTATTTTCACATTTGGAGCACCTGTAGAGGCAGTAGAGACCCACATGATAGCACATAAGTTAGCAAAAAGTTGAGTTAAGCATAATATGTCTCCTTAAATCCATGATTTTCCTTTTGGGTTTAGGGGCCACGTATACTCTGAAAAGGACTTTTCCTAAATTGCAGAGCATGAAAATAAAATAAAAAGATGTTACGTATTGAAAGTAAATATAGAAATGAGTTACAATGTGTCTGAATGGGAATTTTGTGTTTCTCATTAGGCAACATACAAATATTTCCTCTATCAGTGCATGCTGGAAAAGGTCACTTGGTCTCTCAGTGGCCCCATGTTCAAAGGAAACCTACATGCCCATTGCCAAAGATGAAAGTTTTCTTATATCAAAGCCCCCTCCTGTTATTGGGCTCAGTGACTCTGAAATCAAAGCTTTAACAGCAACACACCCTTTCCAACAAAAACCTACAGGCAACTCATTTCCCACGACCCCCTGTGGAGCGCACCAACCCTGCGACCTCCATTGTTGGTTGTGTGTGAGAGTGTGTGTGTGTGGGCATGTGCGCGTACTTGTATGCGTATGTGTGTGTAAGAGGAGAGGTGACATGGTGCTCTGACACTGCAGAACAAAACGGAACAGGCCCAGTCTTTTGCGCTCAGGGTTTTGACCAGCTCAATTAGCGTGACATACGTTCCATCCAGCCGCTGGACAAAGAGGATTAACTTCAGCAGCACACTTTCCAGAAGGCACAGCAATCATTAGACACGCTGTTTCCCCTTCTTAGCTTTCCACAACACAACAGGAAAGTGACATGACCGACGATGGGAAAATGAATGAGGATGGAGATGAGGCCTGGTTCGTCCCCCAGAAGGAGATTGTTTACAACAGCCTTTTGCCTTACTGCAACCATTTGGACCAGGAGGCCATGGGTCTGCTGGAGGGCATCAAGGCCAACCTCAGCAGAGCTGTCCTCGTTAGAGAGCTGTTTCCTGGGGTGGCGTTTTGGTCCAGGAAACTTTTCTTGTAAGTGTTGATGCAATGTTGGATCATGGGAATTCCTTGTGGATGGGGTCACTGATGATTCTTTGTGCTGTTATGTAACAATAAACTGCCTCTTTATGGGAGATTCCAACTGTGTTAACACAATGCCCAATGGGGAATAAAACAGAATTAGAATGCAGATGGAAATTAGTAATTAAAGAGGTAAACAGACATTGCTAAGGACTAAATCTTTAAGACTTTTCAAATACTGGTTGGGAAGAGTATTTAAAGGAGCAATATGTGAGCATTCCACTGTGAAACAATCACAAAAGTCTAATATGTCAATCATGTTGGAAGGAAGGTTGCATAATAACAGATGTAATTCTCAGCCGGCTGGGGGGTTGTCAGTATATCTCTGTTAAAATAAACTAAAGGTGGACGTAGTCTTTGCTTACAATCAGTGAATTTGTGAGGTTGTTGTCTCTGGCAAAATGACACTGTAGCACTGGCATCTTTAATTCGACACTGGCAGGCAAAGAGCTCCAGAGTTGTTTAAAAAACTAAAGCCAGTAAACAGGAGCAACCCAGAAGTTATTTCCTGTACCCCTGAAAAGCCACGGCATCTTTTTGTTTTACTCTAATAAAGTGGGGTGAAGCAGGCTAGAAGCTAACATTGAGCTAACATTGAGTTTACAATGCTGATGTGAATAAGAAGCAAATAGTTGGCTCTAAAAATAACTCAAGCTATCTTTTCAATCACCAACAACTCGATATTACAGTGAAATGTATGTAAAGTGATTAATGAGTCATTCGTGGTGTTTTACTTGCTTTAATGAGTCGTTCAGAACTATAACAGCAAGCTAACAGCTGATAACCACACTTCCACTAATGCCGGAGAATATTACCATAATAAATGTAGTAAGTGCTCCCTACCATAAAACACACAAGAGTGCTAACACCATAAATGATCATGTATTTATCTACTAATCAACCTACTGTGTGTGACTCATCTTAGGTTGTCATCTAAAATCTTCCATAATTGGCAACAGCCACAAAACTCGCTGAACGACGGTGAGAAAGTGATTCTTTGTTAAAGAAAATGGACTGCAGTAACTAGATCTGACCCCAGGATGTCAATCTTACTTCATTCTTACATATTGCACCTATAATGAAAGGGTCAGGTGGTCTTATTGATCTGAGAAGACATTGGCACAGGAAGGTGTATGTTCTTTCTTGAGAATTTGAGTGAGATACAATAAAAAATAACTGATCATAAGTCCTCTTTGTCTCTGTCTCTCTTAGTTTTCTGAAACTGTATGGCCGAAGGTTCACTAAAGAGGACCACATTCTCTTCATCAAGCTTCTGTACGAGTTGGTGACCCTGCCCAACCTGGAGCCCCACATGATGCAGTGCTACGCCAGGCTGCTCATTCAGCTTCTCAAGTGGGTGGGCTGCATAAACACACGCGGTATTAGAAATGTTCTTTCTCCTTGAGCTGCCCTTATTACAGGATTGTATTATCTTAGCTTGTTCTGAGGAAACCTTGACTTCCCTGAGGTGGAGGTAGTCTGCCAGTCCACTGATTGAGCAGATTACACTTTGTAAGTCTGCCAAAACATGACATGACATTAGCTAATGTGACCCTAGAAAGCTGAACTCTCCAGGATGAGCCCCTGTTAGCCTTCCTGTTCATGTAATGAGATCAGAGAGCAGCTCTGTTTGTTAATGTCACTTTGCTGTCACATGATGCGTTAAAGTGGATTTCTTACTCACCTCTCTGCTATTTAGAGGACAGGCTGAGATAGAAATAACATGTAAACATGCTTGCGCCATATAGGTAAATATAACTGAGATATTTATTCATCTAATTATGTATCTGTATCAAAATAATTGTTTAATAAAGTGCAATACTGCTGCTCATAAAAAAGCTGACCATAACAACAAAATGAAAATAAAAGTCTGTCAAAGTCCACTCATCAAAGGGGTTTTAAGACCTATTTCACGTGTGTTTCTATGTAAAAGTTATAAATCTTTTTTCATAGCTTCCTGAACAGCCTCTGTTTTGTGAAATCACTTTTACTTAGCCAACAGCTAGTCCATAACAGCCAAGACCAAGTGCAGCTTCTATCTCCCAAATGGCATAGTGGTTATGTTTGAGGTCACTTTATAAACTGTTAGTTTGTGATGACACAGATTTCTTGATGGAAGTTTATGTTTATTTAAATATCACCATTAGCAGCAAAAATTAGAACTTTTAGAGCCACCAGGAATGAAGTCCAATAATGGGATTTTTTCAAGAAAGCTCTGATTTTGTCTTCATCTGAATTAGTCACGATATCATCGGTTCTAAAGACTGGAAACTCAGTCTCTGTTAACTGAGGCGGTTTAGGAAGTTATCCAATATAACATATACACAGAAAAACACTCAGAAATGGCCAAATATCACTTTAAGGCAACTTTTTAGTGCATATTACTTAACAAATGGTTATTGATACAAGAACTACAGGTGAACCTCACATATTGTGCAAAAGTTCCTTTACGTCAGTAATAAATCCTAAAAAGTGAAACTAATGTATGAAATACACTCATGACACAAAATATCTGTTCTGTAGGCATGCAATTGTAATGTCACCTTGGCCTTTAAATTGCCTTTAAATTAAAGGGGTTATTATTATTATTATTATTATTATTATTATTATTATTATTATTATTATCATTATTATGTAGGGTTAGGTAAACTGGGTACTCTAGCTCAGTAATACTAGTATTATAGTGTAAATTATATCACTTTCCATTTGTCCTTAGTTGTTGTCCTGACTTTCGCATCCATCACCAAACAGCATCTTTATGTAAATGTCAGTCATCTTAGTGGCTTGCATCAGATGAAAAGGGAAGGATATGGAATAACCATAAATCAAGCATCAGGTCCCACATTCGAGCACCAAAGTTGAGACTTAATGCCAAACACCAGATTCCGTTGGTCTCTACGTATCACCCTTCACATTTCACGATTAATTATTTTTTTTAACTGCCTCTTCTTCTGGTTTTAACCCCCCTGGTATTGTTTGCTCCAGTGCTGTTAGAGGAATGAAGGAGCTGACAAGGGGGATCTGTGCTCATGAAAACTGCACATATTCTCAAGTGCGGGAATTGTTAGCCTTTTTCTATGAGATTTAATCCCATAAAAACTGTGATTTACAAAGAGCGCAGTATAGCACAAAGAATGAAAGGAGGCTCTCAGGGGGATTTAAAAAATCATTCCATTTTAACGCTTGTGAAGGGCTCACCAGTGGAACAGCATTTTGAGTGAAATCTAAAAGCTTAAGTGGATGTTAGAAGAACTAAAAAGCACTAAAAAGGGATGATGTCCCTCCACCGAGCAGCCGGTTCTGTTAACTGATCTTAAGCAGGCTTCCTCTCTGCAGACGAGTATTTTTAACCGTCAGAGACAACACATGCAAATTCTCAAAGCCTGCAGCTGTTGGTTCGGTTATGCTTTGTTAACAATAAAGAATCTCTGCATTGTGTTTTGAGGACACGTCTTCAAGTTGGCAGTCATGGTGTTGAGAGCAGCTTGTGGGGGAATGACTAATTTTCCCATGATGGCAGGCGTTGTAGTCTCTCATCTCAACATGAGATTTTCACTACTCAAGTATCTAAAACGTTGCTGAAAGGGCAACAACAACCTTTTACAGCTGAGAACTCACTTGGTTATATAATTTTTTTGGTTTGTTTTCCAACAGGAAGAAGGAACTCCTGTCAAGAGACGACCTACAGTTGCCGTGGCGACCACTTTATAATTTGTATGAAAGGGTTATCTACTCCAAAACTGAAGACCTGGGGCTCGTCTGGTTCCCGAAGTATGTTTGGCATCAAAATCATTTCATGCCTCCTACGCTGTAAATAAGATAATTTTGCACCAAATGTTTGTCCAAACTAACAGGATGTCATTAGGACGAACCCCTTTTATGTAAATTTCATTTAAGACATTTTAAAATGAGTAGACATAGCATGTTTAAAGCTAGATTTTACTAATATAATTCAAACACTTTAAAATTGCACAGATTATAAAATTTTTGCCCGATAACCTCGGTTTTGAGTTGTGGCTTCACCAAACACCACATGTGGCAGTGACACAAAAGCGACTGAGCCAAAGCTGAGCACATTTCTATCCTTGTGCTGAAAATCATATATAATTTGGTTAATAACAATCCTTTGAATCTTCAGCATCCACACCCAGAATTATTTTTTTCTTTTCTGATTGTTTTATTAATTTGAAGGAAGCAGGTTTTGACAATAAAATGTTCAAGTGCAATCATAAAAATCACCAAGCGCGCACGCGCGCACACACACACACACACACACACACACACACACACACACACACACACACACACACACACACACACACACACACACACACACACACACACACACACACACACACACATTTCATACTCTCTTTTCACTTCATGACTTTATATTTTGAAAAGCTGGCTCAGTTATAGCTGTTTCTGTCTTTGCTGAGTTTAATCTGTTGAAGCAGCCATCTTGAATTATGAACCTAAATCTAATTTGCAGTTTGTCGAATAATTATCTTTTAAGAGTTTCCTTATCCATCCAGTAGTTTGTGCATTTCCTCTCATTGCAACTGGCACCAATATCAAAGAGTAAATTAATTTTATTCTATAATTTCTCTTACTGGTTACGTTCTGCTGATCTCTTAGGTGTGTCGTCAAATACACATGCTCATACAGCACTTTGCTTGCTTTGCAGCTCAGTGGACCAAATTCTGAAGGCTGTGATCAAAAGCTGCAGACTGTAAGTCTCATCCTTTGTGATCATGTATTCTCTGAAGCAAAGAACGTTTTTCTTTGATCTTCACTTGTGCTGCGCTCTGCAGATCAATGTGTTTATTTGGAGCTTTGCTCATTCACATCTATTTCTGGTACTGTCTATTGTTGATCTCTGTGTTTATGTGCTTCTTCTTGGCGGGGGCTTCCAGGTATTTCCCGGCATCATCCACAAAGGAGATGTTGGAAGAGTGGCGCCCCCTGCTGTGTGTGTTTGATGTGGTAATGCAAAAGGCGATCAGTAACATGGAGCTGTTTCTGCCCACCATCATGCCCCCCAGAGGAGCACGGCCAGGGCTTCCAGTAAGTGGGATGTCTCTTGTCAGAAGACACGTTCTAAATGTACTGACTTAACATGCAGAGGGAACTGTCAATCTTGAAATTTCAATTTTCAGACACTGCAAGGATTAACATCGTTGTATCTGAAATCCGTGCTCTTGTTTTTCTTGAAAACTCTTTGCTCCCCTCATTTTCTCATCACGGTTCTACTCCTGCCTCTTTGCCTTCTTCTCTCCATGCGCCGGTTTTAAGCTATTTGTCTGGATTTATTCTTGGATCCACGAGCAGAAGTTTCTGCACACTTTCCACAATACATCATCTTTAATGCCATTTTTTCATCCCCCTTTTTCATTTCTGTTGCTCTTTCCTCCAGAATACACAAGGGGGAAGAATGAGTTCATAAGTTAGGAAACTGGTGATGAATTACGGCAATCCGACTTCATGTGTGTGTGTCTGATTGTTAATCCGAGACTTTTGTGTTTTCAGGTTGTGGTTTGATGAGTTAATGAGCCTTTGGATGTCGGTGCAGAATCAGCCAAGCTGGGAAGGGGTGAGACGCACACACACACACACACACACACACACACACACACACACACACACACACACACACACACACACACACACACACACACAGGCATGCACACACACACACACACACACACACACACACACACACACACACACACACACACACACACACACACACACATGCACACACACAGGCATGCACACACACAGGCATGCACACACACACACACACACACACACGCACACACACACACACACACACACACATGCACACACACAGGCATGCACACACACACCAGTTGTTTTAGCACCTTTTTTTCAATTTGGAAAAGAAATTCTCATAGTCAAAACAAATTAAAAATAAACTGAAATTAAACTTTTGAAACAATTTGAACCTATTGAGCAATGCATCACACAGTCGGTCTTTTGCTCAAACTGGACACAGTAATTAGGAATGACAAGCTGTCTACATTTCCTGATTACGATGATTGAAATGTTGTTGCTGGTTTCCATTCAGTGTGCTGATAAGATTTTCCATTTGTGCCTCCACTCTGCTTACATCCAGCCTTCAGGCCCTTAGCGACCCGGCTGAGTTCACTTCCTCTCCTCTTCAACATCTTATTTTTTTTCAAGCAGCTATATTTAATTCTTGGAATGGCGGACTTTGCTTCTGGGATTTTCCCACTGGCTCACAGTGATTGTTTGCCTGATGTTGTCTTGTAGCACCTAGTGAACCTGTTCGCTCGCCTCGCCAACGATAACATCGGCTACGTGGACTGGACTGCTTATATTCCCACAGTGAGTCATTAGCAGAATTATGCGGATGTACAAGTCTGCCTGTTAATGCATTTTATTAGGGGGCTACGGGGCTGTGTGTGCAACGTCAAACTCTTGTTGTGTGTGTGTGCATGTGTGTTTGTGTGTGTTTAGATTTTCACGAGAATCCTGCGACGTTTAAACCTTCCAGTTGGAGTCAGTCAGATGGTGGCTCCGAGGTATCTTACCAACTCCTACGACATCGGATACATAGTTTTATGGATCACAGCACTTCTGGTAAACACTTAGAAAAATAAAACGAAATACATCTTGCAGCACCGCTTCTTGGGTGCATGCTAATGTAAATCCGTGCAGGGTGGGCCAGGAAACCCAGCACAGAAAGAACTGACCTGCCTCTTCAGCAGCATCGCCTCCTTTTACCATCCCTCCAATCATGGTCGCTGGCAGGTGAGGTTTAATCCGTCAAACCCCTGATGGATAAAGATGATTTTTCATGCAGAGATCAACACATTTGTAACAGTGTTTTTTTTAAGTTGGATATTATGTTTGCAGTCTCGACTGTTGCGGTTGCTTCAGTGACTCCCAGCGAGTGTTGTGCGTCGTGTGCACTGGGAGCGATATGCTGCGCCATGCTGGATCCCAATGGTCCCCAAGGGTCAAAGGTTAACAGATGCTGACCTGTAAGAGTTTACCCGCAGCCTCACCGGTGCCTCCCTGCTGGCCATGTTCAGGTATTGAATGAAAGTGATCAGCAGCCTGAATGACCACTATAAACTTTTCTTTGTTGAAGGAACATTCGGGCAGTTGGAACGCCTAGTAATGAGGTACTGACACTATAACAAATTATGACAACATCAAAAGATGGCTGCATGGTGGCACAGTGGTTAGCACTGTTACCTCGCAGCACGAAGGTTGCAGGTTCGAAACTCGGCTGCGGTCTTTCTGCGTGGAGTTGCGTTTTCTCCCCATGCATGCGTGGGTTTCCGCCGGTTACTCCGGTTTCCCCCACAGATCACAAAATGCCCTACAGGTTATAAATTGTAAGTTGCTTTGGATAAAAGTGTCTGCTAAATGAATAAACATAAACATAAACATGTTGGTCATGGATTTGTTCAGCCTAGCTGTTAGCACATCAATCCTGAAAGGCATGAATGTTATTTCTTCAAACAAAGGCTGTTCAAAACACAATCTGGACAGGGTAAGATCTCAATCAGGGGCTCTATATCCTGGTCCTGGACCTGGTCCTATGCTGCTTGTTTTAGTTTTTTTTATTTTATTTTTCCTGCTCCAACAGTTGAGTCAGTGGTTGAATCACCTGTGCAGCTCATTAGGCTCTGCAGAAGCCTGTTAATCATCAGGCATCAAGTGTGATGAAGGAGGGAAACATGTAAAACATGCTGGATTACTGGCACCCCAGGACCAGGATTGAGAACCCCTGATCTAGGTGCAATTATCTAGATCTTTGATCTTTGATGCAGAAACCTAACTCACAATGCTCAAAATATTTCTCAAAGGTGACAGAAGAAACATTTACTATTTTTCAGTGACTGATTTAGTGTCACGAATCTTTGGATCAGGATTGCAGGTCACGGAGTCGTAAAAAAGCAGCAACATACCTCCAGTAGCTAAGTACGGTAGTTTATTAGTGAGTCAAAGCAAACACTTGGCCTCAGACACAAAGAGTCTCATCTGGACAAAGACGATCATTATCATGTGTGCATGTGTGTGTGTGTGTGTGTGTCTGTGTGTGTGTGTATGTGTGTGTGTGTGTTTCTGTTATCCATGCCATACTGAACATGCTGTCGCCCGCCCCCTCCTGGTGGGCTCCAGTAAAACTGGCAGCACGGATGCAGCCTATGCTCTCCAGAACCTGGCCCTCCTCACACCGGAGCTCGTCATACCGCCTGTACTCGAAAAGTAAGATTTGTGGATAATTTCTCAAACAGTTTTCTTGTGAAAGAAGATAAGAATTTGTCTACATTTCTTTAAAATCATAATATTTGCACCAAATTAAAATAAAGATACTCATAATCAGGACCTATGCAGCAATGGAGACCCTGACGGAGCCACACACCCTCACTGCCACACTCAGCTGCATGATCGGGATGGCCCGCAGCCTGGTGTCCAACAACGACCATTACCCAGAAGGACGTGTGCATGTTCTCCCACTGCTTATGGGCTCTCTCCCTGGGGTGGACCCCAATGACTTCAGCAAGTGCATGGTGACTGATGAATGTGCTGAACAGTAATGAAGAAAAATGATTAGATGTGTAGACAAGGCAGCCTTTGCTGATTGAATTCCCTTCTTGTAAACGTAGGTCTGTCCTATTAATTATTCCTGAAAGTGTAGTGAATAGCTCAGCTTGAAGAACTCGTAATTAACGCCACTGAGTGAATAGTAAAATGGATCGGTTCCCTTGTCTGCTGTGCTCCTTTTCTCCATGCTGGATTTATCATTGCATCAAAGGGAAAAAAATCATTTGTTAAATCTCACGTTATTAACGCAGGCTGTGATCATGTTAGATAATGGTAATTGATCTGTTGTGCCTCTTTGTCTAGAAAACGTTCCAGTTCATCACCACCTTCACCACTCTGGTGCCTTTAGTGGATGGTTCCTCTGCTCCTTCTCAACATACCGATCTCACTGAGGTACACGCGCAACAGACAGACTTGTCTATTTTTGGATTTTAGGAGATAAAACACAGAAGCTAAAGTAAAAACAACAAATACAATCACAAACATTTGTTCTTCACTTTGGCACATTTAGTCTAACACAGTAAAACAAAGTGTTAGATTTTTTTTGTCACTTTTGACAGACAGACAGACAAACGACAGAGAAAGAGACTGTGCCGAAAAAGTTCAACTCAAATAAATTGAGAAAAACGATTGCATTGCATCATTTAAGGTTAACTTAAATTGTTAACATTTAGAAAATTGACTTATTTGAGCTAAATGTGTTGAGTTATTATAACATGTGTAAATCAATTTTATGCATTAATTCTACTAAGTTTACATAACTTAAACCATTCTTATCTCCACTCACTCCACTCAAATCAATTTAGATCAAATCAGTTTTAGTAATTAGGTTTGATACTTTTGAGTAAGGTGAACTTCACAGAAGTCGTTAGTGCAAACTTTTCAGGGAAATACATTATTTCAACTCACTTTGTTTATTAAGGTAAGCTGTTAGGTTTTACAGTGTAGATAGATAGATAGATAGATAGATGATAGATGATAGATAGATAGATGATAGATGGATAGATGATAGATAGATAATTGTTGAAATTAAATTAGAAATGTGGTTTAATCTGTTTAACCTTAAGCTAATTTAATTAGTCAACTTCCATTTTACAGCTATCAAAATAAACACTAGGTGAAAAAGATCCCATATTGAATGTCTAGGAATCCCTCAGAGGATAAGATTGTATGAGTCAGTTTAAATATGAGTCAATTATGAATACAGTAGGAATGAAGAATATACACAGGAATGTTGATAAATAACTGAGTCACACAATCCTACTATAAGGGAGTATCAGATCTAAGAGAGCGGATCTATTCTATTCTATTTTAAAGGTGTGGCTCACTGAAAAAACATTTTAAATGATTATTCCTGACTATAATTGGTCACTCTGAGTTTTTTCATGCAGGCTGAAAATGACAAGTCTCCTGCACCTATCTCCTGCATTAGCTTCTGATAGAAAATAGAAATAAAAATAATTAAATAAATAAATAAATAATAATAATAATAGAAACTCTAGGATTAGAAAAGCCTGACAGATCTACGTCACACCGTCACTAAACATCCATTGACTCACCCATTTTCATAATGGGGAAGGCTGTTATTGGTTTAGCATCCAGAGAAAAGCACACAGTGTCTCAGTTAGTGTCAGGTTCGGTGGGCTGAGCTGGAGTGGTTATGAGACCCAGGCGCGGAGAGAATGGTGGATGGAGACTGATATGTGGCAGCGTGGGAAGTTCTCTTCCCGTATGGTTTGTAGAGTTAGTGTCTTAGGTCTTAGAATGGCTTGGCGTCTATCGTTAGATGATGACTGAGTGCCGGCTCCGCTGTGACAGGTCCTTAAATAGGCTCAGTGGGATGACGTCACCGGGAAGCGTCGGTGACAGGCATGCTGGGAACTGGAGTGCAGCGCCAGCCCGGCCCGCAGAGGAGGTTAAGAGGAGGAGTTCATGACAGGACCCCCCCCCCGCGCGAGGGACGGCTCCAGAAGGCCCAGGGCGACGAGACCAGAAATCAGCCAACAGGGAAGGATCCAGAAACGAGCAGGCAGGCTCCCAGCTACGTTCCTCCGGACCGTAACCCTGCCAGTCCACCAAATACTGCCATCCACGGCCCCGGCGGCGGGCGTCCAGAATCTTGCGGACGGTGTAGACGGGGTCCCCATCGACATCTCGGGGCGTCGGCACCCGGGCCGGAGGCGGATGGAGAGGAGAAGACACCACCGGCTTGAGCTGTGAGACGTGGAATACCGGGTGCACCTTAAGAGTGGAAGGGAGGCGCAGCCGGTAAGCGACCGGACCGAGGACATCTCGGACTGGGAAGGGCCCCAAAAAGCGAGGCGACAGCTTCCTGGAACCAGCCGGAAACCGGAGGTTTGCGGTAGAGAGCCAAACCCGGTCACCAGGCTGGAACACAGGGCCGGGCCGGTGGCGGCGGCGGCGTTGTCGGGAGTACTCCGTATTAGCCCGGGTGATGGCGGCGCGAGCCCTGATCCAAGCGAGACGGCAGCGGCGGACCATATCCTGAGCCGCCGGAACCTCCACCTCCGGCACCTGATGGTCAAAAAGAGGGGGCTGGTATCCGTAGCAGGTCTCGAAGGGCGATAGACCCGTGGCGGAGGACGTCTGGAGGTTGTGAGAGAGCTCCGCCCATAGGAGGTAACGAGGCCAGGTGGACGGTTGAGACGAGGCGAAGCAGCGTAAGTAACACCCAAGCTGCTGGTTTGCTCTCTCCGTCTGACCATTAGTCTGGGGATGATAGCCTGACGACAGACTGGCGGAAGCGCCCACCAACCGACAGAAAGCCTTCCAGAAACGTGAGATGAACTGAGGCCCTCTGTCAGACACCACGTCCTGGGGGAATCCGTGGAGCCTCACCACATGATCGAGGAGGAGCTCCGCCGTCTTCTTAGCCGTGGGGAGCCCTGCCATAGCCACTAAATGCACAGCCTTCGAAAAGCGGTCGGTGATGGTGAGGATGGTGTCCAGGTGGTCGGCAACGGGAAGCCCCGTGACAAAGTCCACACCTATGTGCGACCACGGCCTTTTAGGCACAGGGAGCGGTTGCAATTCCCCGGCTCCAGGTTGGGTGGTGGACTTAGACCGGGCGCAAGTGTCACATGCAGCGGTGTATTCACGCACGTCCTTTCTCATAGAGGGCCACCACAGGGCCCGGCGGAGGAACTGGAAGGTACGAGCCTGGCCTTGGTGTCCCGCGAGCCGTGAACTATGCCCCCACCTCAAGGCCTCCTGTCGACACACGGCCGGAACGTAAAGGCGGTTAGGAGGCGTCTCTGGGGGCGCCGGGTCCGCCGGGAGAGCCGCCCGGATGGAGGCTTCCAGGGGCCATTGCAGGGCGGCCAAGAACCGTTCGGTCGGGAGGATGGACCTCGGTTCAGGAGGCCTTGGATCCTGGGTGTGTTGACGGGACAGGGCGTCCGCCTTGAGGTTCTTTGAGCCGGGGCGGTAGGCGATGTGAAAGTTATAAGGTTCGAAAAAGAGGGCCCACCGGGCCTGACGAGGGTTGAGTTGGCGAGCGGTCTGAATATGGATGAGGTTCTGATGATCAGTCCAGATTAGAAAAGGAGTGGGGGTACCCAGGAGCCACTGTCGCCACTCCTCCAGGGCCCACTTTATCGCCAACAATTCCCGGTCCCCGACCCCATAGTTCTGCTGGGTAGGAGAGAACTTCCGGGAAAAGAATGCGCAGGGATGGAGTTTGGAGTCCTGGCCACGTTGTGACAGTACGGCTCCCGCGCCCGTCTCAGAGGCGTCCACCTCCACAACGAAAGGCCGGGTTAGGTCCGGGTGGAGGAGGATGGGCTCGCTTACAAAGCGGTGGACCAGCTCATGGAAGGCAGCAACAGCCTCCGGGGAGAGGCGGAAAGGGCGAGGCTGATTGGTTGTTTTCGTCAGGGAAGTTAATGGTGACGCCAGGGCGCTGAAGTTGCGGATAAACCGGCGGTAGAAGTTGCAGAACCCCAGGAAACTCTGCAACTGCTTCAGGGTCTTGGGTAGTGGCCACTGCACGACTGCCTGAACCTTCTGTGGGTCCATGCGCAGGCCCTGGGAGGAGATGATGAATCCCAGAAACGAGGTGGACTCCTGGTGAAAAGCACACTTCTCCAGTTTACAGAATAAGTCGTGCTCCAGGAGGCGTGACAGAACGGCTCGAACATGCTGGGTGTGTTCCTCGGCCGTGCGGGAGTAGATGAGGATGTCGTCCAAATAAACAAAAACCCAACGACCCAGCATGTCACGGAGGACATCAGTGATGAAACGCTGGAAAACGGCAGGGCTGTTGCAGAGGCCGAAGGGCATGACCAGGTACTCATAATGTCCAGTGGGTGTAATGAAAGCGGTTTTCCACTCCTCTCCTTCCTTTATGCGGATGAGGTTGTATGCACTGCGGAGGTCCAGCTTGGTAAACAGTGTGGCTTGGGCAGTGGCGTCCAGAGCCGTGCTCATTAAGGGAAGAGGATGGCGGTCCCTGATGGTGATTTTATTCAATCCACGATAGTCTATACAGGGCCGGAGGTCACCTTCCTTCTTCTTCACAAAGAAGAACCCTGCCGCCCCAGGAGACGTGGAATGTCGGATAAACCCCTTCTGGAGAGCCTCATTGATGTAAGCGTCCATCGCCTGGGTCTCTGCCGGGGAGAGCGAGAACAGCCGACCCCGAGGCGGGGTGGTTCCGGGCTGAAGCCTGATCTCCAGATCGTAGGGGCGATGAGGAGGCAGCTTGGTGGTAGGCTCCTTTGCAAAGACCCGAGCCAGATCGTGGTATTGGGGTGGAAGGAGTGTTAAATCCACGTCCTTGGGTGGTGTCTCCCTAGGCTGTGATCCTGGAAGGAGTGTTAAATCCACATCCTTGGGTGGTGTCTCCCTAGGCTGTGATCCTGGAGACGGATGATGAAGGCGACAGTTAACACCCCATTCCATGACTTTACTGGTGGACCAGGAGATGTGAGGGTCGTGGAGGCGGAACCAGGAATGACCCAGAATGAGAGGAGTCGTAGGGGCGTGAATGACCAAGAAATGAAGGGTCTCTACGTGTTCTCCGATGGTCATCCGGAGGTTCTGGGTTCGGTGCGTGATCGGATATGGCGTGAGAGGGCGCCCGTCCACTGAGGTGACGGGAACGGGATGATCGAGGAGGGTGAGTGGAATCTTGAGCCGGTTGACCAACCCCTGATCGATAAAGCTTTCTGCAGCTCCGGTGTCGAGGAGGGCCACCAGGGGGACCGGTCCTTGGCTCAGCTGGAAGGAGACCGAGAGGGTGGTGTGATGAGGAGCTGCATGAGTGGAAACTCCGAGTGAGGCAGCTCCTACACCGACCCGGAGGGACCGTTTCCCGGGCGTATGGGGCATGTTGCACGGGGATGACCCAGAGCCCCACAATAGGCGCATTGTCCCTCCTGAAAACGGCGCGCCCGTTCCTCGGGGGGCAAATGACCCAGTTGCATGGGTTCCTCCATGGGTTGGTTCTCCTGACGGCGGGGGAAAGTTCGGGATTGTACGGGAACCGCCCTCACTCCTGGTCTGGTGAGGAGGCAGCGGTCCAGCTGGAGAGCCAGGTCCACCGCCTGGTCCAGGGTGGTTGGAGCCTCGTGACCAATCATGCCCTCACGGATGCGGGGTGACAATCCCTCCAAGTACACAGCCTTCACCGCAGCATCACCCCAGGTTAGACGGGCAGCGGTGGTCCGGAAGCGTGAGGTGAATTCGGCCATGGTCTGAGAGCCTTGTCGAAGCTGGAGCAGGCGTGTCTCATCTGCGACCTCGCTGCTGGGATGAACGAATGCCTTCTTCAGTTCTTTCACGAAGGCTTCATAGTCGTTGCAGACTGGGGACTTCTGATGGTACAGAGCAGCCGCCCATTCACCGGCTCGCCCAGTCAGCAGGGAGGTTAACAGAGCCACGCGAGAGCAGGAAGTCGGGTAGCGTGCCGGCTGACACTCAAAAGTCATTGACAGAACGGCCAACATGCTCTCCGGGGATCCTTTAATCCCATCCCATTTCTCTGGGAGACTTAGATACGGCTCCACCACGTTAGGAGTGGCAGATGACTGTCGTTGGAGGGCTGAGGAGAGTTGGACTACCAGTTCGGTGACGGAATCGAGTTTGGATGCGAGGCGATCAGTAACAGCACGCAGCTGATTGTTCTCCACACGGAGTTGGGCGTTGTCCGCCTCCTGGCGTTCTACTCGGCTGAGCAGCTGCGCTACCTCAGCTCGCAGCTGTGCGATCTCCGCTGGGTCTACTCGGGACTCAGTCATCCTGTCAGGTTCGGTGGGCTGAGCTGGAGTGGTTATGAGACCCAGGCGCGGAGAGAATGGTGGATGGAGACTGATATGTGGCAGCGTGGGAAGTTCTCTTCCCGTATGGTTTGTAGAGTTAGTGTCTTAGGTCTTAGAATGGCTTGGCGTCTATCGTTAGATGATGACTGAGTGCCGGCTCCGCTGTGACAGGTCCTTAAATAGGCTCAGCGGGATGACGTCACCGGGAAGCGTCGGTGACAGGCATGCTGGGAACTGGAGTGCAGCGCCAGCCCGGCCCGCAGAGGAGGTTAAGAGGAGGAGTTCATGACAGTTAGTAGAAATTAACCATTAGCATTAGCAACTCTACCACACAGCAGCACTCTTCTAGGCTTGTGTTGTTTTTTGTGGAGATAAAACATCAGCGTTGCAGATCAAAATGAGTGGTAGTCGTGCTGCTGTTAGCCAATCAGAGGTGAGATGTCCAAACATCAGAAAATAAGACTCCAGATCCTGTTCCCCAGAGCAAAACGTTCAAGGCTGTTTACGAGAGACCACTGCAAATGTACTGATTCAACAAGTTTCCCACACCTTTAAACTTAAACGTCATCATGTTGTTTACATTTTCTTGGGTAAGATACTTTTGCTTTACGGCAGTCGTATTTGTTATATTAGCTTCATACATTTAGATTCTATCCTAAACACTTGTGTTTAACTTTGCACATTTAGATTTCTAAACGTGTTTTTACCATTAGGATTTGAAATTAAATGTGTTGTTAATTTTTATGTGCTACTTTATAATTGGTATATCGGTTTTTAGAGAGCTGTTAAATCAGAAGTTTGTTCACAGTCTGAGTTAAATTAAAACGTTTCTCTCCAGGCTTTGATTAAACTCAAGGTACATGTTCAAATAGGCACAGTAAAAAAGAATCATCCCCAAACACAACTGGCACTGAAATGTCTCACAATCTTAGCTATTTCATCTAGCAGGTACTTTATGTTCATTGATGCTGAGCTAAAGTAAAACAAAGTTATGGGGAAATCTGGGCACTAAAGCTGTATTTTTATCTACATCATCATTATTAGTCCTCTCACAGGTGGAATCCAGCCTCTTTATCTGAGCTCTTTCTATTTTCAGAGTTTTACATCACAGCTTGAAAAACAAATGCAAGAATCTTTCCTTTATCTTTTTTTAATACGGGTAATGTGACACCTCAGCTGAGGTATGGATCTTTTTTCTTTCTTATGGTTAGATGAGAAGTCTCCAGTCACTTTGGTGTTGGTTCTGTAAATATGCAGAAGTCAGCTCAATTTAGCACAAGGACTGGAAACAGCTTTATTGTCTGTGTGACCCCTAAAAACAACACAGTCTGTCATCTGGAGTCTTAAACGTCACTAATTAGCTGTTTATAATATGTTGTTTTTCTCAGTCTGTGCAAAGATCAAAGAGTGAAAATCCCATGTTGTAGCTGTTTTCGCTCATTCCTATTTTGTTCATCTAAAGGGGTATTGCAGCCATTTTTGATGAGTGTTTTGAATAAAAATTTTAAATACGATTTTATTTGAAGATAGATTCCCAATCAGCTTTTCTTTAGACAAAAAGCATTTGTGTCAAGCAGAACTGAGAAGCTAATGGATAGTATTGAAACCAAGATAAATTATGTTGCTGCCATCCTGAAAAATGTCCTATGTATTTCATAGAGGTTCCTGCAGTGCTACATAGCTTATATATTATTATATACAACACATTTAAAATAACCATAAATATCAAGTCTAAAATACATGGGAGCGGGTCTAAGGGTGTTTTTCAATGTCAAGGCGCCTGGCCTAGTCAGGCGATGTCTTGCGAGGCCAGGCGCCTTGCTCACAAGGACACTGTCCTTCCTTGGTCCAAGAAAACAGTTAAATGGACAGACACACCTCACGAGACCTCGGCTTCCACTGCGGTCATCTTACACCACTTGTGGTAACATTATATTTTATATGTATAAGTTTCAATGTAAATGTATAACAAGCCTTTTACTTTTACATTGTGTATATATTGGTTAAATTAAATATATAAGCAGGTTAGTACCTGCTAGCCACCAAAGCTGCAACTACTAACCAACCAACCAACCATAGATAACTTCTTGGATATAAAAAACATTTTAGATATCAGCCTGATAGCTACAATTAGTAGTAACCGAGAACAGACGTCTCAGTAGAACATGAACATTGGAACACACCTTGGTGGATCCTGATGATGTATCTCCCGGGCAACCAGGGCGGGACCAAAACATCAAAGCAAGGTTCCTTGACATTGAGAAACACCCTATGTTTCTGGGCGACACCATTTTCGATGCCATGTTTTTCTACGGGAGCCCATTAAGGACAAACTGCATTGGCAGATTTGTAATACATGGTTACAAAACTTTCACCATTCATTAACGTTGTTTTACACATTTACCTCTTCACTCGTTACTATGAAAGGAAGTCTGATGTGCTTGTTTAGCTGGAGATTGCGCTCCCAGGGAATTTTGACCCCAATGGCCATCATTGGTAAGGTCTTACTCCAACACAAAAATGTTGCTTGCTCGCAATGATTTAGGAATATATTGCTATCAACATCACATTAATGAAATGATTATTTATCATATTTCAGGAGAAACACACTTGAAACTGTCGAACTTAACCTTATACTAAGATTTATTCTGCATTAGAACCATACACCCACACAATTTTAGTGAGAAAAACTTTTGACTCTAAAGTAAATACTTTTTTATGTAATTCTGTCTTTTGCACTTATATGGACATGAGATCAAGACTTTATCAGAAAGTTACTTTAGAAATGCCCACAGAAAATATCAATGCATGACTCTCTGCTTATGGCTTACTTACTTACTTACTTGCTTGCTTGCTTTATTTATTTATTTATTTATTTGTTGAGCCATAACATTTCATAGAGCACACTTAGAGGAATAAATGCATAAATAATAACAAACAGAATTTCCACTTTGTGTAAAACAGTGAAAAAGAAAACAAAGCAGAAGCCAACACTCGTAGTATTAGTCCAAAAGTATAGGTTGAAGTTTTTACTTACTTTGCCTGATCTTGTTACCATTTAATTTTGATGTGGGGGGGAATGTACTTTATCTAGGAAGTGTGTGTACACAGTATCAAAGAAAATCACAAGTGAAAACATCTTTAGTCAAGCTAATAGTCTTTATTGTCTAAAGTATCAATGCGGGCGCTGTTTCTTTGCAGGGGCGTGGGGGATGAATGTGTCAGAAATGAAGGCTAAAGCTACATTTTGTACTACAAAAGGATCTGGAGTTGTTTACACAGGGAATTAATCACTACAAGTCATGCTGAACCATTCTTTGAGCTGGACCCTTAAAGCCTCTATGAAGATCAAAACCTTACAGGAAATAAACAAGACCTTTTTTACTGTCTTTTCTTTATTTCATCATTACTTAATAGCCATAGATGAGTTTAAAGGAACACTAACTGAACAAGGATTCAGCAGGTTTACCATTTGGCTCATGTACAAAAAGCACATTTAGCTAAAAGTCAAAGTGATTTTCTGTAACTCAAGCTGAAAAAAACCAAAGAGCAGATGTATTATACAAACACATTACCTCCGTTTCTCCTCCACAGATTGAAAAAGATCTGTGCTTTGCCTCAGCTGGGTTTGAAGACTTCGTTCTGCAGTTCTTGGACAGGTAGAGATAAATTAGCAAGTCAGACTGTCACTCTGTGAAGCTCTGTTGTCAGCGTCTGAATACGAATGCGTCTTGCTGTTTGAAATGCACTAGACTCTCTGCCTTGAGAGTGAAAGAGCCTTTTTTGGTTTTTTAATCATACCGTTGTTGACATTTTCATCACTGACAAGTGTTTTAAGTGTGTGTTTTGTGTGTTTGTGTGTGTCCTTGTGTGCTCGTGCAGGTGTTTTGCTCTGATAGACAGTAGTACGCTGGAACAGACGAGAGATGAGATGGAGACAGATACCCAGACTCATTTGGAGAGCCTGGTGGAGCTGGGACTGTCCTCTACTGTTAGCACAATCTTAACGCAGTGCTCCACTGAAATATACAAGGTACTGCACGAATACACACAGATACAGGCTTATCTTAGCCACAACAACCTTTCAATGTACTCGGACCTGCTCTTTATCAGCTCCTGCTGCACGCTGCAAACATTTAAAATATTGGACGTTTTGATATGAGCAATGGAGCTAGATCCACACCTGCAACACAGCATTTGTGATAACAGGTAACACGTCTCTCACATCGCTCTGGGGAAGTATGGCTCATTCTTCTTTACAGAACTGTTTTAATTAAGCAGCATTGGATGGTTTTCCACCATGAACATCCTGTTTAGGGTCAAAGGTCAGGTATTCTTCAGGATTTCCCAGAATTCCTGGTCCCATCTTTACAGAGCGATCTGTATGTATCTAATTTTTTTTGTCAGAGGCTGCATCACCTTTCACAGATGTGGAAAAAAAAGATGTTTGCACTGTTGCCAGACACTGTTTTTGACTGCAGCAAAAAAAACTACAGCGTTGTGCGGTACAGTCAGCATTTCCCCCTTTTTTCTGATTGGCTATTTTTGAGCTGGTTAGTCCCGCCCCTCATGTGCCTCTCTGCCTGTGAGTAACCAGACTAGTTTGTGCAGGATTAAACAGGCCAGGTTAACAGAGTAATCCATGGCTAGGTATTTTGACTGTGTTGACTATCGCATTACCAATGAGCAACAACTGAAGGTATGTTTGTGTCTTTTAGTCAGAAACCAAGTTCCTAAAGGAAAACACTGCTGTCCATATCAGTTCAGTTTGTTTAGAAAGCACCAATTCACAACACAAGTCTTATCAAGGCACGTTACAAAGTAAGCATTCCAACTGAACTTACCTACCTATCAGTGCATCAAGTTCAAGTTATTATGCCGATTAGTTAAATACTTTAATCTAAGGAAATGCATCAGATTGCTTCGAGTCACTGACTTGTTGTGTGAGAAAAGATAAAGTTAACAGCTGAAATAACAGGAAATAATGCATTTGGAGAGTAGTGGTTGAAGAAAGCAGCAGAGTGTGGAAAGTGGTCAGTATGTCCTCCAGCAGTCTAAGCCTATAGCAGCATAACTACAGACAAAACTCAGGATAACCTAGCCTCTTAGAAGGAGGAAGATGATCTGACCTATAAGTAAAGCAGTTAGGTGTAAATACGTACTTGTGCTCCACGAGATGTATCATTATTGCATTATCAATATTGCAGAGGACTGTGTGGACTTCAATGTTTCAGCCTTCAGCCACACATTTAATTTAGATGATTGTAAACTACAATTTTGATAATACTACTGGGATTGCTGAGGAGAGAGAAGTCTGGGCCTCTACGCTTAGGCTGCTGCCCCGTGACCCAACTCTGGATAAACAGTTAAAATGGATGGATGGATGGATGGATGGATGGATGTTGAGGACTGTTAAGGTGTTATTTATGAATCAGAAATGTGGACATTGAATGTATCTGTATGAAATTTAAATCTTGATTAGCATTTATTTGTAGTAAACATCATCTAATCTTTAAACGTTTGCTCTTGCATCAGGTTGCGTTGCAGAAGTTGTATAAATTTGCAACATCTAGGATCTTTGAGACGTGTGTGTCGGGCAGAATGGTGGCTGACATGTGCAGAGCCGCAGTAAAGGTACTGTGGTCTTTATCAAATTTTCTTTGTAAAAATGCAATTGTGGCTTTAGTTCAAAATCTTGTCACATATTTATTAACAATAGTTACATAAAAACTCTACTGAGGTATTACAACATTACAGATTTTTTTATGAAGCTTAGATACATTTACTTAAATCACTCCTCTCATTTCCTGCATGCTCTTGTTTTTCCTTGAGCATCTAATGTGTGTGTGTGTGCGCGTGCGCGCGTGAATGTGCATGTGTGTATTTGCAGTGTCATCCTGCTGAGTCTCTCCGTCTGTTCGTCCCTCACTGCTGCAGCATCATCTCCCATAGAACTAAGTCAGTACCACACTACACACATGTAGAGCAGTTGTGTAGGAACATGAATACATAAGCCGTGTAGAGACAAGATGCTCACATGATGCTCGAGGCTCCTATGAATAGGATCATTCAACTGTTTATTCAGTGAGGAATGAAATCTGCAGAACAAGCATTCAATTTATAGGTTGCAGTAATTCTTTCCATGTATTCATATCAGCCTTCTAGATGCTAGTTAGATAAAATTATTTAAAATAACACTTAAATAATATTCAGATCTTAATGATCAGCCAGTACATTAAAGCTATTGGTAAATATTAATTTAAGGCACAAGAACAGCTCAGAACTGTCAGGGAGGACAGACAGAACCTCGTGGCTGGTGCAGGTCCTGACCTGGACCTGAACACCAGCAGCAGAATCATTTCTTCTGTGTTGTGGTTTTCTGGTATCTGTTTACCTTTTGGAGCAGCAAACAGATGTTTTATCAGGTTGGGATTCAGGGAGCTTTGTTTTCATGGCAACACTTGATCCATTCTTGTTGTGTGTTTGTTACTCGTGCAACTCCTGGGCATTTTTCCAACATCTTGTTAGTTGTATAATTGCACATGCAAAAAAGAACATGTTATTGAGTGATGCATTGAGTACTGTCCAAACCTCTACATAGGAGAAAGTAGATAGATAGAGGAGGAGGCCTCAGGTTTCACCTTTCTAGCACCTATAAAGCAGCTCTGAACAGATCTCTAAAACAGTTTCAGTCTAGGTCACGCCCTCCTGCATTTAACCAATGCAACAATTTCCACACAGTGGAGGCTAACCACTCCAACGACTCCTCGGGGCATAGGAAGGAGGGGTGCTCATAAAAGTTTCTGCTCAATAAGCACCAATAGGAGGATCTTTGTTGACATGTGTGTTCATCTTTGTGTGCATGCGCGAGCAGCTGTCAAACGTATAGCTATCAATACGCGACATACACTTTCAAGGTTTGCAGGTGAAATCCCTGACATACTTCTGAAGACAGAAGGATGTTTAGAGAGAAGCATAAAATCTGCATTGAAGACAAAATTTAAATGATTAAAAGCCTGTATGAGCTCTTGGATGATGGAAAACGTTGGTCTGATTTGCCAGTGTTTCTTCCACAAATCTGCCGGGGAGACATTTATTCCTGTTTAACAGAAAGCTCAGGTCCCTTCACTCATGAAAATGAAGGCTTTCAAAACTCTGGAAGCCTGCAATTATTTTATTTCAAGGAAAGTTGGACCGATGTCTTCTGCAAAACAGAAAGCCGTGATCGTGCTAACAGCAGGAGTCAAACCCAACGAGCAGAACCACAGCATCAGTCTCATCACCTGTGGGTGATGGCCAAAGAAACCTGATAAATCCTCACTGCTAATGCAAAACCGGGCAAGTCTTCATGAATCAGTGTCCTTATTTATTTCTTTATGTATTATTATAATGATCTCGGGTGGCAACGCCAGAATCAACACGAAAAACAACAAAACTCCATGGATTTAAAAATACCTGGAGATGAATGTTTTTAAAAACATCTTCTCTAATTAAATACTTGGTTACAAGGGCTTACCATGAACTAAATGAGCATCACAAACTGTCCGTTACTGTAGCAATCCAGGATTTGTTTGGATAGTACGGGTCACCCGCAATCATCTCTTTCGTAATTCGCAGTTCTTTATGGACACTTGTCTAAAACTTTTAATCAAGTCTCCCACAGGCCGAACAATCAACCACACAGCAAGAATGGTCCATCTGTTTCTCTTAATCTTCCTCCAAACATGCAAAACTATTGAATTATAGACAAAATGCACTGTTTCTTGCCACACAATCCCGTGATGAAATGCAAGAAGCAAATAGTGACGTCACACAAGATCCTCCAATAGACAGCCACCACTTGTAAGCTTGACTCTCCCATATTCCAGTCAGAATTGACAAAGCTCCTTGGATGAAAAGCAAAATGTCTTCAAAAGAAACCAAAGAAGTCCAGTTACCTTTACTCCAACCGCTTTGGATTACCATGACCGGGATGACTGAGATCCTTCAACATCATGTCTCATCTCAGTCATAATAAAATCATTCAGCAAAACTAAGTCTGAAACAGCAACTAAACATAGTTATCACTCTATTTTCTGCTATGAAAACTGTATACACTTTCAATACTTAGCAGCTTCATTTGCCATCAGTGTTAGATCTCTTGGGTAATTAGTTGACAAGATTTCTTTCCATAGATGTATTTTTCCCACTTTGACTTGACTTTGTATAAGTTTAACTTAACTTGATGTGTTGAAATTAGATTTTTAAATACTAAAATCTTGAAACTTAAAGAGAAAATGTGTAGATTTTAAAATTATTCTCTGGAAATATCCATCGAAATGAAAATATTGGCGGCTTCGTAAAATGTAACCATAAAGATTGGGTCTAAAATACATGGGAGCGGGTTTAAGTCTCTGGGAGACGCCATATTAGACACCATGTTTCTTTCTACGGGAGCCCGTGAGGACAAAAAACATTTACCTTTCCGCTTGTTGCCAGTGATGAAAGGGAGTCTGACGTGCTGGTTATTCTGCTGAAGGTTGCGCTCCCAGTGATTTTTGGCCCTAACCCCGGGTTTCCACGGGAGCCGTCAGCAGCACGTTACTGCAGCAGCACGTCTTGCTCGCGTAAGCTGCTGCTTGGCCCTTCCCACGAGACGCAAAGCAGCAGGGGAGCAGCTGTCACCGACCGAGCACGAAGTCACACGAGTGACTTCGTCAGTAAACACAACAATAAGCAGGAGAATCTTACAACATGGTTTGTGTTTTATGTTCTGTCCATTTTATAATCGCCAATACGGACCTGAAAAACAAATGAGACCGCTAGCTAGGTGATAACTTCTCACGGGGACGCACAGTTAGTAACCTTTTTTAAAAGTAAAGCGACCGGAAGGCAGTACGTTCTTTATTCTGAAAATCTCGGTAGCTTCTCTCCATTTCCGTGTCCGATTTCCTGTCTTTCCTTCCCCAAAAATGTCGAACTTGACCCGTTTCAGAGGCGTCGCGCGTAGAAAATAGAACCGGCACGTAAAGGCCACGACATGCTGCTCCTGAGACGCGGCCGACTCGCGCTGCTGACAGCTCCAGTGGAAAAGGTTCTGTTGATCACAGCGGTTCCTATCAGCAGCTATGACGTGCTGCTGCAGTAACGTGCTGCTGACGGCTGCTGTGGAAAGCCGGGGTAATACGTCATGGGTTGGTCAGGGATAAACTCCAACACAAAAATACCATATGTGTGTACTGCTCCATGTTGCCAGAGAAAATACACACCATCACTTTAATTTAGGTGCTTTGCTTATCAAAACATTTACATGTAGCTGTGTTTAAAAATGAAAACTAAGTTTGTGAGAACAAAAAATATGCATTTTAAAATTCCTATACCAATACCTTGGATGCAAATTTTCTCTCAGTAACCAAACAAACAAGTAACGGTGCCAGCATTAAGTAGTTAGTATCAACACGGTCAGTTATAGAAGGATTTAAATGTCTAAAAGTAATTTCTGATCAACACATGACTTAAAAGCTCATGAATGTGTCACACATATAACCTCCATAGAAATGTGACCCAGTGTTATTTTTTAAGAAGCTCTGGGAAACAATGCAGGTCCTAACTCAGCTACTTTTTTAGTGTATGATGAGCATTTGTGTCCACGTAGATGAGGAGTTGCAGAACGAAGACGAGCTGGACAAAGAGCTGTTGTGGAACCTCCAGCTGCTCTCTGAGGTGAGAAGACAAACAATCAAACCCCAAAGCTTCAGTTTAGATGTGGTCTCTTACTTTTGTCTGCTTCATATCTTAAAATAGGATTTTCTTTTTTCAAATTGCCCAAAACATCTGTTTGGCAACATTTTCCAATTACTGTAGCCGCCTGTTTTTATAAGAGTCAATGAAAATGTGAAGCATTGCAAGAGAAAAGGAAAAAAAGAAGATATTTTTGCTGTGTGCGCCCTTCAAGGTCGTAAATGTGAGAGAGGTGCGTCGTTAACCAGAACATATTGACACTCTTTCACTTTTGTTTTATTGCTCTGGGGAGTAAAACACGAGGTGGGCCGAGCCAGACGCTGTGATTTACCCGAGAGCCTCAATATTTAAGACTCAACTCTCAGATGAATTGCATGTTCCCACACATGTATACATATGCATGTGCGTGTGTGTGTGTGTGTGTGTGTGTGTGTGTGTGTGTGTGTGTGTGTGTGTGTGTGTGTGTGTGTGTGTGTGCGTGCCTGTGTGTTATTCTAGGTAACCCGTGTGGATGGTGAACAGCTGCTGAAATACCAAAGGGAGCTGGAGCAGATCCTCTGTGTGTGTGTGCGCCTGCGCTGTAGACAGGCATACACACTTGCCTGCAGTCTGTTGGAGCACACACTCCAATCACTGTCTCTCATCTATCCCACTGAGTACTGCAGCACCGCAGGAGGTTTTGATATGGACCTTCCTATTCGGGTATAAACATAAACACACACTGCTGCAGCCATAAGAAAATCCATCAGAAAACACAACATATTGTTTTGTAAAATAACTTGCATGAACTCACCATAGTTTAGAATCTCGGTGCACTTATCTGTGTGAACTGAGAAAGCTCTGAGCCTGACTGAGAACTTCCCCCGGTCCATCTCACTTGTTCCTGTTGGGGGTCACTGGTGCCTATCTCTAATCCTTATTGGTGGAGAGGTGGAGTGCATCCTGCATGTCAAAAAATTATTTACACCTAAATTATAAATGATAACTAAAAGAGATTTAAAAATAAATAGTGAAATTATATCAATGCCATGCCCATTTCTGCTCTATTTAAAGCAGCTGAAAAGTCATCATGTGAACTCCTGTTCGCCCTCTTCATCCTCACTAGCTGGTGTTTCTATAAAATCTGTCTTTTGCGGGACCCTGTGACAACCTTTTCTGTTTAAATTGTATTCACATTTTAAAAATAAAAATATTCCTTTTTCTTCCCATTTTTTATTACAATCTTTTTTAGTCTTTTTAATTTGCATTGTTCTTGTGAAGCACTCTTGATATCCTTGGTTTAAAAATGAAGAGAACTTTTATTTTAGCTTTTGTGAGCAGTACAGGGTCAGCTGCTCATAGATTTCTCCATATCTGGTTTTGTTCACAGCTCAATGCCTTCTGAGCTAAAGGCTGTGTTTTTGTAGCCAGGTAAAAAAAAAATATGGAATGTGACCTACAGATGCCCCCCCCCCACCCACCCCCCCCCACCTATTAGTAGGATTGGTATGATCCTGCAAAGGCATGGCTGTTGTAAAGGGAGGTGACAACTAACATGAGGACAAAGCTGCATCAGCTGCAATAAAACAAGCATGGAAGAAGAAAAGCTCAGTTTCATTTGCTTAAATTCTGTTCTGGTGTATTTATGTTTTTAATCTTATTTTTAGAACTTGTTAATTTTTAAGTTTTTGTCAACGAATTGGTCTCATGCTAGTTTTCCTCCCAGATCAGGTTGGAGCTTTATTTGTGTTGCTCCTATCCCGTACATGTGGTTTAAGTATTTAAACCGGTAGAGGACACAGGTTTGTGGTTTTGAGGTTGACTGGTTGGGCTGGATTTCCTGCCAGTTTTTCCAGTGGAAATAAAAGCAGCAACCGCTCTTCAGCTTTTCTGGGTTTCCTCCTGCAGGACTGGGGCAGAGCCGGAGATGTGGCGGCTTTGGGCGTATGTTGGCACGTGCCGAGCCAGGAGGAGGAGAACTTTGTTTTCCAGCTCTTGTCCAGCCTCCTGCATCCCGAGCTGCGGAGAATCCAACACCACGTCTCTGGAGATCAGCCAGTGACCAGGTGTGCAGTCGTTTGTCTCAGTTTTCCGGAGACCTAATCAGGCGCACACACAAGCAAAACAAACAAAACCACGGTCATCCATTACTGGTGAATGAGACGTGTCTGCACCAAAAATGTCCCTAATCTGTTTGACTGTAGCAGTCCAACGTGTTGAAAAGCTAATTTAGCCTTGCCAAGTGGGCTCATAACATACACAAACACATTCTGCAGAGGAAGACGTCATATGTGGTGTTTTTAACATTTGGTTCACAGGGAGGAGTTGTGGCAGAGTCTTGCCATTGTGCAGCACTGCCTTCTCGGAGCTGGAAGCATGCTGCCCCCTCTGGATGGAGAGCACGTACCTGATCTGTGAGCCTGCAGCTGCTAAAGCTTGTATGGAAACAAACATTTTAATGCAGGCTTGTCATATTTCACCTCCTTTACCTTTTCTCAGGGTGCCCTCTTTGGTGAATCTGAGGGAGATTGAGCTGCATGCCGGTGTTGAGTTTGGTAAACATACAGCCCACATACACAAAGCATCGTCCGTTTCAGTGGGTGATAAAGCAGCTCAATCCTGTATTCTGTGTCCACACGGGACGTCAGTGTGTCTCCTCCCCTCCAGATGATTCACGGGAGAACTACAGTGAGTCCATCTGCCAAACCATGAGGCTGCTGCTTCATGAGTGGAGATTTTTAACACAAATCACGTTCCAACTCTTACATTTATCAGTTTGAAATGTTTAACGTACAGTTTATCCACCTCCAATTATTCTAATCCAGATTACATCTTGGAGCAGTCAGAGGATGATACCAAGTCACTTTTTGTCATCATTAAGGTGCCGATCCCTTCTTAAACTGCTGCATCTAATATTTTAGGCTGCAGAAGGTCTCACAGTGCCCTTCTGTTTGTGTGCCTGCAGATTATCAGTGGCCTCATGTTTTTCCGTGGCACTCACAAGAAAGAGTTTGAGTCACGCTGGAAAAGCTTCACTCTTGTCAAGACGTCCATGGAAAACCCGGTGAGCTGGGAACGTTGGGGTGAGGCTGCTTACTGCTGTCAGCTCCAATAAGTGACTTATGGGATGATTTAAAGCTTTCATCCTCTTTTTGTATTTTTTGCAGCTTCATGGGGAAAAGCAGCACATCAGAGCACTGCTTGTTGACCGTGTTTTGCTCCAGCATGAGGTTTGTCTCATGGCACACAGCCATTATACCAGGTCACTGAGCATCACACGTGACATAAAATAGACCCTTTGAATTTGGGGAAAATTGCATTTTTGTGTGTGCAGATGAGAAATCTGGTGGTTGAAGGAACTGAATACAAAGTGGTTCATCAGGAGTTGCTGTGTGATCTGCTACTGCTTTCTACCAGCACGTACAGCCAGGTAAAAAAAAAATAAAAATCGGGGCCTCATCTGATTCCCACTTTCACATAAAAGCTGTGAGGAAATGGAAGCCAACTGAGGAACCCTATGCAGTCATCTGTGATTGTGTTCCTGCAGGTGCGTAGCAGGGCGCAGAGTGTCCTGATGACAGCGATGGGAACCTACGGCTTCTGTTACAGAGACATGGTCCCCCGCATTGTACAGATACTGTCCCCACTGAGCACCACGGACACACAGCAGCAGTTCAAGGTGCACGCACGCACGCACACACACACACACACACACACACACACACACACACACACACACACACACACACACAAGCACAAACATACACATGCGCGCACACACACACGCATGCATAAACACACACGCACACACATACACAGTTCCTCAAACCCAGTATGTATCTATTCCAGGGGTGTTCACACTTACAGTAAAATATATTTTTGGGGGATGTCTCTTATCCGATGGCTCCATCTGATGGCTGAGAAGCAAATCACACAAATAGTCATTCTATTCGTTTATTTTAGATGGTAACTTTTGTTGTTTCTTGTTTATGAATGTGCGTCTGTAGCCGACAGAGTTAAAACATGTTCTTTTACATGTCATGTTGTTTTCATATATTTATATTTGAAAAATATACATGTCCATGAAAAGTTCATCAACTCTGCATCAGCCGAAGTACTCTTTAAATTTGAAGCAAGTAAGCGGTAGTCTAACGCTATTGGTTAGTTCTGGTCGGCGCTCAGTTTCCTATTGCACGGAGCTCTGCGGGGCAGGGGGCATGCTTAGCAAAAATAAATAAAACGATGTATTGCTTACATTATATCACAGTACATAATGAGACAATCACTTTTACGGTTTTCTGAAAAATCATACATAATTTCTGAAAGGGGAAAAGTCCAGAAAGCTACTTAAAGACAAATACCAAAATCATACAGTTAAAAGCCCTTGTGGACCAAAAAATATATTTATATTTTTTCATTTAGATAAAATATTCAGTCTGTTCAACTCAGTTGCATTTTTTAATAGACTGATTTGCTAAAACATGCAGCCTAACAGACGTAATGTGAAATAGATTTCTGGCTACAGCTGCTTCCGCTGAGTGAAGCTTCTCAACCCAAGGCTCGTCTATAGCACGAGAACACCTGAGCAGCCTGGCTATCATCAGCTCAGCTCAGAAGTGACACAGCATCAGATGACCTCATAGATGACTTTGCTTTAAGAAAAAGCAGATGTAATATATATATATATATATATATATATATATATATATATATATATATATATATATATATATATATATATATATATATATATATATATATATATATATATATAGTTCTTTCCATATGCAAAATACAAGAGCCTTGATGCACTCTTGGTACATTCTCATCTGTTTTTAGTACTTGATTTGCTTACCCTGAACTCATGACCATTTTCTGTGTTCTGGTTGAACTCTCCATGGTACTGAACGTCAAACAACCTCGGTACTTCATCCTTTCATAATACTTTGAGCCCTTCTGCACATATTTGAACTATTTACAGCTTGGTATTTAGACAAGGGGTCCTTCTATCTCCTCTGTTTTGTTGTTCATTGTTTGTTAACTAAATATCTTTGAGGCAGGCTACAAACAAGAACATAAAAGTATCGACACCCAAGGAAAAGGATCTTAGTAAAATTAGGATTGTAACATCAGACAAGATATTTTTAATTTCACATTTCTGCTAAAAATGCTTGTGATATCCTAAAAGTGCACAAAGAGAATAAGATCTCAGTTACCATATTACCACTTGTGAGCCATTATAATCCACTTGTGCAGACAAAACTGCAGCTAAACATCTGTTCACAGAGCTGAAAAACAAAAAGGCTTATTCAGGAGTTTGAGACTGAGTTGCAACTTACAGTATTAACAGTTTATGTCAAGAAAAAAGCCATTAGGCTGAGACGAGCCTTATGCTGCACAGTTTAGAGATGGGTAAATGAGCAAACTGTATAACATGATGGTGAATGTCTCTGTGCAACTTTTAGATTTTTACAGGAGTGTAGAAAAGTGTTTTTATTATTCAGATCCATTTTAAAAGATAATAAATGAAGGAGGGACTATTTGTGCTCCACAGGGTGCCCTTTACTGCATTCTGGGGACACACAATGGGTTTTGTCCAGCCATCACTAGAGACTGGGACTGCATCGGAGAAGTGTGGTCGGCTCTGGTCCGCTGTGGCTTGTCCCACTCCATGATCCTGGAGAAACCGTCCATCGGTCAACTGTTTGATGACATCATTGAAAGGATTCACCGTCAATATGACACCATAGGCTTCATTGTGAGCCACACATCTTTGTAAAAAATGGAAACCATCCTTCACCTGATATCTCATTGTGGTAACTTTTGCCTCCTTTCATCCTCTATGTGTCTGAGAGATGTGCTGAGACAGCCAGTCAAATTGCACAATCTTCTTCTTTAGAGTTGTCATCCAAAGAGGAGATGAAGGAGGGAATTCAGCGTCAGCGGATCAGAAACGTTGTTGCTGCAAGGTGGGAAGCCAAACAAGTTTCCAGTGTGGGGACTAATTTGTTCACAGATCAAATGCTGAGTTCATCATTTGGACCATTGGAGTCCTGATTCTTTCTTGCTTCCATAACTTTTTTGGACCTGTCATGGATTTTATCAATATGTTTACCAATAAACCCATTTCCTGCAGCTAGAGAGAGAGACAAGAATCAATGAGGCAGACATGCAACCAAATCATGATTTAGTGGCAAGTGTGCAGGGCAAATGCCCTGAACAGCTGGTCATGTAGTTTATTTAAGCAAATAAACTTGGGAGTGGATCATGTGAGAGTGTGTGTGTATGTGTGGGAGGACAAGTGTGTGTGTGTGTGTGTGTGTGTGTGTGTGTGTGTGTGTGTGTGTGTGTGTGTGTGTGTGTGTGTGTGTGTGTGTGTGTGTGTGTGTGTGTGTGTGTGTGTGTGTGTGTGCGTGTGTGTGTGTGTGTGAATGCTTTCAGGACATTCAGTTAATAGATCTGTTAATAGGACTAATGTAATGAAATACAACATTTCCATAACAGGATCTCTTTGTCTGCAATTTTTTGCAGTTAGTTCAGCAAATTAAATATGAAAATGTTAATTTTGGTTAATTTCCACTTTTCCTTTTGTTCGATCAGTTTGTAACATTTCAAACACACATTTTTAAGCTTTTCATGATTATGATTTTTTCTTTTTTCTTTCATTTTACAGAAAATATGAGAAGCTGGTCAATGACCTGCTGGACTGCCTTGAAGACAAAGACTTGTATGCTGTTTTCCAAGAGAATAACTTCTTGGTTATGCAGTAGATATTTGACTGCAGTCATGTACACAGAGTATCAGGAACATGTGCAGGTTTCAAAGCTCTGATCGGACTTTATTGTTCTTTCAGGCCCAACTTCAAATGTTTTTGGCAGCATCCTTTAGTTAGTTATGACATGACTGTATTAACAACAACAACATAATGTATTTTACTTAAAGCACCTTTCTAATCAACAATTTGATTTCTAATGTTCTAAACAACAATAAAAGAGCAGTCAAATTAAAACCATGATAAACAAATTACAGTTATAAGGACTAGGCTATCTTGAACAGGTGAGTTTTGAGTTTAGCCTTTAGGTGGTGAAGGGTAGTGGTGTTCCTGAGTTCAGCTAGTAGTGAATTTCACAAGGAGGGGGCAGATCTGCTTAATGCTCAACTTCCCATGTTGACAAGATGAGCAGAGGGATTGTGCAGATTGATGGAAGCTGAGGATCTGAGCAAGCAGGAGAGTGTAGAAACTTGTATGCGATGCGAGAGATGTGAGGGGGCAAGGTTGTGAATGGCCTAATGTGAGGAGTACAATTTAGTAATCAACCCAGAATTTCATTGGTAGACAATGAAGCTTCTCCGTAGTAGCCTTCTCTGAGGAAGGCTACAGCATTAGCCAAAACAAGGTACAACAACTCTCTTGCTGTGTTGGGAAAAGAACCAAGAGATGCAGTTAGCCAATGAAGCCACGGGATAACGGGGGTGATGTGCCTAGAAGAGGGTGTTTTTGTGATGATACGAGAAGAAGCGATTTGGACCAGTGGAGTTCATGCAGATACCTCTGTGGATGACCAAAAAAGGAGGGAGTTACAATAATCTAGGTGAGAAGGGACTTCTATTTGTTTATCTGTTTGTGTGTTAGGCCCTGGAAATTTGATCACATGGCCACAGATTTGTTGGCTCTTCTCCTGAGAGACGATCACCCTCTTCCTCCTGATGCCGTCCTCTACTTCACACAGAGCATTGTTCACGACTCCATCACCATCCGAAAGGTTTGCCTCTTATCAATTTTGTGTCTTGATGCTGTGTGTTTATAAGGTTTTTGAAGGAAAACAATTAAAAAATATATACTTTCACCATTTGGTAATAAAAAATACAACTGTGCAAAGACCTAGTTTGGACGTTCTATAGACTGGACAGACAGACTCGATGTAGACATGATCTGCACGTCCATGCAACGTTGACTGTTTGCAGGGAGGGAGACAAATCATGATTTGGTGTATTTTATTTAGATGTGAGATTTCAACTAAAACTACTTAATTTTTAACCCCGTATCTTAAAAGAGATTCAGAACCTGCTTCCACTCACAGGATTTTATACTAACAATTGTATTTTAAATAGGAAATCATAGTTAACAAAAAATACATTATATTTTTATCTGAAAAATTTGTCATGTAAAAGAAACCCTTGAATAAAAAAGGTTGAGCAATTATCTGTAGTTTTTAAAGGACAGTGTAAGTCAAAGTGGCTAAAGGAAGTTTTACCTGTTTAAAAATGTTCTTTTGTATAAAAGTTACGATCAGACGTTATTTTCGGAGCATTTTCCCACATCGACTTGATGAACGTGCTGTACACAACAACATATAGCTACAACGAAATCAAAAAATCAGTTCATTATAATGAAAGACAATGACAAATGAAAAGTACACAAGTGCTCTTTACTCCAAACCTTGTAAAAATAAAAACAAACAACCACACACACAAACACAAGAACAGACTAAAAGGATTTAACTGTTGCACATATCTGGCCATCAAACGTTAATGCTGCATCAAACTGAACCCAGATTAGTCAACTTTTCCTTCACATGAGGAGCTAAGACTTCTGAAAGTATTGCATACCTACTATCTGGCTTCTTATGGGTTACTGGAGAGATTTGTTTCAAGAAAAGCTCAATCAACTACATTTTATTACTGATCATGTGTCCTTAGTTTATTAACCTGTATACCACATCAGTCACCCTCAAATGGAGCATGGCCATGCTTGGACTAGAAATTAGCCAATCAGTCCTGTTCTGTGTACAATTGCCTTTCATGAAAGTTTGCATTAAGTCAAATAATATGTATTACTTTACACAAAAACACACTCAAAAACAAACTTTTAGCCTCCTAACAGCTGCTGCTGATGCTTCTATCATCCAGTCACCTTTTGCAGAAATCACTGACATCAGCATCCTGTCAGAGGCACAGCAGATGGCTGAATCAAGCCAGACAGAAACATCACACAACACAGGAAACACACTTCAAACAATAACCCACTCTAGTTCTGATGCCTGAGACCTCTGCTTTTATAAGCAGACAGGGAAATGTACTCTTTATCCTGGGCTGTAGCTTGTTAAACAAGAAACTAAATGACAAATCTGCTCTGTAAGTGGGAAGATGAGAAGGCTTAGAGTAGATAATTAATTGCTTTGCTGCATCACAACAAACAGAAAACAACAAATGTCAGCTGAGTCCAGCGAGTGTTGCTCCTCTCCTGCTTAGCTAACAGGCTGTCAGGATGAGACGTGCGGTTTTAGAACAAGTCAGTTTCTGTTTCCCACAATTTTCTACAGAATAACATCAGGATCAAGCTGCTGTTAGACTAGACCTGAACTGGAGGGTGTGTCATTTTAACTGAAAGATATTGTTTTCTGATTTAATGATGATAAGGTTAACAATTTATCTAAAATGATAAACCCTTAACAGATAAGAGGCATTACTAAAATATAAAGTAAAATTTTCCAAGAAAAATAAGTAAAAGTCACTGTTTTTGGACTAAGAAGAAAAGGTTAACAAGGTGTCATTATTGTTGCTCCATTGCAAGTTCATGTTCAGATTACAGGTGAAACTCCAAAAACTAGAATACTGTGCAAAAGTGGATTTATTCCAGCTGACTGTAAAAGGTGAAACTAATGTATGAGATATATGCATTATATGCCAAGCAGGATATTTCAAGACTTTAATTGTTAGGGTTTGGTGATATGATAATAGTTGTTTATTTTTAATCAAAATTAAATTTAGAGTGCTAATTAGCTTTATTATGGTCCATTTTGTGCAGTAGTTGTTCTGCAAGTGCATTACAAACTTGGTCACATGTTTACATATTTGTTTATATTGTGCAGTTTCACTGAGAAAAATCTCTTTAACTTGCATACCAACTTTCATTGGTTCACCTTACGTGATGTGCCTCTTTTATATTTGTTGTCATATTTCTCTATTTTTGAGTTGTCAGCTTGGGTTTATAGTGACCTGTGCTGTTGAGGGACACATGAATGTGTCATTTGTTTAGTTATTTTGAACTCATGTGCATCCATCTGATCATCTTATAAATTGGAGCAGTATGCAAAACCGATCACGAGTGATTTTTCTCCATGTTAGGTTGCAATCTCAGCAGTGGCCGGAATCCTGAAACAGCTGAAATGGCCGAGAAAGAAAGTAGCTATGAAGCCGTCGGAAATTGTCACGCTGAACATAATTCCTGATCATCGATTTGTACATTCTTCACATTTTTTATGGTAAACGTAGGATTTTTTGGGGTGTCTCTTATTTGAACAAAGTAATAATGCAGACAGAGACTAACCCTGAGCTTATTCACCACTTTGCAAACTGCAGGGCCAGAGAACATTCACTGCTTTTTGTCGAGTTGAAATTAGAAAATCTTTCAAAAATCAGTAGCTTTTCAGAAACCTTCTACTCCAAACACACTGATCTATAAATTAAAGTAGTATTTTCTTTTTGCATCTTAGGTGGGATCCAGGATCCAGAAGGAATTTGTGTTGGGGATCGTGAAGGTAATCACTGGCTGCAGTACGAGAGCCCCAACCTCCCTCTGAGCCAGGAGCTGTGGGACTCTCTACACTATGTGGAGAAAACTCACTGGGGCTACTACTCATGGCCGAGGTGAAGACCAGAAGACATTGCTGAAAGGGGGTGGATTAGGCAACTCAAAGACTGATTAACTGCTTGGTTGGAAAGGAACTAAATAGCTGATTGACTCAAGTGCCTGTTTGATTTGAGGCTTGTCTTTGCGGCGTTACAGCCACGTTTATGTCTGACTGACTAATCTGGGTTTCTGGATAACCAGTGCTGGTTTGAACTGACTTCCTGTCATGGTCCAGCCCAGATAAGGCTGAATGAATGGCTTGCTGCCTGCCCTAAATTGAAGAATTGATGTATAGGCAGAGGGTTGGCTGTCGCGGTATGCTGAGTAACTGACTTTATAATCAACCATTTATCCTCACTGCTTATTTGAAGACAGTGTGTGTCTATCTAGATTTTTTTCTTTGTGTTGTTATCTATAAATCACAGCAGCCTCTTCTTTGTCTCTCGCTCCTTTCAGAGAAATGATGATCTATGCAGCTTCTGAAAAGCCACAGGATGACCTGCCATATGAGGAGATGAGTGAGGTGGGCGCAGCAAACACAAAACCTCTCAGCCTTGCTTCATTACTGGAGTTACAAACTTGTACTTGTGTCAAGCAGGGTGAAAAGATCATCTTTGAATACTTCTCTGACCCAGACTTCGTTGAGCAGCTGATGGAGTTTCTGTCTTTGGAGGAGAGAAAAGGAAAGGACAGCTTCAACCCTCGTCGCTTTTGTCTCTTCAAGGTGTGGTTCTAACTCTCCACCAATGGTGATCTGGCAGAGATGACACAGTACGCTGACTTTAAAAAGTTGCAATTACTGTCTACATCCTCTGTGATTTACTTTCATCCACCAGGCAGCAGTTTACTTGAGTGAACCAAAGTGCTGTAATCTGCCTTTTTTCTTCATAAAGAAACTGCATTGTACTTCCTGGTTGATTAAACCTGTGCACTTGATTGACGGGCTGTTTCGTAACTATGGTGACAGGTTCTTACCAATTCTGTGGCCTCATCTGGACCAGCTGGCAAGTGACCCCTATGAGAGCTCACAGCGCTGTGTGTGTGAGATTACTGCAGGACTGATCCGAGGCAGCAAACACTGGAGTTTCAGCAAGGTTCCTGACACACACACACACACACACACACACACACACACACACACACACACACACACACACACACACACACACACACACACACACACACACACACACACACACACACACACACACACAAGCACACAAACCCACACTTACTTCCTCCCTTTTTGATAAGAAAAGTCAATATCAATGAAAAGTTTCATTACTGTGTGTGTGCGTGTTTGCTCAGGTGGACAGGTTATGGCAGCTTCTGTGCCCTCTGATCAGGACAGCATTGAACAACATCACCGTGGAAACCTACACGGACTGGGGCACCTGCATCGCTACAGCTTGTGTGAGTTAGTCCAGTGGTTATTTCACTGTCAGTGTAAAATTATAAGTGCACTCAAGGTGGGAAATATGTTAGAAATGTTGTTTCTTTAAGTGTCCTTAAAGTTAGGACAAATGGCTAGGACGAGGTGTCTCCTTAGTAATGCATTACATAATATGGTCAAGCAGTTGTTAATACTGTAGTTAATAATAATACATAATAATGCATTAATTAACTTTAACAGGATTTTTCCATTATTATTATTATTATTATTATTATTATTATTATTATTATTATTATTATTATTATTATTATTATTATTATTATTATTATCATTAATATATTAATAATATTTAATCTTAATATTATTGTTATATGTTAATAATATAATATATATATATATATATATATATATATATATTAATAATAATATAATAATAATATTACTATTGTTACATAACATTAGTAGCAGTTGACCACTGGATTTTGTTTGTATTGTGACAAAATAATAATCACAATAACCACAAATGAAAATGAAAAACTTGGATTCCAGAACTATGCAGCATAGTGTAAGGGACACAAACATACTATGTAAATCTGGTATTGCTCATGTATTGAACACATACTGAGTATTGCATTGATGTTGTTGTGTAACAGTACAAGGCCTGAGGAGTAATGCACACTTATTGGGGATGAAAGACCTACAGTAGCGTTCTGTTTTACATCTGGGATGTCTCAGTCTGCCTCTGAAGGGGCTGTCCATGGTTACCACAGTGGAACACGGGGGGTGGGAGGGGTCTTTTAAGATGGAGATCATCTTCCCCAGCATCCTCCTTTCTCCAAAAATGTCTAAGTCATCAGAGAACGTCTGGAGGTGACAGCTTCTGGTGTTGTAGGTGAAATCCAAGGTGTAGAAGACGAAGAGAGAGGGTGAGAGCACTGTACCCTGCGGAACTTAGGCACTGCACACAACCACCTCAGACTTACAGTTGTGCAGCCTCATGTACTGTGGCCTGTTGGTGAGGTAGTTGATGGTCCATGCAGTCAGATGTTCATCCACTCCTGTACCCCTCAACTTCTGCTGCAGTAGACACGGCTGTAATTGAAACAGGTTCATCTCATTGGCCCAGTTCTGGTCCCCTTCAGCAGACTGACTGGCACCAGTCCTCCCGCTGTGACCTGTGATGTTCCTGAGGCTTCTCCGTGCACCACGAGCATTGTTCTGCAACAGCTGTTTCTCCAGCGTCTTCCTGTAGATGTCTTTAGCCCATCTTAAAATATAAATACAATATACCCAGTCTTATATTTAACCCTCTGGATGCAGGTGCTGCAGATTTGCAAAGCTAAAACCTACCTACCTGGTTACTCCACATACGTATTTCATGAGCATTTTTTAACTCAGAAGTACCCCTGAAGGACTTACCGGTAGTTGTTTGTCCTTTTATCAAAACTTATTTTGAGCCTGAGAGGGTTAAGCTCCTTCTGGACTCGTCTCTACTCTTTGTCTCCAGCCATAAAAGCTTTATTCATATCATTCAGCAGGGATTTCAGCTCAGAGGAAAACCAGGGTTTATTATTCGAGAAACACCTCACTCTTAGCGTTGGGTCTGTGTTATCTACACAGAAATTCACATAATCACAGACACAGTGCATCAGCCTGTCAAGATCATCACTGTTAGGTATTTTTATTTATTCAATCCAGGCGTACCTCAAAGAAAGTCCAAAACACACAAGGGGGTTAGAGATATTATTGTTATTAATACCATTTACCAATAAACACAAATAATCAATAATCAGATTTTGCAAAACCGGAGAGAAAAAAGAAACACACCAGTTGCGGGAGGTCTGTTTAGTCTCTCAACAAGCCGAAGCTCATCAGAAGGTTTTATTCACAGATGACATATGACATAGCACACACTAAAGATGACCACACTCACCCCTTCACAGACCGCAAACTTTCCCAGGTTCAGAGAAACACTCCGTCTGGACTTCAACAGGGAGCTTGTTGTGATAACAGAACTGCAGACTTACAAGGTCGACTTTCCCTGCGACAGGAGCCGGTTAATAAAACCAGATGGTTCCCAGACAAAATCATCTTCCATGCATCCAATACTGTATTTGCCACATTAAATGTGAATAAGGCTAATGAACTCTGTTTGAAAAAACAATACTATTAAAAAGTGAAGGTGAAAATCAGCTTTTTACCCAAAAATCACCATGCAGATTGTCTCCCAGTCTGTGGTTTGGAAACAGTCCTTCAGCCTTTCTGTGGCTCCCTCAGTCCACACTTTTACTACTTTTTTCAGGGGAGGCTCTTTAATCACCCTGGGTTTGTATTCAGGCATCAGATGAATGAGGTTGTGGTCTGAGCGGCCGAGCGGAGGGAGGGGGGCGGATATGCGTGCTTTATTTTACATTAGCCAGATACCAGAGGTTAGTTGTCTTTAAATTTAAATGTAACGTAATTTTAAATAAATTGTCAGTAATTTTTTAAACATGTTACTACATTGTTTTCCCAGCTATCTTGCAAATGGAAAATATAAAAAGGGCTTGCAAACATTCTGGCACCGGCGTGTCTGCACACATAACACCTGAGTGGATGACTACAACAACTCGCCCATGGGAACTAGATGTAAAAATAACACTGTTTTGCATTTGGATGTTGTCCAACAGGAGGGCAGAGACCCCAGGAAGCTTCACTGGCTGTTTGAGCTGCTGATGGAGAGCCCCCTCAGCGGAGAGGGGGGCTCCTTCAGGGACGCCAGGCATTAATACCGCTGTGTGCTTGTGTCACCTAGTACTTCTTTGGATTCAGATTTCAGGCTGCAGCAGTAACCCGAGCTGACACATGCTGCCGCAGTATAACACAATAACCCCCCTTCCCCTGTTCTCTCCTTCTTCGTCAGTCTGCTGTATGTGCTTCAGGGCGGTCTAGCCCAGCAGCAGTGGAGAGTTTCTGAGCTGCTGCACCGGCTGCTGGCGTACCTGGAACCCAAACTCACACAAGTGTACAAAAATGTCAGAGAGCGCATCGGCAGGTATATAATCTGGATAAATTTGATTGCATTATATTTGCATTATCCTTCCATAACACATTAGTGACTCTGCTCCTTTCTCTGTGTTTCCTCTAAATAACCCCTATCTTCTGTCACACCTTCTCTCCAGTGTCCTGACCTACATCTTCATGATAGACGTGGCCTTGCCTCACACCAGGCCCACCTCTTCCCCTCACGTGGCAGAATTTGTCACTCGAGTCCTAGAGCGACTGAAACCCCTCACGTCTGAGTCCGAGATCCACAACCACATCCACGAGGAGAACACCCAGGAGACAGACGAGTGCACCCAGGCTGTCAAACTGCTTAAGACGGGTCAGAATGTGAACTGTGTGGTGGATGGACATGGTGAAAGCTTTAAAAAATATATAGAAATGTGCCTCGACAGCTATTTTGCTCAATGAAACAGACTAACTCTCCAGATGCCATAAGCTAAAAGCTTCTCATTGGTTTTCATTTTTTTTTAATTTATTTTTTAAAAGATAGTGAGGTGGTTTCAGGGATTTTTGTTCAAGCATTTAAAACCAATTCAGAAGAACTCAGAATTTAGGATGATGCTGATAAGATATAATTTATGTAGATCACAAAAACAGATGTTGAACCTAGATTTTATGTTTTTATTGATTTAACTGTTCTACACTTACAGAAACCTTTATTTTGTCCTGTCCTGTTGTTTTTCTGATGTTTTTATTGGTTAGAGGTATTTGCCCTGATCTTACTCATGTTGTACAGCACTTTGTGATTTATAACTGCGAAAGGCGCTTTATAAATAAACTTTTACTTACTTACTGTTAAACTTTCATTAAAACACACTGGATGCTATTTGAACTTTTCTAGTCTTGGAATATTTTTTGTGCAAATTAATTACCAAAGATTCAATTGCATCAGTATACCCAAAATGTTTAGCACTGTAGGGTTTGGTAAATTGAGTGCTTTAAGAGCTCAATTGATATATTACTTTTACTTATGACCAATAAGCTGTGATACTCTATTTAAATATATAATATCAACCCTGCTTGGGCTTTACGTTGTTTAATCAGAATATCTCGGATTCTTTATTTATTAGGGGAGTGTACACACTTCGTTTTGATTCAGAAAAGAGTCAGGTTTATAAAAGTAAGAATTTATTTTACCAACAGTTAAAACATGACAAGTTAACTAAGCATTTACTGTGATGGATGGAACTAAATGTGATGTATGAAACCTATGTGTCAATGCGATGTTGGTCAGAACGTCCTTTTCTAGGAGAACTGAGTTCTGGATGTAAAAGAATTTGGTTTGCATTAAGCTATGAACTTGGTTGTTATCAAAACACATCAGATGCAATCTGTCATGTCTACTTCACCCGTTCTCGGAGACCCTCTTGGTAGATCCAGAATGTCGAAGTCCTTGGACTTCCAGGCACCGAGGTCTGTAGAAGAAACTGCGGCCCCACTGAACCGGTCTTAGAGTTGTCTCCAGGTCACAACAGACAGATGGTACCGCGCGTCTGGGACTCTTAAGGAGTCTAAACAATATCCGCTTGTTCTGCAGGAACTGTTGCGGTATCAGCTTTGCAGGTGCAAAAAGCTTTTGACAACGTGTAAAAAGCTTTGATGGTTAAAGAGGGTTTTGCTTCAGGTGGCCGGTTTGAAACTTTCTCTAGAACAGAGAGATCACCCGAGAGTGATCCAGTTTTGATGTTCTCATGTTATGATTTGTGTAGCCAACCAAAGGTTGACAGGTTTGAGGCAATCTATCATGTCTACTTCACCCGTTTTTGGAGACCCTCTTAGTGGATCCGAAGGTCAGAGAGGTCGGCTAACCTCTGGCACGACTCCTCAGTCCAGAGATGTCTCGGGTCACGACAGATTGATGGAACCGCGTGTCTGGGACTCTTAAAGAGTCTAAACAATATCAGCTTGTTCTGCAGGAACTGTTGCGGTATCAGCTTCGCAGGTGCAAAGAGATTTTGACGACGTGTCAAAAGCTTTGATGGTTAAAGAGGTCTTGCTTCAGATGGCCGGTCTGAAGCTTTCTCTAGAACTGCTGAATCACCCAGAGTGATCCAGTTTTAAGGATCTCACGTTATGATTTGTGTAGCCAACCAAAGGTTGACAGGTTTGAGAAATGTTACCAAGAAACTCAGTAACACGCCTTCTTTGATACAGAGGCTCTGACTGGGGTAAAAGACTATTTATGTGTCTGAGTTTAACTTAACCTTACTTTGTCTGTGTGAGTGTAAATGGTTATGACATTGCCATATAAAAATGCTGAAACATATTTCAATCACTGTAATCATAACATAACATTCATTTCACACTTCAATCATTGAGTACAGATTAATGAAACATTTCATTATATTATAATTATTATAAGTAGCAATAAACAAACATTTATTTAATGATTATCTAACGTAAGTTGTAGAAGAAGTTCATATTGATTTATGAAATCATTCTTTGATTTAGCAACTGATCCGAGCTGGAGTGTTCCTTATATGGAGGCATGGAGACCTGAAAGGTTGGACCTTGAGGAGAGAATGTTATTGTTGACATTTTGTTATCTGTGTTTAGAGCTGCAGGCTCTCAGCTCCAGCTGGTGGGATGGAGGCAGGCCGATTTAAAGGGAACACATGCA